AAAATAGTTTATATATTGATCTAAATAAATTCTAATTTAATAATTTTAGTTTTATCAAATAGATTTTAATAGTTTAATACGAGAAAGGATGGGATGGGGCAATACGAGACGGAAAAAAACAGAACGAGGCTGAACGGGACGAGACAAAACGGTATGTGAATGAATAGCAGAACGAGGCTGAACGGGACGAGACAAAACGGTATGTGAATGAATAGGACGGGGAGGAACGAGACGAGAAATAGAACGGGATAAGAGGTAAATTTTGCCTACCTCTTATTATATTTAGAGACGGGACAAGAAGAAACAAAAAGACCAAGATGGGACAAGACAAGACAGGAAGAAACATAATGAGACAGGATGAGACTAGACGGGATGGATATGATGGAAATGACGGGATGAAAAGAAACATAATGGAACGGAAAAAACGTAAATTTAGCATATCCCTAATTATATTTTAGGACATGACGGAAAGAAACGGAAAGAACGGGATGAGACTGGACAAAACGGGATGGAACAGTCTCAGACATGATGGGATTGCACGTGACGATACGGACATGGCGAATGGGACGGGAAAAAACGGATATGATAAAAAGAACAAAATGGGAGGAATGAAAAATGATGGTTCAAAATTTTTGCGTAAACTTAATTATATTTAATTTTCGGAAATTTTTTAGTAACCCTAATTATATTTGATTAATATGTGTATGACATTTTTAAAATAATAATAAATCATATAATTAAATTAAATTTGTGAAAAATAATAAAATCAACACAACAATTTCAATTCCCGCGCTTCGGGACGAGACAAAACGGTATGTGAATGAATAGGACGGGGAGGAACGAGACGAGAAATAGAACGGGATAAGAGGTAAATTTTGCCTACCTCTTATTATATTTAGAGACGGGACAAGAAGAAACAAAAAGACCAAGATGAGACAAGACAAGACAGGAAGAAACATAATGAGACATGATGAGACTAGACGGGATGGATATGATGGAAATGACGGGATGAAAAGAAACATAATGGAACGGAACAAACGTAAATTTAGCATATCCCTAATTATATTTTAGGACATGACGGAAAGAAACGGAAAGAACGGGATGAGACTGGACAAAACGGGATGGAACAGTCTCAGACATGATGGGATTGCACGTGACGATACGGACATGGCGAATGGGACGGGAAAAAACGGATATGATAAAAAGAACAAAATGGGAGGAATGAAAAATGATGGTTCAAAATTTTTGCGTAAACTTAATTATATTTAATTTTCGGAAATTTTTTAGTAACCCTAATTATATTTGATTAATATGTGTATGACATTTTTAAAATAATAATAAATCATATAATTAAATTAAATTTGTGAAAAATAATAAACTCAACACAACAATTTCAATTCCCGCGCGAAGCGCGGGTCACCCCTAATTTTATATACAAAAAAGAGACTTCCTCAGACGGTCAGACCCATAAACAAAGCGCCAGTTTTCAGCTTTTAAGCTATTATTGTGAACTCTTTTTTTTTTGGTTAAACTGCTATTGAAAAAATCTATTTGTTACACACATTTACATTTTCCCAAGTTCCATTTGGTTTAAAAAGCAAAAGAAATGGTACCAACACTTATATCTTTCTTAAAATTCATACGTTTGAGAGCTAATTTTGTAAATTTAGGCTTGGAAAAGATCCAATGGCTAAGCAATCAAAGCCAATTTGTTTACTTAATCTATCAACCTATTGACTTTAACAGAACAAAAAATCTATCCAGACCTATTGAAATTTGCAAACGTCAAATATTTAACTTCAAATCAATTGGGAAAAAATATTGCATTAAGGGCATCTCCAATGTATTACCCCATATTTGACTTAAAAAAATGAAAAAATCTTAAAATTAGGTTTTGCTCCAATGTATTGCCTCATTTTTTACTTCAAAACTTTTTATTAATTACTAAATTTACATTGTATATTTATATATATATATATATTACAAATTGCCTCATAATGTTTTTTTTTTTCAAAACTTTCACAATTTATTATAATGATTTAAATTAATTATGAAAATATTAATAATACATTATTACAAAACTAAAATAAAAACACAAACTGGATCAATAATAGTTGTTTTAATAAATTTCTTTTGATGTTATTTCTAAGAAACAAAATTTCTTTTTAAATTATTATTAGCTTAAATAATTAAATTTCCTATTAAATATGTGTTATTTGTATTTTAGGGTAAAAATAAACATCAAAATAATTAATTATATATAAACTAAAATAATTTAAAATTTCAAAGAATGTTATATAATTTAAAAGCTTCAACTCCAAAATAGAAATGAAAATGGGATCAACCTTAATTTGGGGGAAAATATGTCATTTTGCCATTTTGAGATTGAAAACGGGGTTGAGTTGGAACAAAATTGACTCCAAAATGACAATTAAGATGAAATATGAGACTTGATTGGAAATGCTCTACCTGTGGGAAAAAAAACAGTTACCAATAAAAAATACCAAACCAAGCAAAAGCAAATCAATGAATTATTTAAACCAAAATTGTCGGCAAAAAATAAATATTAAACCAAAATCAAATAAAAAATTGTTCACAAACAGATGGTAAATGAACAAAAATTTGTAAAGATAAACAAGGTGATGGCTCATCAATCATCAATCATCAATCATCGCCGATGTCTTTTATAAAACGAGGAAAAAGAGAAGGCAATACCAAATGCTCTCTCATATAATGGAAATGAAATATTGTAATGGAAATGAAAATATTGAACTTGAGTCAAAGAGAGAAGAGAAGCTTTTAGTGGAAATGAAACTATGAAGGTGTCAACAAAGGTGGAGGTCTACTGTGAAATACTCCTTCAGTTCTTTAAAGACAAATTTTCTAGAGTTTTCACACATATTAAGGAAAAGCTGATTTTCAATCATTAGTGCATAGATTTTTGCCAATAAAACAATTTTTTATAATTCTCAGCCAATAAAAATTCAACAAATACAATTAATGTTTCTTAAAAACTGAAAAAGTGCATTAAGAACTAGAAATTTTATGTTTGTGAAACAACAAATTATGTTTAGAAAATTCATCTTAAAAAAACGGAGGGAGTAGTTTTTAGTTCCCATAAGGGATAGGATTGGAATTTGAAATAAGAAGAGAGGGTTTTTAAAAAAAAGGTTTTGTGCAAAAAAACCAGGCAACTAAATTAATTCTGCAAAATAACTTTTTTGTGTGCAGGTCAATCTCCCAACTCAAAAGTCACCCGCAATATAGCCAGTCTCTGTATTGATGAACGTGGAATCCAAACTACGTGCTGTTTTACTTCAATCGAAATGGCACTCATTTTATAAATCCACCCGGTTAACAACTGGTTCAATTTGATTGATTTAAACCATATGTCAATTTATCAAACAAAATCAATGCTCGGTTATTTTTAATGAACCAGCTAAACCAATAACTATTTTTATATGAAAAAAATCACGTTATGATTCTTCTTCCTCTTCTTCTCTTATCTCTCATCTCTCCTCCTCTCATCTCTCCTCCTATGGATTTCTCCTACTGTAATTCTCTTCTTCAGTTTTCTTAACTATGAATTCAAGGGGAAACACAAGATCTTTGCCTACATCGAGAGAAGAAGAGTCAATCGCCGAATTAGCTACCTAAATTAGCTCCTGCAAAATCGTGTTGTTTCTGCAAAAATTGATTTGGGGCAAAATTTAGGGTTTGAGGAAAAAATAGATTTGGAGTAAAATCTGCAATTATTGTCCTGTTTCTCTTCTTTATTTATATTTCTAGTTGAAGGAGATTAAATGGCGACTGTAATATCTTCCTCAAAAGATTAGAATGCAAAAGTTGTGTGTTAATAGAATTAGGAAATCCCTCTTGACCCATGACAAAATCTGCACTTCCAACACTAATTAGGATCGATTGTTCTCTGTTCATGCCAATTTTTTCTGGCTTCAAAAAGAGAAATGTTCATCGTTAGTCAATGGAAGATTTGTTCAAACCTCAAGATGGATTATCTGGGTACAATCGTGCAACAATGAGCTCAAAGCATAAACATTGGGAAGACGATACACAGAAAAATTTAAACAAAAAAATTGAATGAATTCTTTTTGTTTATGCTATAATTATGGAATGTATAGAAGATGTGGAAATCTTAAAAGTTGTAAAGGAATCTAAAATTCAATTATGATATGGAAGAGAAACAAAATGTGAGTTTATTCCATAAATTGTCGTCTGTTTTTTTTTAACTGACGAAGAAGATGAGAGAATGAAACGAATAAAAGAAGAAGAAAGTAGACGAACGAAGAGAATGTATTTTATGTTCTTTTAATATTTTTTATTTTTAAAATGTCAAGAGTTTAAACATCGTGTTGTTTTTATAGCTTCAAAATGATATGTTTTTGATCGTCCACGTCATCGATACAGAGAATGGCTATATAGCGGGTGCTTAGAGTTGGGGGATTGACCTGCACACAAAAAAGTTGAAGGTTAATTTTGCAAAATTAATTTAGTTTCCAGGTTTTTTGCACAAAACCCTTTCAAAAACTTGCAAACAAGAAGAGAGAAACACCCGTCCGCGAATCGTCGTTGCTAACGGACACATATGACAATTTGGGAGGAGATTCGAAGCACTCTCCTCATGGTAATGATTTTGGGTGATTGAGTCTTTCAAAGTTTCGATTGAGTTAATGAATTTGATAGCTCTTCTAATTTCTTTTTGGCGGTGTGATCTGGGTTTCTTTCATTGGTACTACTTCGTCGTGCATGGAATTGTGCGTATATGGAAGTGCATTATGATTGAATTTGTTATGATGATGAGTAATCGGTGCTAGATTATGTCGATGTTGGCCTCGTGATATACTTTTACGGAATTTAGGGGATGAACAACCAAAGGCAGAAACTTTGAATGATAATGTTATCTTACTAGTGTTTAAAGAGCTTAAGGCCTTAGAATGTGTATCGAAAATGTGTTGCTTTTGAATCTTGTTTTGAAGGCAGAGATGTACAATAACGTTATGCCTCATCCGGAGATGCCAAGACCTTCCGGAAACCCGAGCCTGGACCGTTTGGGAATCCATTCATCTGTGGTGGATTGGGTGCTTGCGGTGAGAAAATTTTGATATGATGCAAACAAGCAAGCAAAACATGACTAAAAGCATTAGACAAGTATAATAAGAAGTAAAGGGATAAAAGAAAGTTTCTCTATTGAAGAAACATGTCGGATCTCCCTTAGAACTCTCGAACTCTAGTACAAAAGAAAATGGAAATATGAAAAACAAGAAAGGAACAAGTGTAAAGTCGAGCGGCGCTTTCTTCTTCCGAGACGTAAGACTCCTAGGGTTTCTCCTCTCCACTGGCGGCTATCTTCTTCTCTTGAATCTCTCTGCGGCTCTCTTCAGACACCTTCGCTTCAGTGGCTAAAAACATGTATATATGGGCGAAGTCGCGTAGGGTTTTCTTCATGCCGGAAAAGGAAAGTTTCCCATGAGTCGGGCCTCTTCTCTCACGTCGCGTATGGGCTGGGATTGCGCCAAGAAAGACTCCAAACATTAGCTAGGCATCTCCCTTACTGATTAAAGGTCTTGGGCGCGGTTGCTCGGGCCTTTAGACACTCCAAATTCTCTATGGGCTCCTCTTGGGAGCTAACCGTATATGTCTTGGTATAAAATAAGTTCTGCCGTGATGGTTGGTACAAATGGATTCATTCCACTTCGACGTGATGCATGACTAAATTATCTATCTTTCCATATCAAAATCGTGACTTTTGGACGCCGGGAACTCCTCCGTTTGCGGCCAAACTTCCGAAGCTTCGTTCTGCTTGGTAGCGAGAATTAAAATTTGGAGATAAAATGATGCTCTTGACTTGGAAACTTGCATGGAACTTGGTTTGAGACTCTTTTTCTCCTTTTTGCATCCTTTTTGATGATTTCACCTACAAAGACTTCAAATCCCATCAAGAGACGTGGACACCAAACATGTCAAAACAGAAGAGAAGGCAAACACATATTTCAATAGGTTGTGGAGTGAGGAGGATGAAATCGTCTTGCTTCGAGAGATAAGCACCTTTGGATCAGATCCGTTGAGTCAAAGAGTAGATTTCAGGATTTTCTGAAGTCCAAGATCAGCTTCGAGTTTACCTTGTCTCAACTGGTTTCGAAGATGGAGACTATATAACGGAAAGTTAGAGAGAAGGAGATGAAAAAAAGTGTTGATGTTCAAGAAACCTCATAATAAAATACGTTATGAAATTTTTAAAGAGATTTGCGGGTCTAGCAAGGAAGAAAAAGAAGAAAAGATGAAGAACTTGGTGATTACTACTCACGAAAGTGAAGTTTAGTTTGGAAAATCTTTTCTTCGTGGTACTGTTGCGAGCTTCGGTTTTGGAGAAGAGCGGGTAAAAGAAGGATGGAGTTTGGTTGAGGAGGAGAGGAAGGAGAAAATTCAAGAGGAGTTGAGACATGTGGTGGCTGATGAAAACAGGTTACTGATGCACTAGTCGAGCCTTGTGACTGAGGTTTCCTTTGCGATTACTGAAGTTACAAGTTAGGGTTTTGCAGGTTTTATTACCTCTTTTGATTTCCATTTCTGGTTTGTGTACTGTGTTTTCTATTTTGTTTGGTTTTGTTGGTGAAAAAACTATTATCGGCTATTAGTTTGTGTAATGTCTGTTGGTTGTGTTCGGAATAGGTTTTGTCGTGTCGAGTCTCTGATATGTTGGCTTAGCTCCAGGGATGTTCAGTTTGGTTTGGCAGTTTGTGTGTTTTAGCCTTTTAATATCTCTCGTTTCAAAACTTCAAATATAACGTTTTGTTAATGAGAGATATTAAAAGGCTAAAACACACAAACTGCCGAACCAAACTAAATACACCAGAGCTAAGCTAACAGATCATAGACTCGACAAGACAAAAACCTATTCCGAACACAACCAACATAAATTACACAAACCAATAGGAGATAATAGTTTTTCCACTAACAAAACCAAACACAACAGAAAACACAGTACACAAACCAGCAATGGAAATCAAACAAAGTAATAAAACCTGCAAACCCCTAACTTGTAGCTTCAGTGATCGCAGAGGAAACCTCAGTCACAAGGCTCGACTTGTGCGTCAGTAACCTGCTTTCATCAGCCACCACCTGTCTCTAACTCCTCTTGAATTTTCTCCTTCCTCTCCACTGCAACCAAACTCCATCCTTCTTTCACCCGCTCTTCTCCGAAACCGAAGCTCACAACAGTACCGCGAAAAAAAAGATTTTTTGAACCATCCTTCACCTTCGTGAGTAGTCATCGCCAAGTTCTTCATCTTTTCTTCTTTTTCTTCCTTGCTAGACCCGCAAATCTCTTTACACATTTCATAACGTATTTTATTGTGAGGTTTCTTGAAAATCAACACCTTTTTCATCTCCTTTTCTTTGAATTTCCGTTTCATAGTCTCCATCTTCAAAACCAGTTGAGACAACAGATTTGATCCAAAGGTGCTTATCTCTCGAAGCAAGACGATTGTGTCCTCCTCACTCCACAACCTATTAAAATATGTGTTTGCTTCTCTTATGTTTTGACACGTTTGGTGTCCACATCTCTTGATGGGCTTCCTTCTTCAATAGACCGGTTCTTGATCTCCGTCTCTTCCTTCTCCTGTGTTTCAGTCTCGGGAACGGAATCGACGGCGGCGGGAGAAGGAGTTTTGAAACGAGTTTCTCTTGTTCACGAGCACCTCCATACATTACAAAAAATAGGTAGGTAGCATCACTTATATAGTGTAAAACATCTAAGTGACTATAATTAGAATCATTTATTAAATATTGACATTAAATTTATGATTTTTCATCACTTAAAATAATTGCTATTAATATGAACTTGATTAACATTAATTAAAATAAAAGTGATACAAGTGAATATTAATTTACATCAGTTTTAAAAAACCTACACAAATATATGTGTTTACATCATTTATATAACTGAAGCATTTTCTCAATTTTATTAGCATCAATAACAAATGATGTTAATATTTACTTCAATTATAAAAAGTGATGCAAACAAAATTTTGAGTTAACAACTATTTGTCCCACATCACTAGACAAATATAAAGAATAGTACTTAGTTTGCTCATCTATATAATAACTTAACCCAAAAATAGTTTTTTTATCTATTTTTTAAATAAGTTAAATCATCAATATGTAATTACATATATTACTTAGAATAATAATTACAAAAAATATTAATAATTTCGGATTTAATATTGAAAAATAATATGAAATTTTAAATTTACATAATTTTAAATGTCACTTATTTTATAATTGATATATTAATATTATCAACTAAAATATATGTTATTAATATTTATAACCAAGACAAATAGTAACATCATTTATATTAACTGATGCAATTGTTTACTTCATTTATATTAATTGATGCAAATGTTTATTTCATTTTTTATAAATGATACTGTGTATTAACATCACTTGCAAAAATGATGCAAATTTATTAAATGATATAAACTAATAAAATAAATGACACTACACCCCTTATTTCTTGTAGTGATATTCTTCTTTCTCCTCTGCTTCCACATGTTTCTTGGTTTGCTTCTCTTTCGTGTTGAGATCTTTTGGGCTAACGTCTCTCAAGCTTCCTTCTTTTTCAACGGGGAGATAAACAAGAATTAAGGGGAAAAACCAGTTTTGCAGAGTCGATTTATGATCTCTTTTCTTAATTCTGTAAACGTCCCGTAGTGTGACGGTTGCATGGTGTTCCGTATCCCATAATAAAACTGCATACTTTTTATGTTTGCATCGCACAAAACATAAGCTTGCGAATGTGTTTTATGATGTACTTTCATAAGAAAAAAAAAACAATAATAGAAGAGATGTGAGAGACTGTTGTTACTTGTGTTTGATCATATGTTATTAACTATTAGGGCTCAGCTCGCGCGATGCCCGAGTTGTGACTATTACAAAGTTTTGTTATTTATATATTACTCCCTCTGTTTCATTCTATAAGGGGTTTTAGTTTTTGCACAAAGATTAAGAGTCCATTTAATTTGTGTACTTTTTACAATAAAATATATTTGCTCATCAATTTCAAAACATTCCAACCAATGAAAAAGTATTCTGTACAATATAAATAATCAAAAGTAACAAAAGCACATTTAATTTTGTACAAAAATTTGAAAACCCCTTATATTATGAAACAAAAGAAAAACTCCAAAACCCCTTATATTGTGAAACAGAGGGAGTAATTGTTATTTGAATTTTGTAAATAAATTGTCTTTTATATTTTTCAGATTTATTAATGCGCGGTGGAAATATAAATGTATATTACTCTTTATTTCATAAATTCAAATTCCGTAAAATGTTTTCCATATGCCATAAATTAACTGTGACTAAATTGTAGCACACTGAAAATGTTATATCCCAATCCTAAATTTTAAAAAGCAAACCCAAAATTCTAAACCATAAACCATAAATCATAAACTATAAACTTTTATTCGAAGATAATAAAATTCAATCAGAATTAACAAAAAATATTGAAAAGCCATTACAAACCCTTATATCTTAACCCTTAAATATAACCCTTACATTAAATCTAACACTTATAGAAAATCATACATTTTTGTACGATTACATATTTTTCTAGAATAAATATATATTGTTACTAATATTTTAATTGTTATTTGAAATTTGTAAATATTATGTCTCTTATATTTTTTAGATATGTTAAAGCGGGTCAAAATATAAATGTATATTACTCCTTATTTACTCTAAAATCAAATTTCTTAAAATGTTTTCCATATGCCACAAATTAACTATGGGTAATTGTAGCACTTTGAAAATCTTATACCCTAATCTTAAATCCTAAATTAAAAAGCAAACCCAAAATTCTAATCTTAAACCATAAACTTTTATTCCAAAATGAAAACAGTAAATCAGAATTAGCAAAAAGTTAATTTAAGGCATTTCAAACCCTTATATGTAAACCCTTACATTTAACCTTTACATGAAAAAGAAATCTAACACCTAAAAAAACTACATATTTTTATTTTGTTAACACTTATAACAAATTTCAAATAATATCATATGATAAATCTTAAACTCTAAACCCTAAACATAATTAATAATCTTATTATATAAAGCTGGATGCGCGCGACGTGGTTGCGACACATAGGATTTTTATAAAATATAGGATCATGACATGTGTCACTTTTAAGGTTAGGTCCGTTAAGATCGTGACACGTGTCTTAGGAAAAAAGAAAACTTTTTTTAAAGGGAAAATTTTAATATTTTATAATAAAAACGAAAATTTATAAATAAATTGAAAATAATGCTATAAAAAATTTCTATTAATACATCGAATATGTATATAAACTAAATATCCTAAAACGGTATGGAATAGGTTACATAAACCCATGTTTAAAAAAATTCTATTAGTACATGGAATATGTATGTAAACTAAATATCCTAAAACTGTATGGAATAGGTTACATGAACCCCCTATAAAAAGAGAGCTACTGTAATCTCTTTTTCTCATTCACAGACTCATCAAAGCAAATTCAGCAAATCTCTTTGATTCTCTTTCTCTAATTTTAAAATTATGTCTTTGAAAGTTCAAAAGAACAGTGGAGATTATTTGACTCTAGGTCAATTGGATCGAAATCGAAATTATCGCCGTACTATAGTACGTGTTATTCGAAAGTGGGAAGCTAGAAATCCTAAAGAAAACAATATTCTTATGGGAGTTGACCTTCTATTACTTGATGAAAAAGTTAGTAACATTTTATATTTATATCTTATTATATAAATATGAAAGTTAGATATCAATGAAGAATATTTAATTTTAGATCAGTTGGATCAAAATTGAATTTATTGTCGCAACATGTGTCTAATAATTGATCAGGTGATGAGTTGTGTTAACACAAGAACATTGGAAAAATGTATTAACAGAAAAAAGAAAAGTAACATTGTAAAAAACCTAATTGATATTGGAAAGGGAAATTAATAATGGAGAGAGGCTAAAAAAATATTGAAAAAGAAACAATATAAATAGAAAACAGACAGAATAATTATCAAGCAACTAACTAATATTAAAAAGAAAAATTTATAATAGACCCATTTTATAATTTTTAATAAGATAATTTTCAAGTTTTAAATCGAATAATCAAAAATTTACGAATTAATTAATTGATCAAATTTAGACACATGTAATTCTTTCTAATATTAGATAAAAAAAATCATTTTTTATATTATGAATTCAGAAACAAAATGTGAGTTATAATTAAAATGTAAAAGGATTACCAATTTTATTTAATTTAGATATTTATTATTGATTTCTAATACTATTTTATTTACCAAAATGATCCGATTTTTTTTGATATTTTTGTGATTAATTTTATAAATTTTAAAATAAACCCGCGTGTATACGCGGGACTTAATCTAGTTATATATAATCTCTTTAAATAAATTTCTATATTGTTTCTTATTTTGTTTAAAATCAAATATTCAAAAATGGTAGCCTTTTGGTGTTCTTACAGAGTTAGTAGGTCCTCCTGGTATTGGCAAATCACAGGTTAAGGTTTATATCTATCTTTGGAACTACATTCTTCTGCTTTTGTGTGCTTGAATATGGTGTAAACGTTCTCTCTCTGTTACGCAGTTTAGCATGAAACTTGCTCTACCAGCTTCGTTTCCAGCAGCTTATGGAGGATTAGATGGTCGTGTGATATACATTGATGTTGAGTCCAAGTTTAGTTCCAAGAGGTAAAACTTTTAGTGATAAAAATGTTTATGTGTACAAAAATGCTTAGAGATTGTTATCCTTCAGGGTGATAGAGATGGGATTAAAAAGCTTCCCTGAAGTGTTTCACCTTAAAGAAAAAGGCACAAGAGGTTTTGAAAACATATCTATCTTTGTTTTCTTGCTTTGGTTTATCCAAACATTGCTTACGAAACCGTTTTGCGGCGGTGCAGATGGCAGGAAGAATCATTGTTCTGCGGCCAACTTCTTTATCCGAATTTACTGAAAGGTTTGCAAGACTTTTGAATTTACTGCTAGGAACTATAATCATGATTCAGTAACAATTTTTTTTTTTTTTTTAATGACAAGTATACAAGAACTCAAGGATTCGATTCTTCATAAGCAAGTAAGGTTATCAGAAAATTGAGACCATATTTTTTTTGTTACCAAGAAACAAAAGGTTTTTTTGTGTCTTTAATAACCAGAGAATGAAAAAGCAGAGAAGAAATAGTTAAAAGAGTTACACTGAGCTCTTTTACATTTCAATGTCGAGAAGACGAATTTATCGTGTTAGAAATTCTAAAGCCGTCAGTGCTTCTGCTCCTGTTACTATAATTGATTGTAATTCCTTTTAGAAATGCTCAAAAGGATATAAAAATTATGTGCAATTTTGTGACAAATTTTTCTTTAAACCGGAAAACCGGAAACCGGCCGGTTTAGAATGAATTTCATCGGGAGAGAATTTTACAACCAAACCGGGTTAAAAAAACATTGGCCAAAAACCCTTCCTCTCTCTCTCTCTCTCACTCACTCACCAAACTTCAATGTCGAAATTGAGAAACAACCATGGCGGCTACGACGACTATTGGGTTTGTTTCGCCGACGGGCTTAACCATCCGTCGCGGTGGACATAGGGTTTTGTTCATCCGATGCTCCGCCTCTCCTCTCACTTCATCCACTGGTAAAATTCTCTTCATTTTGTCCCCTGATTTTTATCAAAAAACTCTCGAATAAAAATGATAAAGCCTCGAAATTTCACCAAGCATCGATCTCGCATCTCTAAATTCTTCATTTTTTCCCTCTCCATAGCTCTCGTGGAGAAACCTTGGACATCGTATAATGCTAGGCTTGTGCTAGAAGACGGTTCCATCTGGCCGGCTAAGTCCTTTGGTGCCCCTCGGACTCGTGTTGTCGAATTGGTCTTCAACACTTTCTTGACAGGGTGAGACTTTTGTTGTTTGTTTGATCTCAACAATTGTTAAATTCGAGAGCTTGATCTGTGTGTTTATGTTTTGGCAAAAGGTATCAAGAAATTCTCGCTGCGACTAATTCCGGCGATGGAGAGAGCATAAGAGAAACAAAACGGAGGAGGCGGAGGCGGGTGTCATTTTTTGGTGAGGAAGATGAAAGGTTAAAAATATTTGTGATTTTTTTTTTAATAATGATATGCCACGTGTCAATTTTTTTTAAGTAGATGAATGACAGGTGTCAGCAAACTGGAGAGAGTTATTCTCTCTTTATATATAAGATGTGATCACAAGAGGAGGAACTGGCTTTATAAAGCCTCATACTTTCAACCAAGTATATGGCCATAAAAGGAGATTAATTATTTCAACATGACATTAAGTTTTGATTTGATGTTACAAAATCAAATAACTTAATTATTATTTAACACAATTTAAATGGAGAAGATATTAATTGACTTTGTCAACAATACAATTCAAAAAAAATGTTGACCAAAATGATTAAATAATCATATAGACCATTTCCGAGATCCGAAACATAAGTTCAACCTGGATATCTCTTTCGTCCAATACACCAAAGGCAAAGTGTACACAAGTTTTTAAATTTAGTTTTAAATTATCCACTTTATATATAAGAGGATTTCATCTCAAACTTCCAATATAGAACATTTCATAAATGTTACATTTTATGCTATACAAGCAACCCACTTGGTTCTACATTTCTCATTCAAACAAATTTCGTTTTGGCATATCAAAAACGAGTTTCAATTACATTTTATGCTATACAAGCAACCCACTTGGTCCTACATTTTTCATTCAAACGAATTTCGTTTTGGCATATCAAAAACGAATTCCAACAGTTACAGCAGCAGATGATGTCTCAACCTCCTTCTTGTTCTTCTTCGACTTTGAGACTGAAACTATCTTCTCCGGTTCAGAATCTGAATCAGCAGAAGAAGTTGCTGGAGCTTTGACGATCTCCTATTGTTTGCGTTCAGTTTCTTTCACTGCCGTGGAATCTTGCTCTACCTCATGGCGTGGAAATTGATGTTCCACAACCTTTTCGTTTTTGCTTTTTGGCCATTGAAGCCTTAAGAGAATTTTTCAAGCTTTTGCAATGGTGAAATGGAGAGAGAGAGAGAGAGAGAGAGAGAGAGAGAGAGAGAGAGAGAGAGAGAGAGAGAGAGAGAGAGAGAGAGAGAGGTATATTTACGGAGGTAAATGTTATTTAATTAATTAAAGAGAAATTACTTAAACTAGCACTAATTCAACAGTTTATTACTAATGTAACACCCATTCAAAAATGTTAAGTCCCAATGGTGTATAAAGACGGTTAAACCATCTTAATTTCTTTATATTACATTCATGCCATTTTTCTAATTAAATTTTAAAACACTAACTAATTTTATATTAACTAAAATAAAAAGCTTATAAGTTTTTTTTGTATTGTAAAAATCATCCAACACCCTAAAAAAATATAACGATTTTGGCGACCGGGTACTCCAAATCTGGCGACGGTGAGAGATCCGGTGAGAGATCCGGTGAGAGCTCTAGAGCTAAATCGTGCAACCGCCCACCTCGTCTCTGGTTCTTGAGCGAGGCTTGCTATGCTATGTCGTCCTCTACTTTAATCAACGACCCTCCTAGTATATTACATGTCCGATGAGTTTTAAACTGAAATAAACTGAAATAAAAATTTAATAAATGGGATGATAATTACGGTGTGTTTTCATGTTCTCGTGTAGGCTTGGGCATTCGGGTTTTGGGTCTTTTCGGGTTGCTAAATTTTAGATCCGTTCGGGTTTAGGAAAATTTCGGTTCGGTTTCGTTTGGTGCCTGTAAGGTTTGGGGCTAAATTTTATAGCCCCGTTCGAGTTTATGCAAATTTTGGTTCTTATTCGGGTCTGTTTCGAGTCTGATTTGTGTTGGTGTTTATCGGTTTTTTTTAAACCGAATATCTCATTATAAACCGAAAACCTGCAGAATAACCAATTTTTTTTTTTACTCCATCTTCTACTATAATGTTTTGGATTTCTCAAATATTTTGGTTATTTTGTTCTAAATATAACTATTATATTATACTAGGAGGTGATCCGCGCTTCGTGCGAGAATTTATATTATTGTGTTAATTTTATTATTTTTCCACAAATTTAGTTTATTTCTATTGTTTATTATTGTTTCAAAAATATTACACATATTAATTAAAAATAATTAGATTATGAAAATTAACGTACAGTCTTGTCCCATTGTATCCCATTTCGTTCATTTTCATCATGTCCGTTTTTTCTTGTCTCATCCGTCATGTATGTCCCGTCCCGTCCCATTATGTTCCTTTCCATTTTGTTATGTCCCATCATGTTCCTTCCGTTTCTTCTCGTCCCGTTCCCTAAATATAACTAAGGATAGACAAAATTCCCGTATAGTCCCATCCCGTCTCATTTCATTCCTTCTCATCTTGTCCCGTTCTTTCCCCGTCCTGTTCCGTCCTGTCCGCCCTATCGAGTCCCATCCTATCATGTTATATTTTTTTTTTTCCGTTTTGTCTTGTCTCTGTCCGGTCCCTAAATATAATTAGGGGTAGGTGAAATTTCTGTCCCGTCCCTTCTCGTCCCATTATGTCCCTTTCATCCCGTCCCGTCCAATCCCATCTCATTCATCTTGTTATGTCTAATTTGTCTGTCTCGTCTCGTTAGTCTTATCCCATTTCTCTCGTTATGTTTTCTTTGTCTTATCATGTCCGGTCTCGTCTCATTTCATCCCAAAATAGCTTAAAAAAATCAGTGTTCTTTATATAATATCTTGACATCAATGTAAATTATATAATCTAACAAAAATAAATTTACTAAATAATAGTTTTTGTAGATCTATACATAGTCTTTCTCCTTTTTAAAAATGACTTTTCATATTCTTGTTAAACTTATTATAGTAATGAATGCTAATTATTATGAAATTAAAATATTAAAAAGAAAAAATATAATAAATTAAATAAAGTACTGACGTGGCGAAATGAAGAATTTAGAAGCAACCAGAAGAGAGGAACATGAACTTTTTATATATAGATTATAATTGTAATTTTAGTTAATTTTGATTATTTTAAGTCTAAATATAACTAATATTTTTGGTATATAATTATATTTTAGATATTTCAGGTACTTATTCGGTTTTCGGTTCAAGTTGATTTTTTTCAGATATAAGAAATTTGGATCTATCGGGTATTTGTGTCTGTTATGGTTCGGTTAGGGTCCATCTGGATCGGGTTCGTTCGAATCTTCGGGTCCGACTTGTGTGAACTTAAATCAAAGAGAAGAGAAGCTTTGTAATGAAAATCTCATTTGTACAATATAAAGCTTTGTAATGGAAATGGAATATTGGAAAATGAAACTATGAAGGTGAATTTGTCAACAAGTGAAAGGTGGAGGTAAAAAAATGAAAGGTGCTGTTAAAAAAAAAGTGAAAGGTTGGGGTCTACTTTGAAATAGTTCTTGGTTCCATAAGGGGTAGAATCGGAATTTGATATAAGCAGAGAAGAAGTGTCTTTTTAAAAACTTGCAAACGAGGAGAGAAACAGTCGTCAGCGAATCGTCGTTGCGAATCGACAGTCTGGGAGGTGATTCGAACCACTCTCCCCAAGGTAATGCTTTTGCTTTTGAATTGGGATTTGAATTTCTCATTGATATGATTTTAGGTGATTGTATCTTTCAAAGTTTCGACTGATTTGAGCTCAGGCTACTTGATGAATTTGGTAGCTCTTCTAATTCCTTTGGCGGTGTGATGTGGCTTTCTCCCATTGATATTGATAATTGTAGATGATAGCTCGTCGTGCATTCTCCCAGAGTATGTGCAAAGCAACGTAAGTGGTTCTTGCTGATTAATTCCAGCTCTAGAATAATGTATGGTTTTTCATGTGCTTAACTCGTTACTTCTCTGATCCTCAATACTATTTTCAAGTGAATGGCTCAATATGTGAGAAACAAGTTGAAGATTCTTCTATTTCCATTCCTGCATAGGATGAGTTAGTACTTTTTTGTGTGTGTTCTGCTTTCCATGTCCTTCTTATCATGCTTGGGATTACCTAACTAATGTGGGTTTTTTTTTGCTTCAACCTTAGGGGCATTGGACCAGGATGTCGGAACCAGTTGTGGGCAGACTCTCGTACAAGTCTCCAATCTCTATGATATAAACGCTCTGGACTTATACATTCCTTTCATGGCCTTTGGCTCTTATGTTGTGCTTGCTGGACTTGCATAGAGACTTAATGGAAAGTAAGCTCCATGTCTGAATGTTTCTCCCTTAATTTTTTAGCTCCATTTCTTCAAGATATCTGTTACGCTTTGACTTTTCGTGCTCTTTAAATTTTCCAAGATGGCATTTCTATACAATTTACCGTCTCTTGTTTAGCTTCTTGTGTTGTTGACATGTATGCAATGTTCTTGTTCGACCTGAATCTTTAGGTTTACACCAGAAGCTTTGAATTAGCTGTTTGTGAAAGGATTGGTTGGTTGGTTTTTGCAAGTTGAAAGATAGTGTGGGGTTACTCGTACTCTGCGTTGATGCAATGGACCTGCTTATGCACAGGGATTTTCTTGGTGAAGACAATGAAAAGGGGTCGTCTTTTCAAAAGTTAGAAGTTATGAATCATTGCTGCTCGGTAACATTAGCGTTAACTGGCTTTTTAAAAATGCATTGCTTACACGTTGTTGTCAATTCCTAAGTTTCTCTGTAGCAACTCTGAATATTCTTGCAATGGATACGGGTATATTCTTTCATCAAAAATGTGAGAAAGTGGCTTCTTCTTAAATTTTCCTACTTTTCTTTAGAAATGACATCTGAAAAATTCATTGTTTTGTCTTACTTGGCCAAGTTCTTTTAATTGGTTACAACAACGTCAACGTAGAGCTGATAGTTTTATTTGTATATTATTGGGAAATGATCAGGTACATTGTCTTTCCAAGGTATTAATCTTTGCACCTTATGCTCAATTAACTATTATTACAATCTGCTATTAATGTCTTTTGGACATTTTTTAGGAAGTGGCTTCCCACAGAGCAATGCATTTCCAATGTAAATGGACTGATCTTGAAACTTGAGAAGCTTCGGTATGCTTCCCTCCAGTTTATTGTACGAAAGATTCAGCCTCTGCAGAGAAGATATCGCTGCCAAGCTCTGGGGAATGGCTCCAGAAATCTTGTTTCTCGACAGATCAAGCGTCTCCAAGCGACCAAGCTCTGAGATCTTCTCCGGTATGCGTCCTGCGATGGAGTTCCTCGACAAATTCAAGATTCGAAGGTTAGTGAGGCCTAAGATTCCACCTGGTATCTCTCCGTTCATGTTGTTCCCCGAAAGGTTTATGCTGTAGACTAAGTCCTGGTACTCACGAGCTCTCGTCACAATGAAGACAAGATTCTGAAACACCTCGAAGCTCTTACTACGCGCAATGGCTGTGAGGTTGCTGATGCATTTCGGAATCGGTCCAGAGAATTTGTTTCCCGAGAGATCAAGAATGTGTAGATTCTCGACGCTGCAGAGATCATCAGGGATTGGACCAGTGAATGAGTTGCCTTGCAGACGAAGCATGTACAGAGAAAACAGATTTCTTAGCCATGGTGGAAGCTTCCCAGTGAGCTTGTTCCCTCCGAGATCAATGTTTGTAAGTCCAGAGCAGTTCTGAAGAGTGTCAGGGATTTTACCTTCCAATGCATTCTGGTTTAGGAGCAAGACGCTTAGAGAACGCAACGCACCGAGAGACTCCGGTATTTGGCCTGATAAGTTGTTCTCAGAGACATCAATCCCCCAGGACATGAAGGAACGGTGCCAGCAATTCGGAAAGCTACCGGAGAAACGGTTTTTCCTCAGAGAGAGGATTTGCAGTCCGGAGATTTCGCATAGAGACGATGGGATTGCGCCAGTGAAGCTGTTACTGAAGAGGTATAGCTTCTCCATTCTTGGCATCAATACGTCGATGTTACGTGGAAGAGGACCGGAGAAGTTGTTCTCGTAGAGACGAAGCTCTGTTGCGTTTGTTGACCAGAGAGGGAAAGAGCCTTGGAAGCTGTTGGAGCTCAAGTCAATGGTGTTTAGCTTTGGGAAGGAAAGGTTCTGAGGTAGCTTCCCTTTGATTCTGTTGTTTGCAAGAACCAGGTAAGTCACGTCCGAAGAGATTCTGGCGAACCAGCTTTCCGGTATTGCGTCTTCGATTCCAGTGTTTCTGAGTGTGACAGAGTTGAGTTTGGTCTGCACTTGAAGCCACATTGGAAACTCGGGACCGATCTTGCAGTTCTCGATTTGGATCGAGTCCAGTCTGAAAGGAGGGATCCAGGAAGATGGCAAGTTTAAGACAAGAGCTCTGTTTGGTTCCGTTGTGAGACGGAATGTTTTCAAGCTTCTAAGATTCAAGAAATGAGACTTCTGAAGAACACCTTCCCATGTATTCGCCATCAGGTTCAGATCCACAAGCTCCTCAAACTTCCCCAAGCCTTCTCCGATTGCTCCATTCATGGCGTTGTAAGAAAGATCAAGTTTCTTCAGTGACGCCATGTTCCCTATCGAGGAAGGGACCGATCCGGTGAAGGAGTTGGATGAAAGATCAAGAATCTGCAGTTTCCTCAACGCTCCAAGCGACTCAGGCAATGTCCCAGCTAACTTGTTTGAACTGAGATCAAGAAAGACCAAGCTATTGCCTTTGTTTCTTGAGAAGGCGTCTAGAAACCCATTGATTTGGCCGTTGAGTTCGTTTGCAGAAAGGTCAAGATACTTCAGTTGAGGAAGATCTCCTAGAACAGACGGAATCTCTCCCTGGAGTCCAAGATTGTTAGACAGATCCAATGTCTCTAGAAGCTTTAAGTTCTTGAATCCAGAAGGAATCGAACCTTGGAGGAAGTCCCATCTGAGGAATAGCTTTCTGAGGCTGGTGAGACCAAATAGCCAGTTGGGTATCGGCGAGTTGAGAGAGTTCTCAGACAAATCAAGAACTTCAAGAAGCTTCAGGTTCGCAGAGGAAGACAAGGAGAGAGGTAAGTTCTTGATCTGACAGTTGAACAAATGCAACTCCTTGAGCTTCGAGACTCTGCTGAAACTCTCCAGCCAGGCTTCACCGACACCGCTCAGATTCACATACCCCATGTTGATGTGTGTCAGAGAAGAAGATAAACCCGAAAGCCACGCGAGGTTGCTTGAGCGTAAAGCAAACGTACCAGAGTCACTAAACGACTCAGCGTAAAGATCAAGTGACTCCAGCTTCGTCAGATTCCCAAGAACCGCCGGGATTTCACCGGAGAACGAAGAGGAAGAAAGATTCAGGTACTTTAGACTCACGATGTGTCCGATAAACTCGGGGATCTCCAGTCCGTTGAAATCGTTTGAGCTCAAGTCTAGATAGCTCAAGAACTTGAGACGGGTCAGAGACGGATGTATCTTACCCCGCAAGCAACCTTTCTTATACTCATCGGAGTTAACTATCTGATTCGGGTTTCTGAGATCAATCTTGACGACTTGGCTGGTTCGGGCGTCGCAGAGAACACCCGTCCAGCTGCAGCAGTCAGGTCCGGACCAAGAAGAGAGTCGACCGGAGAGATCAGTGAGTGACTGTTTGAAGCTGAGAAGAGCTTCTCGCTCGGTGGATATGCATTTAGGATTAGATGCTGATACAAAATTAAGAAGAAAGGTGAAAACCAGAAAGGAGAAGACGAAGAAGCTTGGCCTGAGCTTTAGCTTGAGGTCCATACTTAGAGCTATGTGTTGTTTGTTTCTTTTTCTCAAACGTTTTAGATATATATGTTTCAAACGCAGACATATTAGACTAGCATTATATATACAAACAAAATACTGTGCTTGTTTACGCGTATTTATGTAACAACAAATTACGAATACGAACACGGTTTTATATCAATGTAAATGTTTAAAATATGAATATGATTTATGAACACGTGCTGTTAATGGCTGGCGAGCATCGAAGTAAGTGCAATTAGATATTTAAGCCATTACATTGCTCGTGGGTGGTGTTTTGTGGGACGACCACTCGTTTGATATTATTACAGCTCTATTCTTTGGGACCGACCACTCGTTTGTTTGATTATTACATAAACAGCTGTTTACTGTCACCAAAACGCAATCCCCATTTGACTAGAAAATTCAATATGGGCTTCTTAGACCCACATAATATTTTTCTGAATTTTTTTGATGTGTATGGACTTTTAAAAGCATCAAAATCTGAAGGTTTTATTTTGGTATTGAAAAATAAAAATGTTGACAGTGGGATTTGAACCCACGCCCTTTCGGACCAGAACCTTAATCTGGCGCCTTAGACCAACTCGGCCATATCAACTTGTTTGTTTAAAAATTAAAAGTTTTTCTGAGGGAGATAAAGTAATTACTGGTAAAATAATCCAAAAAGAATAATGAATGATGATGAAACAAATTAGTTTCGAAACTGTAGTTGCAGTGTCATGGTCGCTGGCTAGCTGCGCTGACTCTACCAAGTCGTTTTATCATAAGAGCAGCAAAGTGTTTTAAGAAATTAACAGGAGTATTATATTAGTTTCAAACAATAAAATTTGATTTAATTTGATTTGCTTACATTGACATGGTGCAAGTTAAGTTTGGGGGGCTTACTATTACTAGAAATTTTGTTCTTTTTGGCTTTTTATTTTTCTTTGAGTCGTTTTATTGAGTCAAAATTTTGTCAGATAATTATGACCTATTTCATTGTAACTAACCATGTTATGCTAATGCTAAAGTGACCATTGAAGCAGTACTTGGCAGTACACCTTACGGCATGCACACCGTTAGCAGATTGATCCACCAAAAACGCCCACATCTCTAAAAGCCTATATATGGAGGATCCATCTTTGGCTCTGCACCTAGATGAACTTAATCTTCTCAACTAGGGGCTTGGCATACAAAGGGCATGACTCCTCATCCTTACCAACAAGAAAAAGTCTGTGTGGCTTCGGTTTACCCTCTCTCCCCTTCAATACAAGAAAAAGCATCAAGGTCCAAGTAACCAGGGATTAGCTGGCAACCACCATCAATACTCGCGTCTATGGAAGGCTTATGGATCTAAGTAACCTGGGATTAGGTGGTAACCACCATCAATAATTGTGTCTATGAAAGATCCAGCCAAAGAAATAGAATCTCTAAACTATAAAGGAGAAGAAGTCGATAGAAAAATTAAAATGCTACCCTTATAAAGGAATGAATCGACTTGAAGAAGTGAGAAGAGGGAGAGGAGAAACAAGAAGTAAAAGATTTATAAAAAAGAAAAGGATGGGTAAGAGTCTATGAGCCTTTTGATCGATATTCCCTAGATGAGACCACACTTTAGCAACTAAAGGAGCCAAAGATGGTGAATTCAGATGGTCCTATGGAGTGTGGATTGCTTTGGGACGATTGATAAACTCACAGTAAGTAACTCTTGTTCTTCATCTAAATGCCTATTCTGTTTTTATGTGGATTACTAAAGTATAAGACAACTTGGAGTTTCAAGGGATTTGAGAGTTCTCCTGTTTTCAAACCACTCTTTCCTTCTTAGTTTTCTTGAGGACAAGCAAAAGGTTAAGTCTGGAGGAGTTGATATACTTATACTTTACATGTTTTTATTAAGGTTTTAAATATATTTTCTAGCAAAATAATATGGTTTTTGTGCCTAAGAGGTAGTTTTCTTGTATATTTTGGTTTTCAGAATCAAATATGTCAAAACGGCGAAAAGGAGGCAAAATGGTGAAAAAGGGCATCATAACATTATCCAATCAAGTTCCCAAGACAAGAGCATCAATCAAAACTTGTAGAGCTCGATTTCTGCAATCGAACAGAACCGCAGCATCAGAAGTTTGGCCGCGAACAAAGGTCTTCCAGACATCCATAAATCATGATCTTGATCTTTCTACTGGATATATAAATTAGTCAAGCATCACACCGAAGTGGAATGGAGCCATTTGGAGTTCCCGTCAGGGAAATACACCCGTTTTACCGAGACTTGTCCGTTTGGCGAACAAGAAAAGCTCACAGAAAAACTTGGTGTACAAATGGACCGGATTCACTTCCGGCTTGAGCCTAAACCTTTCTAGAATGAAGCCTGATTTCTTCTAAACGATTTAGAGGCCAAGAAGAAATGGAAACTTTCGTCTTCTTGTTGCGCCTAAACTAAGCCGACCTACTCCTCTCTTCTTCTATACATACTTGCTTTTATCCTCTTGTTTAGATATCATTAATTTTTTTCATTTACGTTTTTCATTGTACATACACTACAAGAAAACAGTCATTTTGCAACGAAATTTTACAACGAATTTATTTCGTTGCAAAATAACGTCAATTTAGCATTGATATTACGACGAAACACATTATCGTTGTAAATTTGTCGTAAATCGGGACGATCAGCAGTCGTAGTAAATTCGTCGTTAAATAGCGACGTTGTTGCGACGAATTAACAACGTGTATATGTTTCATTGGTAAATCGTTGTAAATTTACGACAAATTGACAACAACCGTATTTCATAGGTAAATACCGTCGAATTACCAACAAGATAAAGACGTAAAGGTTTTCGTAGTTAATCCGTTGCTAAATGCCGATGTAAATAGCGACGTGTTAGTGACATAAGGTTCTATAGTCGCTCTAACGTTTCCATCACTATGTTGTCATCATTATTTCAAGATTGAAGTGGCTCAAGCCCCTTCATCTTGAGGGGGAATGTAAAGGGAAAGAGTATAACTTCAGTCAATCATTCAATCCCTATGATTTCTCATATCATTACTATTATATATTATCTTGTAATTAATTAAGATTATGTTCATCTTATATATATATGTGCTCTATGTATATTGAATAAGTTATGAGAGTGAATATACAATTCTTCCATTACAAACCTCTCATCATCTCTAATATGGTATCAGAGCAGGTTATGCTCAAGAGTTTTGATCTAACAATCACTCTCTTTTCTTCACTTTTTCTAAGCCAAGTGCTTACTTCATTCAAGTCTGTCATGGACCTCTGAATCAAAACTCTTTCTTCCTTTTTTTTTTCTTTCATTCTTTTTATTTTATGTTTTAAGCTATATGCTTCTAAATTCAAGTTCATCATGAACCTCTGAATCATTACCCGAGAATGACTCGCTCTTCTCTCAACTCAAGCCATGTGCTTCTCAAAACCTTAGGGTTTTCTTTAAATTAAAAAAAAAAAAAAAACATTTTATCGGTTTTCTTTAGTTCGTTATTGAAAAAAAAAAATCCTTATTTCTACTTCTCCAATCTCATCTTCTTATCTTCTTCTTTTTCTTTTCTATAATAATAAAAAAAAAAAAAAAAAAAAAAACATTCTCCTTCTTAGAAAGTTGAGACACCTTCGTCCATGGCATCATCTCAGCCACCAGAGTCTCCTATGCACCTCTATCATCATCATTTTATGCAAGAGTCATAAGACAGCTACCGGATCTTTCGGCGATCTGTTTAGCCACAGTCAAGCTTCCGCTCCACTCCACCGTCCGTTGCTATGCTTTATCATCGTCACGGGTGCTTACTCTCCACTAGACAACTTTCCAATTTGATCCAAAAGTTATTCAAGTTGTTTCCAACGCATGCATCTACGTCTCCTACGGTTTCCATCACTATGTTGTCATCATTATTTCAAGATTGAAGTGGCTAAAGCCCCTTCATCTTGAGGGGGAATGTAAAGGGAAAGAGTATAACTTCAGTCAATCATTCAATCCCTATGATTTCTCATATCATTACTATTATATATTCTCTTGTAATTAATTAAGATTATGTTCATCTTGTATATATATGTGCTCTATGTATATTGAATAAGTTATGAGAGTGAATATACAATTCTTCCTTTACAAACCTCTCATTATCTCTAATACATACTTGCGTGTTTTAGTTTGTTTATGTCTAGGAGTAGAGGTCTCTCTCTATGAAGGAGCCGCAGTTTGATTCTCTCTGCCTCTTTTCATTAGATCTATGGGATTCCTTCTATCTTTCTAGATTCATTGTTGAATTATGAATCATTCAATAAGGAAATGACATAATTGCCTTTGAGAATCGGTTGTGAATTAAAGGGAAACTTTGTGGTTCTCCATCTTTATTTACACATAATGCTTGTTGCTGGAGTAGCTAACTAGCGACTTGATCCTAGGTTAATATACTCTCTAAAAGCTTGTTATATTTCCGGATCTAGTATTTAATAGTAAATCTTAGGCTATAAAAGTAGACCTAAGGAGTATTGTGAACAATCATTACTTGACCTTAATGCATGTCTCACTCTACAATGACCAACGAAAGTTAAGCCCATTGGTTTAAGAGATATAGGGGTCGGCGCCACGAAAGTGAGAAGATCATAGCTTAGTGTGTTGAGTTCAAAGAATCGGATTTAACAAACTTTTCAATCGATTTGGCATATGTCCTTTGCGAATGTAATTTGTTCAATAATGTTGCATGTATATTTTCTTTATCTCTTGCATTGTTCATACCTTAGTGTTTTACAAAACAAAAACACAAACCCCTTGCATCGGTTTAGCTTAGCTGAGTCTTGTTAAGCATGTAGTGTACACTCACAATCTCTTGTGGTTCGACCTTTAAGTACTATAATCACAAGTTCTGCACTTGCAACTATTAATTATTTAGGGTTCTTATTACTTGCATATCCCACACCCCATCAATCTTAACTGAGAAGGAATGACTTAGATTAAGAATTTCACCATTCAAAAGATCAGAGAAGTAAACAAGTTCACAAAAGTTAACAACAATGAGACAAATAGACCAATTTTAATTAAATGGCTTACGACAGCAGTGGCAGTGTCGTCGCAGCTCGTTTCTATTACCATAACATCCAAATATTTATCATCAAATTTTGAGGTTTCCATTTTGGGATAGGAGGAAACTCTTGTTGCGGTAGAAAAAAAAACGTGTACTATGAAATATCGATGAAGATGAAGGAGATGTTCGCCAGAAAGTCTGGGTTCTGGTTATAAGCTTATCCTTTTGGTGTTTCTGTAATCTGAGAGAAGGAGAAGTCCAGAAAAAAATACATTCCGGGAAAAATATTCAAGAACTTGAGACGGGTCAGAGACGGATGTATCTTACCCCGCAAGCAACCTCTTTTATACTCATCTGAGTTAACTATCTGATTCGGGTTTCTGAGATCAATCTTGATGACATGGTTGGTTCAGGCGTCGTAGAGAACACCGGTCCAGCTGCAGCAGTCAGGTCTGGACCAAGAAGATAGTCGACGGGAAAGATCAGTGAGTGATTGTTTGAAGGTGAGAAGAGCTTCTCGCTCGGTGGATATGCATTTAGGATTAGATGCTGATACAAAATCAGGGTTTTGAGAAAAAAGATGAAAATCAGAAAGGATTAAATATATCAATTGATCAAATCAAGAAAATCAGTTTTTTTTTGTTAACTTATAACATAATTTGTCTTAGTTGATTGAAATTGATCAATTTATATGCAAATTTATTTTTATTGGATAGTATAGTACTTGTTTGTGTTAAAATTATGTGTGAATAGTTTTATCAAAAATATTTTTTATAAATTTTAAACTTTAAATTTAAGATTTTACTATATAATAGACTTCTAATGTAGACTTCACATAGTTTATAGGTTACAAGCATAATTTATCTTAGTTGACTAAAATGGATTCGTTTTTATACATTTTTGTTTTCATAGATGTCAAATGTTTACATCTTATTTATGTATAATTATTATATAATTTTTATAATTTAAATTTAAGTTGTGATTAGAAAGTAGACTTCATGAGTAGACTTTATATGGGGTAAAAACGTAATTATGACTATCATTTTCTTTTTGTTCAAAAGGGTGTGGTTTGTAATTTGACTATCTTAAAAGACCAGTTTTCACATAAGTGCATTAAAGATTCTAGTTTTGCATTTTAAATCAAATTATGGTCTATATTTAGAACTTTTCCCATCATTCTAAGAGCAGTAAATTATTTTACATATATGGACATGGACCTATGATAAGATAGAAATTTGATAAATTGACAATAGATCAATAACATTTAAGTAACTAGTAAAACAATAGAAACAATTACTATTTTTAAAAAATTAAGGTAGGAAAACATTTAGGCTATACAATTTTTTCTTCATTCTTTCTATTTTTGATTATCGACAAATGCCTTGGTAACAGTTTTTTTCAACGTTTTCCCAACAATTAGTTTCAATTGAAGAAATAATTAGTTTTTTACGATTAAAGCATGCTAAAGAATATTGATTTTGAAAGTTTTAGCAACGATTTTATGAAACAAATAAGAAACTTACGTTTTAGAAATATAGTTTAGTTTGTTTAGAATGTAAAAGTCATACTTTTTATTATAGGTTTTTTGTTACAAATGAAGACATTTTTGTTTTGTTCGCTTGTAGAAGTCGTTAAGGCTTGCACCACTCTGTGTGGAGATGCAAATCCATTCACCGATGAATTTGGACTAAAATGGTCACCTGATCATATTATCTACGGAGAAATCGCTACGATATCTTCTTCCCCTATATAACAAAACCTCATTACACCACTTCGAAGCATTTCTCCGCTGATTCAAGAAAATACTGCTACAACAATGCTATCGCCGATGTTGCCACAATTGAAAAGGCAGAGCTTGTATTTCTTGCTTTTTTAATCTTACTCTCAGAGTCATTACAAAAAAAAAATGTTTTACATCAATTATTTTGTATATTTGCATTAGTTATAACTGTTGCAAAATAATTTTACATCACTTATAAAAGTGACTTTAAAAGTGGTGATTCAAATTCTTTACATGGATGTAAAGAATAAGTGATGTTAATGTGTATCATTTGTAAAAAAATGATATCAAATTTTCCATGAGTTAGTTTAATTGATTATAATATTTGTTACAAATATTCTAAATGAGTCAAATATTTCTATCACTTTAAATAATTAGAGAGTTTGATGAAGTCTCTCCAATAAAAAAAACACTCAGTTAAAAAAAGATAGATAAAGATGAGCAAAAACTAAGGAAAAAATAAACAAAATATAAGTAAAAAACAAAAAAAATAGTCGTTGTGATATTTGAAGTGATTTTTGACATAGATTCAAACATTTTTTTATGAGAGCAGGTTTTGTGAGCTTAGATTTTAAACCAGTGTGTTGAAAACCGGATCGACCCGGTGGTCGGACCGGGTTCGACCATGAACCGGACATGTGATCGGGTTGGATTTCCGGTCTGGTTTAATACGGTTAATTAATTAAATATTTTTTTTATTTTTTTCCACTTTTGATTTTTTTTTAAAATTATATATGTTTATACTATAAATAATTAATTAGAACAATGAAAATATAAGTTTTTAATATTATATATATTTAATACTATATATCAATTTTTAACTATTTTTATTTTTATTTTAAAATTTATCTATTTAAAATAAATATAAAATAAATTATTATGAACCGGGTTCAACTCGGTCGAACCAGATTGAACCATGACTCGGATGACTATCCAGTTTGCATTCCGGTCCGATTTTAAAAACAGTGGTGCAAACTGATGAACCTTGACTAAAATAGATATCTCATACTCATCTTAAGATTCTTACCTATGGGAGTTATTTCAAACGTTTTTTTTTTAGACCCACCAAATAATTTTCGAAATCTCGAGGGAATTTTAATTTTAAAAACATTCAAAATTGAAGTTATTTCCTTTCTGAATTAAGAGATAAATGTTGACAGTGGGATTTGAACCCACGCCCTTTCGGACCAGAACCTTAATCTGGCGCCTTAGACCAACTCGGCCATATCAACTTGTTTGTTCCATAATTTAAACTTTCGATCAACAGAATTAACTAATTATTGGTAATATAATCCTAAAAGAATAGTCAACAATTTCGAAACTGTAGTTGCAGCGTCATGGTAGCTGCGCTGACTCTGCCAACTCGTCTTCTCTTCCGTATGAATGACACTTTTTTTTCTGTTTCTTGTAAAAGTTATTTTTTGTTTCTGCCGATTCTGAAACAGAGAGAGACCCGATTCTGTTTCTGCCGAGAACAATGTCTCCGAGCAGTAAAACGGGAGTTTTCTTGCCCCTGTTTCTAGCGTTGACTATGGTGGTCAACGGGAGATTCTACGTGGAGAAGAGCAGCGTGACGGTCCTTAACTCATGGGAAATGGGAGCTAAGCACGACGCAGCCATCGCAGACTTTGGCATCCCAAACCACGGCGGTTTCATGATCGGCTCCGTCGTCTACGCAGGCCAAGACGCTTACGGATGCGACTCCTTCAACAAAACCTTCAAGCCCAAGTCTTCTTATCCCACCATCCTCCTCATTGACCGTGGAGGAAAACAAAATTACTTTGGAGTACTCGAGAGTTTCTATTGTTTAGTTTGTGTCCATTTCTTGATCATAATAAAATGTTGAGACTTGGTCAAAATGCTGGTTACAGACTTATCGTTATACAAAGAAAGTTTTTGTAAGTAAAAGTTGAGACTTGGTCAAAATCTCATTCTGTTTTTTGGAATTTCTGATAGATTGACTATTTAGTAAGAACTCATGCCATTTAGACTGTTTCATCAAGAATGTAACTAAAAGTTTGGAACTTTTCGTTAACTTCTACTTTTTCTTTAGTGTGTAACTTTGCTTTGAAGATATGGAACATGCAAGGATCCGGTGCAGCGGCTGTTCTTATAGCAGACGACATTGTTGAGCCATTGATAACAGTCCAAACATAAAGATCCTAGCGTTTTCTCCCTACTGAATTCACACCTCGTTTACTTGCTTTGTTTGCGAGTACAATTACAACCGTTGACCTAGCATTTTCTCCCTGAATTCACACCTCGTTTACTTGCTTTGTTTTAGTTAAAATTACAACCTCTCAATCATACTTTTGTTGTAGCTTGATCCGAAATCTATATTTTCAAAGTGTACTCAATAGCCAGTTCTTGTATTCGATACCCATACTTCTACGATCTATGCACTTGCAGAGGTCTAAAGAGTTTGGTAAAACCTGACTCACATCAAACATGCAAGTATGTACAATAAAAAACATAAAAGAAAAGAGGAGACCACCTAAGTGGCTCCGAAACTTTATTGACCTCAGGTCTCTTGTAAAGAGAAGTGACAAGATATGAAAAAAAAAGATATCTAAACACGAGGCTAAAAGAAAGAATATATAGAAGAAGAGAGGAGTAGGTTGGCTGAGTTAAGGCGCAACAAGAAGAGGAAATTTTCCATTTCTTCTTGGCTGCTTGAGCTTGCAGGCCAAGTTCTTGAATGGGCCGAGGTCTTGGCCTTTAAAACGTGTACAAGAAATCAGGCTTCATTCTAGAAAGGCTTAGACTCGAGCCCGAAGTGAAACCGGTCCATTTGTACACCAAGGTTTTCTGTGGGCTATTTTGTTCGCCAAACAGACATGTCTCGGTAAACGGATGTATTTCCCTTGTTTGCCAGCTGATATTGATTCGTTTTTGTTGTATCATGTCCAATTCAATGCTTTGTGTGTGAAATTGATTCTTAAAACTGGTGTCCCTTGTTTTTATGATTCATAAAAACCCAACCGAACTAGAAAGCATACATCTTTTATGCTTTGAATGCTCCTTTCTTTTGAGTAACATGTTTTCTTTCTTCTTTTTCTTCATATCTCGAGATAGCATCGAAGAATACAGCTGGTGGAGATGATGACAACTCAAATCAGCTCAAGAAAGTAAAGGTTAGGTTTCCGCCCTTTTGTGATAGATTAGCTTGCGGCTGTAGTTATTGTTTGCGGTTTAGGTAGAATAGTGTAAATGGTACCGGTTGTTGTTTGATTTTAATTGGTTCATAGGTGATCGCGGGATCAGGTCTTCCCTTTTCCTATCCCTGATTCTGCAAGTGCACAGGTAAACGGGTATCGAACACAAGGAGCAGATAAGTACACTTCGAGTATTGCAAGTCTAATATAGCTAGAAAACAAGTATGATTTAGGGTTTTGATTGTGTAACAAGGAAATCAAACAGCAGTTAAACGGTTTATGAAAATCAATAAAGGGAAACGCTAGGCAATGAGAAACTCGCAGAGATTCAAGGTTAACAAGATATTAGAAGGTTTCGCTAGGGTTTGCGCTATCTAGAACTCAGGTCACGATTGTATGATCTTTCCACTGTCGAGGCTCCGACCCCTTTGTTAATCTACCTAGTCGCTAAACTTTTGGTATGTCCCTAGGTGATTAAATCAAGCAATAGTTCGTTCAAGACCCAATTGTTCACAACCCCGCATAGATCAACTTTCGCAGTCTATGAAGTTTTGCTCACCAAATACTTAGTTCAGGTTATATAGCAAGCTTTTGGAGAGTATATGAAACCTAAGATCTGATGCTAGTTGATCAGAAAAGCAAGCAGCAATGAATTCAAGCAGATGAAGATGCGATATATAAACCCTAGGCGATTCTAACAACCTATCAAACCATGAACTCTTTGATAGATCTCACAACCTAACTAGTGAATTACTCAGACATAATCAAAGCAAAACACAAAGAGATGAAGAAAACATGATTGCAATAAAACTCAAAGTATGAAATCGTAATACAAGGCGGCTCTCTTTCAAAGAGGCTAAAAAGCTATATATATAGTGCTAGGTCTTCAGAGGCGGCTTAGGGTTAAGCCGGGCCTTGAAAATACGTGAAACGGGCTTCAAAACGGGCTTCGGGTCGACCGCGGCGTTGGGACGGTCGGTCGGGACGATCGGCCGGACATCGGGTCATGGTCGCGGCACGATCGGAACGGTCGTGGCCGATGGTTCGTGGTCGGCCGCTGTGGTCGGCGGATGAAGATTTGGCCGATGATTTCTCGGCCGGAGCGTGGGACGGCTTTCCTGATCGGACGATCGGCCGTGGTACGTGAGTTGTCGCGGCCGCGAGGCGTACTTCCTCGCGGCGTGATCGTGCGCGGCATCGTGAATGGTTGTGACTTGGCCGACCGCGGGACATTGTTCCCGGGTCGGTGCGTGATCGGCCGTGGTTTGGCGGGACGGACGTGTTCGGACTTTGGCCGACGCGGAACATTCGTTCCTCGGCCAGCCGCTCGCGGTTGGCGCTGTTTCTCGATAGAGCCGTCTGGACAGTCTTCACTTTTTGGATAACTCCTTTTCTACTCATCCAAATGAGGCCGTTCCAGTTGCGTTGGAAAGTTAACTCAATCAGAGCACGCAGGGAACTGGTCTTGATGAAATCCATTGAGTAGATCTTTTTCTGGGCCCTCTTAAAGTTGATGCTTGTGCATGGAGCGGCTTGAAGTGCAAATCCTATGGTTTTGCTCCAAAATGCATCATTTCACCTGTTTAGACTCTAGACACTATAAACACAGTAAAACTACCTTTTTAGATAGAAAACCTGCCAAAAACCATTAGAAAACAATACTAAAACAGTATAAAAAGATGTAAAATAGAGGTATATCAATAGGTCTGCTTATGGTTATGAGTGATTAGGAAAATATGTATGTTGCTTTGAGTTGAGTTAAAATGCTATCTCAACCACTAAAGTGTAGAGTTAAATGAGCTAAAAGAACTTTCATAAAACGAATTATTCTATAAAGACACAACTTTGTAAGCTTCTTCTTCACTCATCTCGCTAACCCTAAAACAAACCTATCGGTTACCAAACTTTAAGTCTAAGTAAAAAACATTTTGTGTCTTGTTTCTCCTTCTGTTTTGACGAAATGGGTTCCAATAGTCCCTCCCTCAAGGTTTTCTGTGGGCTATTTTGTTCGCCAAACAGACATGTCTCGGTAAACGGATGTATTTCCCTTGTTTGCGAGCTGATATTGATTCGTTTTTGTTGTATCATGTCCAATTCAATGCTTTGTGTGTGAAATTGATTCTTAAAACTTGTGTCCCTTGTTTTTTATGATTCATAAAAACCCAACCGAACTAGAAAGCATACATCTTTTATGCTTTGAATGCTCCTTTCTTTTGAGTAACATGTTTTCTTTCTTCTTTTTCTTCATATCTCGAGATAGCATCGAAGAAGACAGCTGGTGCAGATGATGACAACTCAAATCAGCTCGAGAAAGTAAAGGTTAGGTTTTCGCCCTTTTGTGATAGATTAGCTTGCAGCTGTAGTTATTGTTTGCGGTTTAGGTAGAAAAGTGTAAATGGTTGCGGTTGTTGTTTGGTTTTAATTGGTTCATAGGTCTGCTTATGGTTGTGAGTGATTAGGAAAAATAAGTATGTTGCTTTATGTTGAGTTAAATGCAATCTCAACCACTAAAGTGTAGAGTTAAATGAGCTAAAAGAACTTTCATAAAACGAATTATCCTATAAAGACACAACTTTGTGAGCTTCTTCTTCACTCATCTCGCTAACCCTAAAACAAACCTATCGGTTACCAAACTTTAAGTCTAAGTAAAAAACATTTCGTGTTTTGTTTCTCCTTCTGTGTTGACGAAATGGGTACTAATAGTCCCTCCCTCTAGGTACAGTAGATCCTTCACAGACCTCATGAACCAAACCGATACAGCTCAAACACCTTCGTTTTGTACCCAAAACACCTTCGTTTTGTACCCAAAACACCTCTGTTTGGTACCAAACCCCTCTGTTTGGTACCCAAACACTTCGCTTCGGTGATCAAACTCCTGTCTTTAGCACCCAGACTAGCTCCACAGCAGATGACGGTGATGGTGTAGATGAGAGCTCACCCTTGGCTACACGGGAAGTGAGAAGAAGATGGACAAACGCAGTAGATTTTATGCTGGTGAGCGAATGGTTAAACACCAGCAAAGATGGCATCATTGCAAATGAACAGAGAGCTGCCGCGTTTGGAAACGGGGTTGCAATTATTACAATGGGTGTTCTACGGTGAAGGACTTCCCTCCTTGCAAGTTTAATACTTGCAGGCAGAGATGGACAAAAATAAATGAAGGAGTGCAGAAGTTTTGCGGATGCTTCGACCAGGCGAGCCGTCAAGCTACAAGCGGCCAATCCGAGGATGATGTCTTCCAGATGGCTTACAAGTTCTATTACCAGGATCAGAAGACCAACTTCATCTTAGAGTATGCGTGGAGAGTTCTTAGAAACGATCAGAAGTGGTGTTCTCTTACTAGAGATAAAGGCAAAACGCAGAGCAAAAGAGCACAGCCACATGATTTCGTAGACGTCTGTCCCATGGAGGAACAAGTGGAAGAGAGACCAATCGGTGTGAAGGCAGCAAAGGCTGAAAATTTGAAAGGAAAGAAGACCGTGAAAAGAACTAGCGAAGACAGGAGGCTGCTATGAAGAACCTCCAAGCCGTGGCTGCTCTAAGTGAGAAGGAGTTCAGTAACAAGGACAAATTAGCGGATAAACAAGTCCTAGCTAACTTCTTAGGAAAAACGAAACCACTTAACGAAATAGATAAAGCGCTCAAGGATAAGCTAATTAGTCAGATATATCAGTAGGTTTCAGTTAAGTGAAATGTCCCATTTTTTTTAAATTATTTGATGCCTTGTCTTAATGTCTTCAAACTTGTTTTATTGTGTTCCCGATTTCCTTATAATCTAGTCATGTTTTAATGCTTCCAGGTTTCAATCATTAAACTTGTTTTATTTTTGTTTATGCTTCCCGGTTCCACCAATAAACTTGTTTTATGCTTCTGTGAGGCTTCCATGATGTTTTTGTTTATGTATTGTGTCTTTAGCATTGTTGTTTATGCTTCAGTGATGTTTAACGCTCTGCTTCCTGTATATGGTTCTTGCAGAACCTACTTGAGGTGTACAACTCGGAGAAGCGCCAGTTGGACTTGCTCAAAATCAAACACAAACATGTTCAGAAGGCATTCATGGGATCTTACGATCGGTTTAGGGCTCTTCATCGTCACACAATCGAGTTGAGGAAAGATATGGCCGCCTGTGAGAATGCATTGATGGAAGCAGAGCAAGATTCGTTGGACTGTGGAGCAGCTTCCCGTGAGGCCGATAGAGAGATGGCGGAATGCATAGAGCGCCTGAAAGAAACCTCTGCGAAGATGGGAGAAAAGTGGGAAGTGGTGAAAGGATTCTTGTACTTAGGTAATGTCCATGTTTGCTTTGATGTGTTTTTAATTATATGGTTTACTTTATCTGTGTTGATGGTAACTAATAGATGGTGTTTGCGTGTGTTAAGACTAAAACGGAGGAGGAGGCGTGGAGCAAGATAGGAGCAAGAGTTTCTCTGCGTGCCGGCCTGATTTACTTGTTGTTGCCGACCTCTTGTTTGGGTCTTTATGTGAAACTCTGTTTTGGTCTTTTTCTAAAACGTGTATTTTAGTTGCGTCCGCCAATCCAAAACAAATATCAACCACTATTTTCCTTTTTATCTTTCTGCTCTCGGCCAGAAAACAAACAACTGTCGGCCACATGAAACTCTTTGCATCTATTATAAAATCGCACTTTGTAATCTTTTTCATTATATAAAACCTTCTATCTCTTTGCATCTCACCTCAAACTCTCCTCTTTAAACTCTCCTCAAACTCTCCATTGCACATATCTTCAAACTCTCCACTAATACCTCTCTTCAAAACTTGTATTCCATTCTTTAAAACACCAAACATAAAAATGGCATCATCTTCCAACCATCCTTGGAACATCCGCTTGATAATGATTATTTCAGTGAGAATGCTATCTATCCCGAGGCCATATTCCGACGTCGCTTTCGGATGAACCGACCATTGTTCATGCGTATAGTTAACAAGCTATCCGACTTACCCTTCTTTCAGCACATACCGGATGGTACTGGAAAGCTCGGTCTGACCGGCTTACAAAAATGCACCGCCGCCATTCGTATGCTGCATATGGCAATGCAGCTGATGCAGTCGATGAATACCTCAGACTAGGAGCGAGCACTGCGCTGAAATGCTTGCATAAATTTACCAACGCAATCATCGTTTTTACGAGGAGGACTATCTCAGAAGGCCTACACCAGCAGATCTTAAACGATTACTCAAGGTTGGAGAGACGCGTGGATTTCCTGGCTCAATAGGAAGCATTGACTGTATGCATTGGGAGTGGAAAAATTGTCCCACGGAATGGAAAGGGCAATATGCACGGGGTCATGCAAAACCAACAATCGTTTTAGAGGCTATGCGTCGTATGATCTGTGGATTTGGCACGCATTTTTCGGACCTCCAGGTACTTTAAACGACATTAATGTTCTCCACCGCTCACCCGTGTTTGATGATATATTAGAAGGTCGAGCTCCTAAGGTGTCATTCTCTGTTAATGGACACCGATACAAGAAGGCTTACTATCTCACAGATGGTATATATCCGGAATGGTCGACTTTTGTCAAACCAATTCCTCAGCCAGGGAACCGAAAGCAAAATTATTTTGTGCCCATCAATCGTTTGCCCGCAAAGAAGTTGAGCGCGCTTTTGGAGTCTTACAAGCTCGATTTGCAATTGTTAAAAACCCGTCTCTTACAATGGATAAGCAGAAGATAGGGAATATAATGAAGGCTTGTATCATATTACACAATATGATTGTGGAAGATGAAAGAGACGCTGAAACTCTAGTATAACGAAACGAATTCAACAAGGAGGAGCAGACGGGAGCGGGTCTTCAAGTACATCCCCTGACCTTGCCGTCGAATGTCCACAATATTATGGCTAATCGAGCTGATATTCGTGACAACAAAAGCATCACCAATTGAAAGCTGATTTGGTTGAGCATATTTGGAACAAATTTGGTTCTTAATCATGTTTTCATATGGTTTAGAACATGTATGTTTGTCTTTGTGTTTTTCTCTGTATGCAGTTTTTTCCTCGTTTTATATGTAATAAATGTTGTATTTGTCTTTTTAATAATGTATCTAGTTATTATGAATAATAATATTTTCTTTCAATTTTATAAATACTTAAAAAAAATATATTTTTTAAAGAAACCCATATGGAGTATGTAATGTTGTGCATAATTATCAAGTTTCTTCCCAAATCTCTTTAACTAAAATAATATTTTTTTAATATATTAAATGTGGGAAGAAACCCATATGGGTATGTGCAATGCACATGCTCTAATTGGTTCGATGGAGCAATCTAATATGGGGATAAAGCTTACGGATAGTTCTTTAACCGAGCCTCTTGGAGAAGTGAAGGATATTCCACTCGACTTTGGAGGATACATTGTTTCAGCCGACTTCTATGTAGTAGTTATACAAGATCCGGAAGACCTAAGTCTTTTGCTTGGAAGAACTTTCTTGGCAACAGTTGGGGTAATCATGGATTGTCGTAGTAGAAGAGTCTTACTAGCCTATGTGGAAAAGGATACCTTCTAGGATGCCGCACCTCCCAGATTCTCATCAAAGCGATTTCGCTACACTAGTGAAGGAGAAAGCGCACAAGTGAGAGGTCAAGCACATGGAGATCCTACAAGATGAGGTGCTACTGGATTCATCAAGCACTAGGAGATACTTGTAGCCTCCTTACATACTTCACACCTAAGAAACACAAGGAGTCGAGCTAAAAAAGACTTCAAACTAGCGCTTATGGGAGGCAACCCTTTTTTTAAGAACTTCTTTATTGTTTTATTTATCTATTTAATTTTTTTGAGAATTTTATAAAATCTAAAAAAATACCAAAAAACTGTTTTAAGATCAAGTACCAAAGGAGACTATACACGGATTTTGCATCAACCAAAAACTGCACCACCATAAGCCGACTCAAGAGAGCAATGTTTGACATATGGAGTTATCACCCAAGTCCCACCCTTTTTCAATGCATCAAAGGTGCCAAGGGTCATGCCCCTGATCTTCAAGAAAACGCTAAGGCATAACCAAACAAAAGCCTTTGATCAAGAGATTCAAGGTAAGTAATCCCTTCTCTATCTTTACTTGTCATTCACATACTATAAATTGATTTCAATTTGGTTAAACTATTTATAGAACTTGGGATCCCTAATCAAGACCTAAAATATTTTTATAGTTTATACCATTTAATCTTAGATTGAGAATTTGAAGATGATCACTTGGATATATCGGTCTAAGACCGCATCTAATAAGTGAAATTAAAGTGTTTTGGAAGGACTGAATTACTTGACAGAAAAGATAACAAGAAGAGTAGTTGTTACTGCACAAACCAAAAGTGGCGGTTTCTAGGCGGTTTCAACGGAGACACATACCAACCACACGAAACAAGGCGAACTCGACCTGGGTTTGACAAAGAAGGGATTAAAAAAAACCAATTCGGCCGAAACGGGTGCCAAGGCCAACCATCATCGACCATCTCCCAAACCGCGTGTTCGAAGTCCACCAAACTTCACAAGCATCTCCAATATGTCATTTTGGTCAGCAAATTTTCAAGATAGGACGAAAAATTCTTCACAGTTCAAGACATACTCAATTTCGCCCTATCCTGTCGGAAAATCCAACATCAAGCAAAGGCGCGGAAACCAACTGAAAAATACTTCTTGAAGCTTAAAATATCACTTTTCCAGAAGAAGATCAGAAGATGCACGAGCCAAACATCAGACGGTCCAATGAAGATGTTCCTGAAGGCGATTTGACCACCTAATCAAGCATCTCTCAAACGGTTCGTTTGAATGCTCTCAAACTTCACCACATGCCATAGAATATCAGGTCGGTTGGTGAAATTTCAATATGGTACGATGAATTGGTCCATAGTATGGTCAACCAAAATTGCCCATACTTGACCAAAATACCACCCGAGAACGAACCAAGTCTGGAAGTTGAAAACTCACCAACTAATAATGCCTAAGGAGAGCTTTGCATCAGTTAGTTAACTCCTGGAGAATCCATTAGAAGAAAAACAGATCTTCATACCTTTTGGTAACAAAATCCCGAAACTATTTTATTTTTTTATTTTTCTTTCACCTCTCTTAATTTGATTTGCTTATACTGACAGGGTGTAAGTTAAGTCTGGGGGCTTACTATTACTAGAAATTTTGTTCTTTTTGACTTTTTATTTTTCTTTGAGTCGTTTTTTTGAGTCAAAATTTTGTCAGATAATTCATAATTATGACCTATTTCATTGTAATTAACCATGTTATGCTAATGCTAAAGTGACCATTGAAGCAGTATTTGGCAGTACACCTTACCGCATGCACACCGTTAGCGGATTGATCCACCAAAAACGCCCACATCTCTAAAAGCCTATATATGAAGGATCCATCTTTGGCTCTGCACCTAGATGAACTTAATCTTCTCAACTAGGGGCTTGGCATACAAAGGGCATGACTCCTCATCCTTACCAACAAGAAAAAGTCTGTGTGGCTTCGGTTTCCCCTCTCTCCCCTTCAATACAAGAAAAAGCATCAAGGTCCAAGTAACCAGGGATTAGCTGGCAACCACCATCAATACTCGCGTCTATGGAAGGCTTATGGATCTAAGTAACCTGGGATTAGGTAGTAACCACCATCAATAATTGTGTCTATGAAAGATCCAGCCAAAGAAATAGAATCTCTAAACTATAAAGTAGAAGAAGTCGATAGAAAAATTAAAATGCTACCCTTATAAAGGGATGAATCGACTTGAAGAAGTGAGAAGAGGGAGAGGAGAAACAAGAAGTAAAAGATTTATAAAAAAGAAAAGGATGGGTAAGAGTCTATGAGCCTTTTGATCGATATTCCCTAGATGAGACTACACTTTAGCAACTAAAGGAGCCAAAGATGGTGAATTCAAATGGTCCTATGGAGTGTGGATTGCTTTGGGACGATTGATAAACTCACAGTAAGTAACTCTTGTTCTTCATCTAAATGCCAATTCTGTTTTTGTGTGGATTACTAAAGTATAAGACAACTTAGAGTTTCAAGGGATTTGAGAGTTCTCCTGTTTTCAAACCACTCTTTCCTTCTTAGTTTTCTTGAGGACAAGCAAAAGGTTAAGTCTGGAGGAGTTGATATACTTATACTTTACATGTTTTTATTAAGGTTTTAAATATATTTTCTAACAAAATAATATGGTTTTTATGTCTAAGAGGAAGTTTTCTTGTATATTTTGGTTTTCAGAATCAAATATGTCAAAATGGCGAAAAGGAGGCAAAATGGTGAAAAAGGGCATCATACCATTATCCAATCAAGTTCCCAAGACAAGAGCATCAATCAAAACTCGTAGAGCTCGATTTCTGCAATCGAACAGAACCGGAGCATCAGAAGTTTGGCCACGAACAAAGGTCTTCCAGACATCCAAAAATCATGATCTTGATCTTGCTGGATATATAAATTAGTCAAGCATCACGCCGAAGTGGAATGGAGCCATTTGGAGTTCCCGTCAGGGAAATACACCCGTTTTACCGAGACTTGTCCGTTTGGCGAACAAAAAAAGCTCACAGAAAAACTTGGTCTACAAATGGACCGGATTCACTTCCGGCTTGAGCCTAAACCTTTCTAGAATAAAGCCTGATTTCTTCTAAACGATTTAGAGGCCAAGAAGAAATGGAAACTTTCGTCTTCTTGTTGCGCCTAAACTAAGCCGACCTACTCCTCTCTTCTTCTATACATACTTGCTTTTAGCCTCTTGTTTAGATATCATTAATTTTTTTCATTTACGTTTTTCATTGTACATATTTGCATGTTTTAGTTTGTTTATGTCTAGGAGTAGAGGTCTCTCTCTATGAAGGAGCCGCAGTTTGATTCTGTCTGCCTCTTTTCATTAGATCTATGGGATTCCTTCTATCTTTCTAGATTCATTGTTGAATTATGAATCATTCAATAAGGACATGACATAATTGCCTTTGAGAATCGGTTGTGAATTAAAGGGAAACTTTGTGGTTCTCCATCTTTATTTACACATAATGCTTGTTGCTGGAGTAGCTAACTAGCGACTTGATCCTAGGTTAATATACTCTCTAAAAGCTTGTTATATTTCCAGATCTAGTATTTGATAGTAAATCTTAGGCTATAAAAGTAGACCTAAGGAGTATTGTGAACAATCATTACTTGACCTTAATGCATGTCTCACTCTACAATGACCAACGAAAGTTAAGCCCATTGGTTTAAGAGATATAGGGGTCGGCGCCACGAAAGTGAGAAGATCATAGCTTAGTGTGTTGAGTTCAAAGAATCGGATTTAACAAACTTTTCAATCGATTTGGCATATGTCCTTTGCGAATGTAATTTGTTCAATAATGTTGCATGTATATTTTCTTTATCTCTTGCATTGTTCATACCTTAGTGTTTTACAAAACAAAAACACAAACCCCTTGCATCGGTTTAGCTTAGCTGAGTCTTGTTAAGCATGTAGTGTACACTCACAATCTCTTGTGGTTCGACCTTTAAGTACTATAATCAAATGTTCTGCACTTGCAACTATTAATTATAGGGTTCTTATTACTTGCATATCCCACACCCCATCAATCTTACCTGAGAAGGAATGACTTAGACTAAGAATTTCACCATTCAAAAGATCAGAGAAGTAAACAAGTTCACAAAAGTTAACAACAATGAGACAAATAGACCAATTTTAATTAAATGGGCTTACGACAGCAGCGGCAGTGTCGTCGCAGCTCGTTTCTATTACCATAACATCCAAATATTTATCATCAAATTTTGAGGTTTCCATTTTGGGATAGGAGGAAACTCTTGTTGCGGTAGAAAGAAAAAAAATGTGTACTATGAAATATCGATGAAGATGAAGGAGAGGTTCGCCATAAAGTTTGAGTTCTGGTTATAAGCTTATCCTTTTGGTGTTTCTGTAATCTGAGAGAAGGAGAAGTCCAGAAAAAAATACATTCCGGGAAAAATATTCAAGAACTTGAGACGGGTCAGAGACGGATGTATCTTACCCCGCAAGCAACCTCTTTTATACTCATCTGAGTTAACTATCTGATTCGGGTTTCTGAGATCAATCTTGATGACATGGTTGGTTCAGGCGTCGTAGAGAACACCGGTCCAGCTGCAGCAGTCAGGTCTGGACCAAGAAGATAGTCGACGGGAAAGATCAACGAGTGATTGTTTGAAGGTGAGAAGAGCTTCTCGCTCGGTGGATATGCATTTAGGATTAGATGCTGATACAAAATCAGGGGTTTTGAGAAAAAAGATGAAAATCAGAAAGAATTAAATATATCAATTGATCAAATCAAGAAAATTAGTTTTTTGTTAACTTATAACATAATTTGTCTTAGTTGATTGAAATTGATCAATTTATATGCAAATTTATTTTTATTGGATAGTCAGTGGCGAATCCACGTTAGTAGATACAGGGTCAGTTGACACCATATCATTTGTTATAAAAAAAAATTTGTACCTAAAATATCTAAAGTTCACTAGAAAAAATGGTAAAAGTTACCTATTGACACCTTATAACCCAAGTTCGACTCCCTTTAAAGTATTTTTGAACCCACTCAAAAACTTTCCTAGATTCGCCACTGTGGATAGTATAGTACTTATTTGTGTTAAAATTATGTGTGAATAGTTTTATCAAAAATATTTTTTATAAATTTTAAACTTTAAATTTAAGATTTTATTATATAATAGACTTCTAATGTAGACTTCACATAATTTATAGGTTACAAACATAATTTATCTTAGTTTACTTAAATGGATTCGTTTTTATACTTTTTTGTTTTCATAGATGTCAAATGTTTACATCTTATTTATGTATAATTATTATATAATTTTATAATTTAAATTTAAGTTGTCATTAGAAAGTAGACTTCATTACGAAGTCTACTATGTAGTAGACTTCACGAGTAGACTTTATATGGGGTAAAGAAGTATTTATGGCTATCATTTTCTTTTTGTTCAAAAGGGTGTGGTTTGTAATTTGACTATCTCAAAAGATCAGTTTTCACATAAGTGCATTAAAGAGTCTAGTTTTGCATTTTAAATCAAATTATGGTCTATATTTAGAACTTTTCCCATCATTCTAAAAGCATTAAATTATTTTAATAAATTAATAGGCTATTAGTTATATCATATTAGTTTCAAACAGTAAAATTATTTTACATACATGGACATGGACTTATGATAAGATAGAAATTTGATAAATTGACAATAGATCAATAACATTTAAGTAACTAGTAAAACAATAGAAACAATTACTATTTTTAAAAAATTAAGGTAGGAAAAGATTTAGGCTATACAATTTTTTTCTTCATTCTTTCTATTTTTGATTATTGACAAATACCTTGGTAACAGTTTTCTTCAACGTTTTCCCAACAATTAGTTTCAATTGAAGAAATAATTAGTTTTTTTACGATTAAAGCATGCTAAAGAATATTGATTTTGAAAGTTTTATCAATGATTTTATAAAACAAATAAGAAAATTACGTTTTAGAAATATAGTTTAGTTTGTTTAGAATGTAAAAGTCATACTTTTTATTATAGGTTTTTTTGTTACAAATGAAGACATTTTTGTTTTGTTCGCTTGTAGAAGTCGTTAAGGCTCACACCACTCTGTGTGGAGATGCAAATTCATTCACCGATGAATTTGGACTAAAATGGTCACCTGATCATATTATCTACGGAGAAATCACTACGATATCTTCTTCCCCTATATAACAAAACCTCAATACACCACTTCGAAGCATTTCTCCGCTGATTCAAGAAAATACTGCTACAACAATGCTATCGCCGATGTTGCCACGATTGAAAAGGCAGAACTTGTATTTCTTGCTTTTTTAATCTTACTCTCAGAGTAATTACAAACAAAAAATGATTTACATCAATTATTTTGTATATTTACATTAGTTATAACTGTTGCAAAATAATTTTACATCACTTATAAAAGTGACTTTAAAAGTGGTGATTCAAATTCTTTATATGGATGTAAAGAATAAGTGATGTTAATGTGTATTATTTGTAAAAAAATGATATCAAATTTTTCATGAGTTAGTTTAATTGATGGGCTGTTTTCAAATGTAATTCACAAATTGGAGTCAAATCTAAAAGTAATACCCTCTTTTTTCCTTCCTTCTTTATCCTTACTATATTTGTGGTAATAACGAAAATGCCATTATTTTCGTGCTTGAAGTCTAACCGGGAAGTCTAACACGCGAAAAAAATGTCCAAAGAAACCTCATCTTCTTCATTTATTCACGAAAATGCCATCACCATCAATTCGTCCAACAACCATTCTCAACCGAAATCAAGCTTTCAATGCACAATGTACTCTTCAAACATATATACAAACTCATTATATCATCTCATAAACTTGTATTGGTCAATTTCTTCTCAATTTTCACCCCAAGAATACACATTTTCATCTTTTCAAAGTTTATGTTCTTAGATCTTCCCATTTTTGGTGTGGGAGATCATTATAACGGTTGGGGAAGTTTGCTAAAGCTCTAAATCGAAGTTATAAGCCGTCAACGAAACATAAGATCACGACAAGGTAAATTTCCGGTAGATCTGAGTGAATCTCATATTTTTGCATGCAGGTCCTTAGACTTCATAGGGAAGTCTAACAAACTAGTTGTGCAATTGATTTTTTTTAAAAACTAGAGAGTAGACTTCATTGTGAAGTCTACCCATATTCCTTTGAAAACAAAAAAATATGGCGTAGGCTTCAGAATGAAGTCTACTCGAAAAAGATTAGTTTTGCAATTGACAGAATAAAAACTTTTTATGGGAAATCTATCTGTGAAGTCTACTTGAATAAAAGACTAGTTTTGCAAACTTAAAGTAGTTTGTTTTATCGTGAAGTTTACCCCTGAAGTCTATTAATGTTGTATTAGGCTTCATTCAAAGTCTAATACTTCATTAGACTTCACCAAGAAGTCTAATAAAGGGTTAGACTTCATTCCGAAGACTAATTCTGGATAGACTTCACCAAGAAGTCTAATAGTCAACGTTTTTCGGATTAGACTTCACGATGAAGTCTTTTTTCTAAATTCTAAAATTTCAATAAATTTCACGATGAAGTCTTGTGAAAATTGAATATTAGACAATATTAGGTAGACTTATAGGTGAAGTCTACTACTAAAGTCTACTAATGAAGTCTAATGCGGTTGGTTTTTGTTTACTTGCAGGAAATGGTTTACATTGCATCAGTTTATGGAGAATAGGTGATAAAGGACAATTTGTCTTGGCATTTTGAGGTTGATTATCGGAAAGGAGGTAGAATGTTCTCATTGAGGGATGGATGTACACATGATGAGCTTATTCAAATGGCTTTAGAGGATTATTCGGTAACCAAGATCAGACACCGTTTGGAAATATCATATCCATTACCAAAAGTGTTCACTCAGCAAGTGTGTAATGATTCTCCGCCCATGTTTGTCACAAACGACAGACAAGTCGAAAGCTTGATCGAGCTAAGTAGAACTCGTGTTGTACGACTTAGTGTCTCTAGCAAAGCAAAGGGAAGGATGAAGACAACGTAGATGGACCTTTGGATGAAGACTTGGATGAAAATCTGGATGATGAGGTGAAGGAAGAGTTCGATGAAGAGTTGGATGAAGATTGGAGCGCAGAAGCAGAAGAAACGTCTGAAGAGTCGGGTTGTGATGAGGATGATGTAAGGGAAAAAACTTATGAACTCGATGATGACACACACGCGGACTACAATCAGTATGGGAAAATTAAAGATGAAGACGTTGACATTGAAGTTCCTTTCGATGATCCCCGCCTTTTAGGGCGTGGTGTGGGTCATCGTATAGGAATTGATAATTGGGAAGACAATATTTACGAGCACCAGAGCTTTGATACCAAGGCCCAACTTATCTCTGAGTTGCGTTTGACTGCGGTGATGACAAGATTCTCATTCAGGATAGCTACGTCTACAAGAAAAGTGTTTGTGGCCAAATGCAAAGTCGCTGGATGCGCATGGAGGGTTAGAGCGGCTGTAAAGAACGAACCCTCCACGTTTTGGGTGACAAAGTACGTGAAGTCGCATACATGTTCTGTTTCTGATCGAGTACGTAAGCATAAACGTTTTACAACGAAGTATATTGGAAAGCTTTTTCTTGATCGGACAGGGCTTATTGAAGGAATTGTGCCGCAACACATAAGAGACTCTATGAGGAGGATGTTTGGAATGAAGCTCGACTATACGGCTTCATATAGAGCTTTGAAACATGCCCAAGACTTGGTGTGGGGAACAGTAGAAGAAGGATACGCGAATCTGCCTTCTTACTTGCAAAGTATCAAGGAAGCAAATCCGGGAAGTGTGACTGACCTTGTCTGCGACTCACAGGATCGTTTTAAGTACTGCTTTCTATCACTCGCAGGTTCTATATCTGGTTTTCAGTATTTGAGGAGAGTGATTGTGGTTGATGGGACTCATCTTACTGGGAAATACGGAGGAGCTCTACTCGTGGCTGCCGGACAAGACGCCAACTTTCAAATATTCCCGCTAGCTTTCGCAGTGGTCGATGGTGAGGATAATGAATCATGGGAATGGTTTTTCAACAAACTTAGAGATTGTTTCAGGCAACTTCCGCCAATGGCGATAGTCTCTGACCGTGCCGCTGCCATAGCTAGAGCATTGGAATCGTTATGCCCTGGGCATCAAGAGGAATATGTTACTATCACCTCCAAGGTAATATAGTGAAGGACTTCCACGCAAAGGAGATAATGTATATGGTTAAAGGTGCAGCCTACGCCCATACGGTTCCTGAATACGACCGTTACATGGACCTCATAAGAGCTGCGAACCCTGCTCTAGCTGCTTACTTAGAGAAAGCAGATCCGAAGTTATGGTCGAGAGTTCATTTTGAAGGTGATAGATACAATATAAAGACGAGCAACATCGCAGAATCTATTAATTCGGCTGTCAAGAAAGCAAAAGGATTACCTATTCCTCGTCTTTTGGAGTTTATTAGGGAGAAGCTCGGGAGATGGTTTAGCAAGAGGCGGGAGGATGCACTGAGTCTCACAACCATCCACAGCAGAGGTGTGGAGTACATATTGGCCATACGGTCTTACTATGCTGGAAGTATGATCGTAGATCGCATAGACACTTGGCGCTTTCATGTTAAAGGCGGGAACGAGATTGTAATGTCGACTTGGAGAATCGAACATGCTCGTGCGGTGTGTATAACGTTGAAAAAATCCCTTGCTCTCATGTTATTGCAGCTGCAGCCGAAGCTAACGTCGACATGTCCTATTACGTATGCGCCACTCATTCGAGCCTTCCTTGTTCTCAACATATGCACATCCGCTATACCCCAAAGCGGGAACTGACTCCCACGTGAAGCCTGTTCGTTGTTTGCCTCCAGGGGAGAGTGTCCCTCGTGGAAGGCCGAAGAAGTCGAGGTGGCAAACTTGGCTAGAGCTGTCTAGGAAGAAAAACAATAAACCGAGGAAAACGCATAAGAAGTACAGCTGCTCTAAGTGCAAGGAACCTGGTCATACTCGCCCCAATTGTGTAAGTTTAACAAAATGTCCCTTCATGCTTTGCATCCACATTGAGAGGAGCTGACATCTTTCACTTTCTTCACTACACAGGTCGCTGAAGACTGACTTGTGTTTTAGTTGTTCATGAAGTCTGACGATGAAGTCTATCTATGAAGTTTACTTTGTTGGCCATTTTTATGTGTTGTTCGTGTTTTAGGTGGATGAAACGGAGGAAAACACGGGTTTTTTGTTTTCATGAAGTCTGACCCAGAAGTCTAATTAGGAAGTCTATCTATGAAGTTTACTTTGTGGCCATTTTGTATGTTTTGTTCGTGTTTTAGGCGGATGAAACGGAGAAAAACACTGTTTTATATTTTTCGTGAAGTCTGACCAGAAGTCTACTTAGGAAGTCTACCTATGAAGTTTACTTTGTGGCCAATTTGTATGTTTTGTTCGTGTTTTAGGTGGATGAAACGGAGAAAAACACTGGTTTTATATTTTTCGTGAAGTCTGACCAGAAGTCTACTTAAGTCTACCTATGAAGTTTACTTTGTGGCCAATTTGTATGTTTTGTTCGTGTTTTAGGTGGATGAAACGGAGGAAAACACTGGTTTTATATTTTTCGTGAAGTCTGACCCAGAAGTCTATCTCTGAAGTGGAGAAAATTTACGAAACTCAATAACATTATACCAAGTGCACAATATACCAAAACAATAGACTTCTGAAATGTGAAGGCCGATCAGCGATAGATTACAAAAGAATAATTAGCCTACACCCATCATCGGGTTCTAAAGAGCATTAGTTTACGGGATTACACCTACACCTTTCATAATCTCTCGTCATACAAATCGACATTGTCCCAATCATCTGGGTCCTCGACCGGTCCACGGCAGTTGATCTCATGGTACATATCAGACGCAATCTGCTCCCTAAACATGGTGATGTTTTTCTGACACAACGTCTTCGGAAATGCGGCATATCCGACTGCCAGGCACTCGATGACTTGAGGACAAACACGCCACAATCTCCAGCCCCCACTTGCTGCGGCACATCCTTACTCGGACGGCTGTGCGTGTACTTCGCATCGAAGTAGACGCATTTGTCCTCAGCCTGAGCCGCGGAGTGCATAAGATTCGGCATCATCACCGCATAGGGTTCCACCAACAAGTCCATTTCCGCATCATCGAGCCAGTCCACCATACTGTCGTAGATGGTAATGTGCCTTTTGGGTATGGAGACATGCAGCGCGACCCAATGCTTATTTTGATATTCAATGGAATGAATAAATCATCAACATCATAACCCCATCGCTTATTGCTGGGCTGGCTTTTCGGGAGATTACCAAAGTACCAGTCCAGCGAATTAGGAGGCAGCATTTGACATCTCTGAAACCTGGGCCAGTCCCTTTCCCAAAATTGAGTGATATGGCTGTTAAGGAAGCAGATCCTATCATTTTTAAACAACTCTGGTCGCGTTGCTAGGCGGTGAGTCATCATGGTGGCCCAGGACTTCATATGCTGCAATGGAAACAAAGAATTCGACTATGAGGACTAAATATGAAGTCTATGTCATAAGTCTAACAGTGAAGTCTACTTGTGAAGTATATTTACGAAGTCTAACAATAGAACGTACGCTATCCGATAGCCATTGAAACCCCGTGAGTAAAGTAAACCACCAGTGCCATTCCGGGTAATCGAACTTGTCCGGCTCCAGCGCTGTAGCTGCAGAATAACCCCTGAAACATTGGTAAATTCTCGTAAGCCTCTATAATTTGGTCAAACAACGAAGAGACAAAAGAGTTTAGGGGCTCACGGTAATCCGGAGACGAATGCCCGCATTGGTGTTATCCTTTCCTCGAGAGGTCGAGCAAATGGATTATACCCTAGAGGTTCATTGCCACCGGTTGCTTTCTTAGGTTCAGGTGCTTTCTTATTTGGGATTCTGCTTTCTTCGGAGGAGGTGATTTCTTCGGAGCTGCTTTCTTCGTCTGGTTTAGAGATGATCTTAAGTGATTTCGGTGGGGAATTGGGTATCTCCGGGGGGTTGTTTAGGATGATCCTTCTAGCGGTGCTGTTTCCTTGGAACTCACCTTTCTGAGTAAACGCCAGCTTCCTTACTCTCTCACTTTTCCCTCTTGCCATAACATTAGCCGCCTTGATCTGCTCTTCCTGTTGCCTTTTCTCTTCGGCTTCCTCAGAATCAGTTGGAATATGTGTCCGGAGCCAAGTGCAATCCGTATCTTCCTGTTAACATTGCTCAAACACAAGAGAGATAGAGAGAGACAAAACAGATAATGAGTCACTAGAAATTTGAACTTTTATTTAAACAGGAGGGAAAGTGTACAACGCAACGCAACACACTACAAACAGAAACATACACACATCACTTGTTCTTTTTCACAGCGACCCTATGACTCCTACGCACATATCTCTTTTCAACTACTTTATCAGAGTTTTTAGATCTACGTGGAGAATGAACGGTACTAACCGTTCCACCAGGCGGAGCCGTCTTCCCTTCACCGGCATCGGACTTATCCGGCTCCTCATCGGACTTCTCCTCATTCTTCTTCTCCAGCTCCTCATTCTTCTTCTCCAGCTCTTCATTGGCCTTCGCAGAATCCTCATTGGACTTCGCAGTATCCTCACTGGACTTCACAGAATCCTGAGCCTGAGGATGCGAAAGCTTCTTGACAATCCTCCCTACCACAGCGACTTGAGCGGTGAGGACCTGAATCTTTTCCTGGGTCTTACTCATCTCCTCGAAGTGTTTTTTGGTGAAGTCTTTAAAAAGCTCCTCAATCTTCGCCTCAAGACCTTTCCAGCCAGCACCAGAGGCCTCCGCAGGTGAACCATCTGAGGTCCGAGCTCTTTTGACACTTATCGCTTCATCATCATCAGCCTCATCAGAGAGACTCCTCTTGCCATGAGACTTCTCTGACTTCACAGACTTCTCAAACTTCACCTTCTTAACCACCGATATCCCTTCTCTAACCCAGTCAGCTGGTTTCCACACCCATCCTCCACCAAATTCCCCAAGCAAGGCCTTGATGATGTTGTCCACCTTCTCGTCATCTATTTCCTTGTCCCAACGTGGGTACACGTCTGCCTTGTCCACCATTACCATGTGATTGAAAAGCACCTGCAAAACCGTTATCAGAAAAGTCAAGAATTTTGGATATTATGATTAATATGCAGAGAGTACAAGGCAAATGAATTACCTGCTTCTTCATGGTTCCGATAACATATCTCTTCCCTCTGATTCCATTGAATGCTAGCAGCGGTGGCTCAGGATTATTTGGCCTCGGATCACCGTTTTCTTCTCCGAACCTCGGCATAGCATAGTACGCCCACACTTGCACGACTTCAGCAAAGCCTTCGAGGCTGAATGGCTTGGACACGTCTGCTTTCTTTATGGACTTGATGAGGGTCTTGAAAGCTACTCGCCCCCAGGGATAGTTTTCAAACTTCTCCAAGTCCATAACTTGACTAGCCAGTGCTACTCGTGTATGAGTGGAACTTTTGCGAGCATCAATGAAGCCAGCGTATACGGCCAAAAAACCAAGTCTCAGCCTATCCTCTCTGCTCCACTCTCCGGCCCACTGGCACGCTGCTAAGAGTTCGTCAACGCTCGGACCAAGCTTCTCATTCACACCAAGCTTCCGCCAGAACTCTTTCATCTCGTCTGTGTTAACAGTCTCTGGCTTCGTCAGCGCTTCTTTATACTCGCAGTTAAGCCCGGTGATGTGTTCAAACTCGTTCAGAGAAAATCGCACTGGCTGTACACCCACGGCACTCCATATCTCATACTTCTTCTTGCATGCTACTTGCATAGTGAGCATAGTCTGTGCCACCTTCGATGCCCAATTAAACTCGAGCTTCGTGAACCTGAAGAGGGGTCCCAGCTTAGAATTCTCAAGCTCATCCCATTCATCTTCAAGTGTGGTGTGCATTTGAGACCACAGTGCAGTGTTCTTGCTATAGTAGACAACACTGCGATCATAATCCGGTTCTTCTCCTTCTGTGAACAACCTCCTAGGAAATGTCACGGCGTCCATACTGAAAACACATTGAAAATATGAGAAATTAGGAGTCTACAATTTTACACGGCATAAATAAAGTCTAAATATGAAGTCTATATGATGTCTAACTATGATGTCAACATACGATCTAATTTGAAGTCTAACTATGATGTCTAACTATGATGTCTATCAATTCTAAAGGTGAAGTCTGTACTTTAAGTCTGCTCTACTCTAGCCAACCGCCGCTAAAGAGCGGCTAACTAAACCCTAACAATAGACTTTTACCTTATTCTTTGCGGTTATGAGGGCCAGCAACGGCGGCGGATACTACTAAGAAGCGCAACGACGGCGGATACTACTATCCGGCAACGGAGACCTGCCACAGATCTACAATCGATTAGTCCATGGTTTGAAGGGCGTAAGCAGAGAGAAAAAAAGTGAAAGGGAGATAACTAACCGGCGGTGAGATAATTGGTGCGATTTAATAGGTCGTTCGATTCCACAGCGGCAACACGGACAACGGCAACACGGACAGCGGCAACCAACGGTGGCGGAAGGGTTCAAAAGAAGATTCCACTGTGAGTATAACGACAGTAGAGGGAAACAGACACAAATACGTATATCACTGATATATGAATATGACTTACAGAAGTATACTTCGGAGGAGGAAGGGGAAAAGGCGGCGGCGACGATAGTGGGTCTGTCTTTCTTCTTCGACGGCGACGGTGGGCGGAGAGAACATGCAATCGCCTATCCGACAAAGAGAGAGAACGGAACGGACTTGGGTTTGCGAAAGTGAAATGTGAAAGTGAAACCCTGATTTTGGGTTTCTCACTTTCGATTAGGGCCGGCTAATTTTGGTTAAACCCAATTACAACAAAAATTATAATTTCCTTGACCGGTTCTGTTCAAAAACCGGAATTGATGTACAAAGTCTACTCGTGAAGTCTACAAATTGAACTTTTAATGAGAAATTTATTCGCCCAAAATATTTCGTTTCCCGCCCTAAAATTTCGTTTCCCACTCGTTTTTTGAATAAAAGACTTCATAGCAAAGTCTAACTATGAAGTCTACCGATGAAGTCTGACTTACCCTAAACCCTAAATCGAATTTTTGAGATCAAAGCTATAGAAAACATCAATTATGTATATAATCACAATTTACATTATAAACTATAAATTCATTAGCTTTAAATCGTTAAACAAACCACAAACAATTTTTTATGTCAAAATTCTCTAAACCCTAACAATCATACTCATAAACCCTATACATTGTACCTCAAACACTAAGCTTGATGATTGGTTTACTCATGAAACTTATAAACTGATTAATTTCCATGAAAATTTATTTTACATAGATAGGATTTGTCTTCATTTAGATTATTTATAATTTTTTTAAGCCTAAATATTTTTTATAGATTTTAAACTTTAAATTTAAGATTTTGTTATTTGGTAGACTTCTTCAGTAGACTTCACACAATATTTTTTGGATTATACCATAATTTGTATTACCGGTTTTAAATTGATCAATTTATATGCAAATTTATTTTTCATGGATAGTACTTGTCTTTGTTTAAATTATGTGTAAATACCTTCATCAAAATATTTTTAAAGATTTCAAACTTTAAATTTACGATTTTGCTATATATTAGACTTCGGGAATAGACTTCACGCAGTTTATAGGTTACAAACATAATTTCTCTTACTTGAGTTAAATGGAGTCATTTTTATGCAAGTTTATTTTTCTTGGATGCCAAATGTTCTAATCTTACTTTATGTATAATTTTTTTGATCAAAACAATTTCCTATAATTTTATAAATTAAATTTGAGTTGTATTTAGGAATTAGACTTCATGATGACTAACATGCCGTAGACTTCATGAATAGACTTTAAACAGGGTAAAACAGACATTGTGACTAGCGTTTTTTTCTTTGTTCATAAGGGCTTGGTTTGTAATTCTACATGCCCAGAAGACTAGTTTTGCTCTAAATGCAATATAGGGTCTACTTTTGCATTTCAAATCAAATTGTGCACTATATTTGGCAATTCCCCCTTAATTGATTATAATATTTGTTACAAATATTCTAAATGAGTCAAATATTTCGATCACTTTAAATAAATAGAGAGTTTGAAGAAGCCTCTCCAATAAAAAAAACACTCAGTTAAAAAAAGATAAATAAAGATGAACAAAAACTAAGGAAAAAAAAAAATATAAGCAAAATATAAGTAAAAAACAAAAACAAAAAAGTCGTTTTGGTATTTGAAGTGATTTTTGACATAGATTCAAACCTTTTTTATGAGAGCAGGTTTTGTGAGCTTAGATTTTAAACAAGTGTTTTGAAAACCGGACCGACTCGGTGGTCGGACCCGGTCCGACCATGAACCGGACATGTGACCGGATTGGATTTCTGGTCTGGTTTAATAGGTTAATTAATTAAATATTTTTTTTTACTTTTGAATTTTTTAAAAATAATATATGTTTATACTATAAATAATTAATTAGAACAATGAAAATATAAGTTTTTAATACTATTATATATATTAATACTTATATATCAATTTTTAACTATTTTTATTTTTATTCTAAAATTTATCTATTTAAAATAAATATAAAATAAATTATTATGAACCGGGTTCAACTCGGTTGAATCAGATTGAACCATGACTCGGATGACTATCCAGTTTGAATTCCGGTCCGGTTTTAAAAACACTGGTGCAAACTGATGAACCTTGACTAAAATAGATATCTCATACTCATCTTAAGATTCTTACCTAGACCCACCAAATAATTTTCGAAATCTCGAGGGAATTTTAATTTTAAAAACATTCAAAATTGAAGTTATTTCCTTTCTGAATTAAGAAATAAATGTTGACAGTGGGATTTGAACCCACGCCCTTTCGGACCAGAACCTTAATCTGGCGCCTTAGACCAACTCGGCCATATCAACTTGTTTGTTCCATAATTTAAACTTTCGATCAACAGAATTAACTAATTATTGGTAATATAATCCTAAAAGAATAGTCAACAATTTCGAAACTGTAGTTGCAGCGTCATGGTAGCTGCGCTGACTCTGCCAACTCGTCTTCTCTTCCGTATGAATGACACTTTTTTTTCTGTTTCTTGTAAAAGTTATTTTTTGTTTCTGCCGATTCTGAAACAGAGAGAGACCCGATTCTGTTTCTGCCGAGAACAATGTCTCCGAGCAGTAAAACGGGAGTTTTCTTGCCCCTGTTTCTAGCGTTGACTATGGTGGTCAACGGGAGATTCTACGTGGAGAAGAGCAGCGTGACGGTCCTTAACTCATGGGAAATGGGAGCTAAGCACGACGCAGCCATCGCAGACTTTGGCATCCCAAACCACGGCGGTTTCATGATCGGCTCCGTCGTCTACGCAGGCCAAGACGCTTACGGATGCGACTCCTTCAACAAAACTTTCAAGCCCAAGTCTTCTTATCCCACCATCCTCCTCATTGACCGTGGAGGTAAACAAAATTACTTTGGAGTACTCGAGAGTTTCGTTTGTTTAGTTTGTGTCCATTTCTTGATCATAATAAAATGTTGAGACTTGGTCAAAATGCTGGTTACAGACTTATCGTTATACAAAGAAAGTTTTTGTAAGTAAAAGTTGAGACTTGGTCAAAATCTCATTCTGTTTTTTGGAATTTCTGATAGATTGACTATTTAGTAAGCACTCATGCCATTTAGACTGTTTCATCAAGAATGTAACTAAAAGTTTGGAACTTTTCGTTAACTTCTACTTTTTCTTTAGTGTGTAACTTTGCTTTGAAGATATGGAACGGGCAACGATCCGGTGCAGCGGCTGTTCTTATAGCAGACGACATTGCTGAGCCATTGATAACAATGGATTCACCAGAGGAATCCAAACATAAAGATCCTGACTTTATAGAAAAAATCAACATCCCATCAGCTCTGATCCTTCGCTCTTTCGGAGATAACCTCAAGAAAGCTCTTAAAAGAGGAGAAGAAGTGATCTTGAAGATAGACTGGAGTGAGTCTATACCAAACCCTGATGAGAGAGTCGAGTATGAGCTATGGGCTAACACTAACGACGAATGTGGCGTACACTGCAAGGAACAGATGGATTTCATCAAGAACTTCAAAGGAACGGCTCAGATTCTCGAAAAGGGCGGTCACACTCTGTTCACACCTCATTACATTTCTTGGTTCTGTCCCAAGGAGCTTCTACTTAGCATGCAGTGCAAGACTCAGTGTATAAACCAAGGGAGGTATTGTGCTCCTGACCCTGAGCAAGACTTTGAAGATGGATACAGTGGGAGAGATGTCGTTTACGAGAATCTTAGACAGTTGTGTGTTCATATAGTAGCTAAGGAGAAGAACAGTTCTTGGGTCTGGTGGGATTATGTGACAGATTTTAACATCAGGTGTTCTATGAAGGAGAAGAGATATAGCACAGAATGTGCAGAGACTGTTGTGGAATCTCTAGGTTAAAAAAAAGGCCTTTTGCTATCCGGTGAGATACCAAATTTTCATCTCTTTCAGGTTTATTTGTTTCATTTCTCAGGTTTGTCTCTTGAGAAGATGAAGAAATGCATTGGTGATCCTGATGCTGATGAAGAGAACCAAGTTCTTAAAGCCGAGCAGGCTTTTCAGGTTCGGTTTCTTCAAAATTCACTGAGCTTTTTTTTTCTTTCTTTCATGACATTTTTGAAGTGTACATACAGTTAGGTCAAGAGAATCGTGGGGTTGTCACAATCTTTCCAACTTTGATCATCAACAATGCTCAATATCGAGGTAAGCTCTTTCTTTCTCATTGATCATCACAAAAGTTTTGAAGATTTTTTAGAATCTTGCTTTGTTCCATGCTCAGGTAAACTGGAGAGAACAGCAGTGTTGAAGGGTATATGTTCAGGATTCAAGGCGAGGACCGAGCCTTCGATATGTTTGAGTGCAGGTCAAGTCACTTCCATTTTATAACCCTGTGTGTTCCAACAAGAGAATTGATCAAGAATTATGATATCTTGATTTATTCTAAAACAGATGTAGAAACCAATGAGTGTCTTGAAGCAAACGGAGGATGTTGGCAAGACAAAAGATCAAATGTAACTGCTTGCAAGGTATAGTGAGAAGAGTCGATAAACCAACTCTATTTAAGATGTTCTTCATAGATTAACATTAATGTTTTATTAGGACACATTTAGGGGAAGAGTATGCGAGTGCCCTGTTGTTGATGGTATTCAATATAAAGGAGATGGTTATACATCTTGCAAGCGTATGCTCTCAAAAATTATTCTTTCCCTATATTATCTCATTGCAACTTTGTTCATTGGTTTGAAGAAAATCCCCTTTTCTTGTTATTGATATACAGCTTATGGACCTGCGAGATGTTCCATGAATGAAGGAGGTTGCTGGTCTGAAACCAGAAAGAATCTAACCTTCTCTGCTTGTTCTGTTAAGTGACTGTTGTTTTTCTTTCACTTGTTGCTTAAAGTTTGAATCTTTTTCTTACTTTTTTGCAAGTTCTTATGTAGAACTCGGAGACATCAGGATGTCGTTGCCCTCTAGGCTTCCATGGAGATGGTCTTAAATGTGAAGGTGAAAACTTTTTGGAAAGTTTCTCATAGTCAAAATCTGTGTCTCTTTTTGACATTGTCTCTCTGACTTCATAACTAGACATTGATGAATGCAAAGAGAAATCAGCTTGTCAATGTGCTGACTGCAAATGCAAGAACAATTGGGGAGGATATGAATGCAAATGCTCTATCAACAGTCTCTATTTGAAAGAACAAGACACTTGTATCGGTATGTCAGAAAAAGAAAAAAAAAAAAAAGATGCAAATGTTTTTCAGAACAAACCTCAATGTTTTAACATTCCACACTTGTTGTGCAGAGAGAGGAAGTGGATCAAGAAGCACATGGTTGTTGATAACTGTGGGTCTAACCGCCATTGTAGGCATCTCTTTAGCTGCTTATATATTATTCTACAAGTATCATCTTAAGGTAATGTCACTTTTGCTACTTATGACTTCTCTTATGAACTATCATTCATCAATGTCTAATTGTCATTTTTGTTCAGTCTTACATGGATTCAGAGATCGTGTCTATGATGTCTCAATACATACCACTCGATAGCCAAAAACATTAAAGAAGATACTATCAGCAGATGAAGAACTCTGGTGGTCTGTATTAAGGAATACTCTTGCATCTTGGTTAGAATGTAGTATAACGGGTAATTGGGTCTTTTTTTATCAAGAATCAAAATTTTGAGGCGGTTTTCTAATGTTATGAAAGTTATATGCAAAATGACTAAAATTGCCTTGGTCGCAGAAAAAAAATTGAAAAAGTTAATTATATGCTTTCATTGAGAGTTGAACTCAAGACCTCCCGCTTACTAAACGGGTGCTCTAACCAACTGAGCTATGAAAGCCTTCGATAAAAGGATCACAATGTTCAATTACATCATATTTCATTTCAATTTTAAAACACTAGAGGATGAGGATGTGAATCAAATATTTTGATATGAGAGAACAGAAATGGACATTACTCCTTGCTTTCTTTTCTTTTCTATAGATTGCCAGAAACTCTGTTTCATGTTTGGATTATAAAGTCCTTGTCAAAAAGCTTTCTTGATTTATATCCAGCGAAGATAAAAAGATTAGGTTACAGAAATACAAGAAAGAAGCGGTTCATGATGAAGAAAACTACAAAGCAGAAGAATAACATAATAGTGGTTTTTTTCAAGGAAGAGACCTTCTGAGATATTGGTCACAATAAGGCTTAATTTCTAAGATGTTATTGGCACGATTTGCCGATAAGCCATATCGAATGTTGCATGAAGACCAAGCAAGAAATAGTAAAGCAACATGACTAAAGTGCAAACACCAAACCTAACAAAATCCTGAGCTCCCAAATATCCCATGAGAAAGATATTTGTTGCGATTGACAAGCAAGGGATCCAATGATTTCGAAAACTGAAGCGAGAGACTTACAAGGAGAAAACCATGTACTCGGTTATAGTTGTAGACAGTGTTATATAACCGCGGTTTACTGAATATGCGGTGTAGCAGAGGAGGAGAGCACTGCAGGCGAAGAGGAGAAACTGTGAAAAGCCAAACGCAAAGCCAAGCCAGGCCCGTACCACATAGTTATTGGATCCTATGCAAAACTAATAAAATTGTAATCAAGAGAATTTAAAAAAAATTGGACCTTTTTGCAATATTTTCAAATTTCAGGACCTTAAATTTAAAGGAATTTTTGTCAAAAAACATGGGACCCAGCGCAAATGCATTCTCAGCCCATGTTTACGGCCGGGCTGCCAATAGCATTCCCGTGGAAAAAGCTCTGCCTAAGGATCTGTTGAAGTTGCAGCGTGTAGAGTTCCATCACCTTGTTACCATCACAGAAATCAACACTGTATATGTTTCTAACAGCATCCTCAAGTACTAAATACGCCTTCCTATGCATCTCCTAGATGCCCTTTGAGAATCCAACAAGCCAACGTTTCTGGAAATTTTGAAGTTTATTAGAAACCAACGTTAGGAGAATAGACAAATATTTCTAGGGTAAGTGCATGACACAGAATTTGGTTAACACAAAAAAAAAAAACAATTTTAAGTCTTCTTGTGCGTAGCATAAGAGCCTGCACATTTGGCTCTCACTACTTTGTGGAGGTTGATATTGTTCTTCATGTTGATATGCCTCTGCAAGTGGCTCACGACATTGGAGAGTTGCTACAAGAGAAGCTCGAGCTGCTTGATGAGATCGAACGAGCTTTTGTGCATCTTGATTACGAGTATACTCACAAACCCGAGCACCCTAGATCCCACTGTTAGCTGTCTCCGTTTTCTTCCCATCCACGCTTCGAAAATCTTTACGATTTAATTTTCACCATATTGTCTACTAGGTGGGAGACCCGCGCATGCGCGGTATGTGATCTCATTATTTTACTATAAATAAAGTTTCGACATAGAGAACAGAAGAAATCTGTACTCCAAATTCCAATAAACAAACGTTTTTGTTATCAACAAGAGACATGTATTTGTTCGACATAGAAAAACTTTGGTATGAATTGTAACAGTACTACTTTCACATATAAAACTTTTTATTTGTAGTAATCGTATCTTTATATTATTAATTGAGAAGTACATGAAAAATTTATGACTAAAAAACCAATCTAATTATGAAAATAAAGTGTTTGGCAAGATTTAATGAGGGTCAATTTAGTACATTGTAATGTTTGGATACAAGAATAAGAGAAAAATCTATTTGGATAGAAGAATAAATGGAAAAAATTGTTTGGATACAAGAATAATAACTTAAAACAAACCGATGGTTTAGAAAACTTCCGTTTTCCAGCTCTTAAAAATCTGCAAAAAAAAAACTTAACATAATCTAACGATAATACCAAATCAATAGAATATGCTTTTTGGATTTTCGGGTTTTTATAGACAAGTTCGGGTTTGGGTGAAAATCTGAGACCTAATTTTATAGAGATATAGAGATATAGAAATTGTTCGGGTTTCTTTGAAAATTTCGGGTTGGGTTCAAGTTTTTTTTTCAGTTTAGGGTTTTCCGGATTTTTTGGATTTCGGTTTTCGGGTTTAGATATATTAAAAAATTGAGTATTTTAAAATTTTGATTAGGGTATTTGGGTCGGGTTCCGGGTGAAAAAGTTTCCAGATTTTTTTTGTTCAGTTCAGGGTTTTCGGGATTTTTTTGATTTCGGATTTTCAGGTTTAGACATATTAAAAAAGTTTGGGTTTTTAAATTTTTGATTAGGTTTTTTGGTCGGGTTCGGATTTAGGGTTTAAATTTTCTACACAAAACCACAACGTCACACCGCACAAACGTGCGGGTACTCTACTAATTGTTCTTTATCTATTGAGGTCTGTTGTTTTTTTGTTGGGTACTCCCTATGTTTCTCACAATTTGATGTTTTAGAATTTTCATACATATTAAAAAATAATTAATGCTAGTTATAAGTGTATCATTTTCTCTCTCATTAAATGCTAGACGGACCCATACTTGCCCAAAACATGGTGTAATAGGTTCTCCACATGACTATGAGGAAAAATATGTGTGAAATGATCTTAATCCATGGGAGGAACATCAAAACAACCAACTTTGAGAAAATCGTAAAAGATGTTGCCTTTGTGTCTCGGTTTCAGAAAACAGAGACATCCAGCAAGTTAATAACCAGAAGAGGAATCAAACTAATGGGTTAGTTTGCAAAGAAGAGAGAGTTGAGTATTGAATCTATGTCCAGATTTGAATCTTGAGCTTAAGATCAGTCCACCATGGCAAAACCAGAATCATGACGATGATCAGAGAAGGGAGAGATCATTCTACACTGCATCCCGTTTTTACATGGAAAACGGGGTGGAGTGTAGTAGTGATACTGCAAAATGTCAAACAGAGGATAGTAGTAGCATTAGCTATTCTTCAGTTGACATTAGTAGTACAAGCAGCGTTGCTTATGACTTTTTGGGGTTGAAGACGAGAGTTTTGGATTTTCGGAGCTTGGAAATGAAATAAACAAAAAATAAATACATATAGAAAATGATAATTTGTAGGTGTGATAATGTTAGACTCTTAATTTCGCTTCTACTTTCATCTTCAATTTTATTGAGAATTTTTTTGTTTTTACTACATAAGATTAGCTAGGGAAGTAGATCCACCAATAGGTGTTAGTCTTGATTACATTGTTAATCCTTGTTAAGCCGTTATTGCTCTTGTAAGAATGACCTATGTGTTTTTCAGTTTAATATAAAGATCAAGTTCTTATAGTTAATGATTCTAATATAAAAGATGATTCCATGATGGATTGGTTTCAATGAAAGACATTAGAATCTAGAATCTGGGTGTATTGATAACCCTCTTCCCTTACCCTATAATGTTATAAACATATTTCTCTAATGGTCATGTGTGTTATATATATGATTAACTATATATATTAATACATGTGAGAAAGGATGTGTTGAATGGTCGTGAGGTTACGTACGTAACCGTTGGTGCATGTGTTTCTATTATGTATATAAGAGATCTCAGAATTAAGAGACAAGATACAACAACAATCACAGACACACACCATACAACACTCGTATAAGAAAAGTCAAAGAGAGATTAAGGTTTGGATCCCTTGTCCATCAAAAGGGATCAGAAGGAGAAAGGGTCAAAGGGAGGAGAAGATCAATTGAAGTATTGATCTCACAACAAGACAGAAGAAAGCATGGATCAAGGTTAGTGTTTCTTTCTTCTTCTCTAAGAAACTGTTAGGGTTGGATTATATCAAATCTAGATTATCTTGGGATAGATTTCATATGTGATAGAAATCATTAAAGAGGTTTACAGCTCTTGCCTTGACTATGATGTAGTGAACGTCTACGTATTAAGAATTAGGTAGGAGCCTGCAGTGCGCGGGATTATGTTTTTACGTAGATTGTATAAATTTGGTTATATGATTTTAATAAAGAAATTTTTACATTTAGTTTTACAAGTTTATACATTTGGTTATAAACTAATTAATCACCACTTCTGAAATCTTACTAATCTCTTCTCACAACAACAAAAACTATATTAATTCCTTTATAATTTTAAAAAATCATTTGCCCCACACATTGTGAGGGTTAAATCCTAGTCTTCTTGTAAGAAAGACGTCTAAAATTGCAGATTCTTGGCCATGTAAAATTCGTGAATGCAAAAATGTCAAACATATCAAAGACTCTTTGTTGACTATTTTAATCTCTCTTGCAAAACGTTGTTAAAATCCAATTATTCACTTCTTCTTCAAAATGGCTTTCACAAAAGGGACAATGATTCTCGTTTTTTGCGTCTTGGCGCTACTGACCTTACCGCAATCCAACCATGGAGGACACATCTCAATACTCGTCTCTGAAACCGGTCTTGAATTCGCGAAAGATTTCCTCATCAACAAGGTGATCGCTACGACGATTCCGCTTCAGCTACCGAGCATCGAGAAGAAGGTTAGAATCCCTTTGATCGGGAAAGTTCGAATGGGTCTATCTAATATTCAGATTAACGCCGTTAATGTTCAGTCGTCGAAGATCGAGACAGGAGGAAATGGGATCGGTTTGAGTGTTTCAGGCGCAACGGCAGATTTGATCATGGATTGGTCTTATCTCTATAAAGCTTCCTTCTTTAAGATTTCCGATCATGGAAACGCTTCTGTTAAGGTAATTTTTCTGAAAACAAAGAAAAGGTATGGGCTTTATGAAGTGGACAAGTGGTATTGTGTTCATCTTATTTTCTCTTTGGAAAAAAAAGTTTAACAGGTGTGATGATTATGATGATGAAGGTTAATGGAATGGATTTGAAAACGACTGTGACTCTCGTTGATAATAATGGAAGTCTAAAAATAGCCTCAAGGGGAAGTGACTGTAAAGTGAGAAGCATCGGTATTCATATCAATGGTGGTGCTTCTTGGCTATATCAAGGGTATTGTTTTGTTTGAATATCATTTACTTATGGTTTTTCTTCTATATGATTAGATTAGAAAGAAAATATTATTGCTTATATATCCTTTTCTTTTTGCAGCGTGGTTGATGCATTTGAAAAGAATATTATGTCAACTATTGAAAATAAAATTACTGAGAAAATTCTGGAAAATATGAAGAAGCTTGATTCTTTAATGGAATCGCTTCCAAAAGAGAGAAATCGATGACTCTGTTGCAGTGAATCTCACTTTTACACGAAACCCTGTCATGGCTGATTCGTCAGTTGAAGTTGAAATCAATGGATTATTCATCCCAAATGGTGATGATGGTGGTAAAGTTTCAAGATCTCCATCTGCTTCCTTGTTTCGAGCGGGGATTAAAAAAAATGGTGGCAATTTCATTGCAAGGAGAAGTTTTCGATTCTGCTACACTTGTCTACTTCAATGTAAGTTCCAAAACTTTAATTGATTATTGAGTTTGGTGGAACAACAAATTTGTAAACTTTTGACTTTTGATGCAGGCACAGCGGATGCATTTTATTATTGATGTAACGAAGAACGGTTCGAGTCTAAGCACATCTGACTGGAAAAACATTCTTCCAGAATTGTACAAACAATATCCAAATGTTAAGATGATGCTTAACATGTCAGTAACATCTCCTCCTTATGTTAGCATTACAAAGAATGGGATTGGTGCGACGATTCATTTAGAGATATCAATCAATGTTCAACACTTTGGAGCAGTCCTATCCGCAGCAAGCATATCATCGGTACACTAATGCTAATCTTAATCTAAGCTATAAGAAGTAATCCATGCATGATCACTAAAAAGACAGAATTTGATCCTCGTTTTGCAGGCTCTGAATGTGGCAGGTTTGTTGGAAATCGAGGAGAAGAGTCTATCCGGTAGCCTTAGATTGATAGATTTCAATGCAACAATGAGTTGGAGTAAAATTGGAGAGCTTCAAGCAAGCTATATTCAGGTAAAAGTGAAGTGAATTGGTTTTTATTTTAGTTTAATACTGACAGACTTTTTCTTTGGCACCAAACTTTGGATGTGTTCTTGGTCTTGTTAGGATGTGACGTCGACGATTCTTGAATCCTTGTTTTTGCCGTCCGTAAACACACGCCTTAAGAGAGGTTTCCCGTTGCCGTTTCTACACAGTTGCACGATCAAAAACACAGAGATAGTTTATGTTGAAAATGGCGTTATGGTCTGCACCGACATAGCCTCTTAATTACTGATATTGATGCTACTCTCAAGATTATTACTTTTATTATTGATACTAGAAATTGTGTATGCCAAAACATGGTCATTATATTTTGATTTTCAAATTTAAGTGATAAGAAGCAGGGATACTGTAAATGACTAAAGTTTTAAGATAATCTAGATCCTGACCCGTGCTTGGGAAGCACGGGATGTTGTAACTGTTATAAAATGTTTTTAACTATTGACATGCTAATTATGTAAATAATAGTATATATATATGATATATGATGATCAATTAGTGTTAATTTGATTATACAGTATGAGATGAAATAAATATATATATATATACAAATTGTTACACCATCTAGATTCTAACCCCGAGTAAATATAATCAAACCGGTTTTAATGTATGACCAATATAACATAAATATGTGTCGTTTTTCGGGTTTGCTCGGTTTCGTTTGGTGAGTTATATTTTGATTATATTAGTATGAGATGCAATAAATATGCATATAAATTGTTATAATTTCATGCTAGATCCTAATTCCGAGCAAATATAATCAAACCACCTTTAATGTCTGAACAGTATAACATAAATATGTGTCGTTTTACGGGTTTGCTCGGTTTCGTTTGGTGAGTTATAATGTTGTATAATATAATATTGCACATTTGACATTCCATTTAAAGTTATTTCCATTTCTTCAAAAAGTAATTTTACATGGACAACTTTTTCCAAATCAAGTGGCTGATATGTTGTCTAAGTCTATAAATCTTAAAAATTGGTTGTATTATTATGTTCTCAAATCAATTTGGTTCGGTTTAGGTTAACCGAGGACGTATTAATTTTTTTTTTAAAACCAGCCGAACACCGTTGTCCCTTTGTTAAAAAAGGAAAAATCTGAACGTTGTGTTAATAAATGAGATGAAATTGTACAACATCGTCTTGAATGTATGTAGATATATAAGGGAAATATAAAATAATAAGACGAAAAAAAAAAAAAGTGGTATATATTTAGGATGTAATAATTCTTTTCGAGTTCATTTCGCAGGTTTTCTATCCATCAAATTAGCATCAACATTTGTGGCATCCAGACTGTTTGTTTAACAGCTTGAGCAAAACGAAAAGTCGCATAACTTGGGGAATAGGAGAAATCGAATCCCAATTCGATTCGATATCTAGTCTTCTGAAATGAAATTAATTTGACGAATCCGTCGGATCAGCTCTTTCATTAATAAACAGTAACTTTTTCATCAAATAATTTAATATGTAGTTCTGTACAATTTAAATGAAAAAAAAGAAACTTGTAATAAGCCATATCAAATGTTGCATGAAGACCAAGCAAGAAATAGTAAAGCAACATGACTAAAGTACAAACACCAAACCTAACAAAAGCCTGAGCTCCCAAATATCCCATGAGAAAGATATTTGTTGCGATTGACAAGCAAGGGATCCAATGATTTCGAAAACTAAAGCGAGAGACTTACAAGGAGAAAACCATGTACTCGGTTATAGTTGTAGACAGTGTTATATAACCGCGGTTTACTGAATATGCGGTGTAGCAGAGGAGGAGAGCACTGCACGTGAAGAGGAGAAACTGTGAAAAGCCAAACGCAAAGCCAAGCCAGGCCCATACCACATAGTTATTGGATCCTATGCAAAACTAATAAAATTGTAATCAAGAGTAATTAAAAAAATTGGACCTTTTTGCAATATTTTCAAATTTCAGAACCTTAAATTTAAAGGAATTTTTGTCAGAAAACATGGGACCCAGCACAAATGCATTCTCAGCCCATGTTTACGGCCGGGCTGCCAATAGCATTCCCGTGGAAAAAGCTCTGCCTAAGGATCTGTTGAAGTTGCAGCCTGTAGAGTTCCATCACCTTGTTACCATCACAGAAATCAACACTGTATATGTTTCTAACAGCATCCTCAAGTACTAAATACGCCTTCCTATGCATCTCCTAGATGCCCTTTGAGAATCCAACAAGCCAACGTTTCTGGAAATTTTGAAGTTTATTAGAAACCAGCGTTAGGAGAATAGACAAATATTTCTAGGGTAAGTGCATGACACATAATTTGGTTAACACAAAAAAAAAAAACAATTTTAAGTCTTCTTGTGCGTAGCATAAGAGCCTACACATTTGGCTCTCACTACTTTGTGGAGGTTGATATTGTTCTTCGTGCTGATATGCCTCTGCAAGTGGCTCACGACATTGGAGAGTCGCTACAAGAGAAGCTCGAGCTGCTTGATGAGATCGAACGAGCTTTTGTGCATCTTGATTACGAGTATACTCACAAACCCGAGCACCCTAGATCCCTCTGTTAGCTGTCTCCGTTTTCTTCCCATCCACGCTTCGAAAATCTTTACGATTTAATTTTCACCATATTGTCTACTAGGAGGGAGACCCGCGCATGCGCGGGTATGTGATCTCATTATTTTACTATAAAAAAAGTTTCGACATAGAGAACATAAGAAATTTGTACTCCAAATTCCAATAAACAAACGTTTTTGTTATCAACAAGAGGCATGTATTTGTTCGACATAGAGAAACTTTGGTATGAATTGTAACAGTACTACTTTCACATATAAAACTCTTTATTTGTAGTAATCGTATTGTTCTTTATCTTTTGAGGTCTGTTTTTTGGTTGTGTACTCCCTCCGTTTCTCACAATTTGATGTTTTAGAATTTTCATACACATTAAAAATTAATTAATGCTAGTTATAACTATATCATTTTCTCTCTCATTAAATACTTTTATAAATATAAACCAATAGGAATTCAAAAGTAATCTTGAAATTTTATAACTAAATAACTTTTAGTAATTCAAAATATTTATAAAAGCTAAAATAAATCAAATTTTATGGAACCAAAAAAAGTTTCTAAAACATCAAAATTTTTTTTTTTTTTTGTAATAGATTAGTCAATCTAGTGTTAAAAAAAAACATCAAATTTTTAGAAACAGGGGGCGTATTTGATTATTTTTGCTTGTTGGGCTGACATTTCACCGCACAATATTATAGTGACACATGGCAACCACTAAGATAGTGAAAAAGAAGGTAACCACACAATATTAGAATAGATAAATAGATAGACTAGACAAGTGTGATATATGGGGAAAAAAAGTTACCTTTGTAACTGTAGAACTAGTTTTGTATGCGTATTTCGTCTACTATAAATATTCGATCCTTAGTGAATAAAGTATTCAAATATTAGTGAATCGACTGAATTCTAATTCGGTTTGAGTAGATCAGTTTGATTTTAGTCAAGCTCAAACCGAACCGAAATCATTTGGATTGAGTTGGGTTTCATTTATAATAAAATAAATGTTTTGTTTGTCCCACATCGGGAAGCTGAGCTTGTGAGTTCTGGGTCAAGAACGATGAGAACTTGCCTTAAACTAATGAGTAAGGAAAACAAAGCGAACGATGAGTTCAGTGGTTTAGCTCTTGTAGTCCAGTGGTTTAGCTCTACGCCTCTACAGAGTCTCAATGAGGGATAATGTTTTGAGTGGGCTCAGACTTTTTACTTTGCTTTAGGCAGTAAATAACTTCGGGCCGGCCCAGCGTTTAACATAAAACATAGAAAGTGGCGCAAGAATTTATGGAAGGGAAATAGGCTGGCCGATTGTTGACGCTGCTTACTTTTGCAGAACTCTCTTGTGCGGGCCATCCCCCAATCTAATTAGTTCCCAAAATTTTGAATTACCGGTTTAGATCAACCTTCGAATTACATTAAGGGCCTGTTCTGCACTTTCGGAGACCAGAACTATACATTGCAGAGATGACATACATGCACACGTACATGGTGGAAAGAGAAAAAAAAGAGTCGATGCGGCTACTTTTCTGGGTGTTGGCGATCGCTGGAAAAATCAGCGGCAATTAAAATGGTTGTTGCGATAGTTAAAGTGGTCGCTGCCACTATTACTCTCTACTTGAAGGAGAAGTAACGTAAAATTGTTGCCGCGATCGCATACGCAACGATTGGTAGACGAACAAGCCCTAAGTCCAAATTAGACCTACAGTAAAACCTCTATAAAGTGATAATGTTGAGACTTTGAAAATTTATTATCTTATAGAGGTATTATTTTATGAATAACTTCAATATTTATTGATTTATAAAAATATTTTTTTTTAATTTGTAATCTTCAAAAATTATTCTCCATATGATAATGTATCAATAACTTAATATAATATATTTGTTCATATAACATACATAAACGTAAAATTATAGTCAAGTCTTTTAAATATTATAATAAAACATATATTTTTAACTTATCTAAATATTTCTATAAAATTTTATACATGATAAAATTAAAGATTTAGAAAAAATTATAGTTGAAAATCATGTGTTCATAATATATTAAAAATTTTACATGAGTAGAGTAGAAAAATTGTACTTTTTTTATATAACAAAAAGTTAAAGATGTACTTAAATTCATAGTGTAATAGTTTTTTTAGGCATATATAATGCATAATTTTATATAATTATTACTTTTTAACTTATAATTGGGACCATATTTTTACATAAGAGTTTCAGAAAATATTATTATCTTATCATTTTATCGCATTTTATTTATTTTTATACTGATCGGAGTTGGTACACGAGAAATTTATTAGTGATTATTACTTTTTACTATTATAGAGGTTCCACTGTATTTTTAATGAAATAAATCTGTGCTTTTGAAATTGCGATCAATAGAATCGCCTGTGAATTTCAGATTAAAGCGTGCTGTGAATTTCGACAAAATTCATCACGAATTCGCAACCCAACTTGTGAGTAGAGATTGATCGGGTTACGGATCTTCTCTTGGTCGGTACAGTCGTCTGTAAGTTGTCTCTGATTACGAAATTGTTTTAGTCCAAGTTTCATTTGATTGTGAATCTTGAACATGATCACCTCCCACGTTTACTCCAAGAGTTCAAGGTGGCTTTGGGGTTGAATTTATCATGTTTCTGTAATCATTGGATTTGTTTGGAGCATTTCCTCTCTGTTTGCTGCATTTCTCTTGATAACACCTGTCGCTTGGAGACGTGAACCCAAAGAGAGCTTTCTCAATTCTGATAGTTGCTTCCAAATTGATATCTTGTTAATAGCAGAAAACCATGGAAGAAGCTCACTCAGTGAACTAGTCCAAGACGAGTTTTAAGCTTCTCAAAGCGAAAGAAGCAGAAGCATCACGGTTTCCAGGATTCAGAAACTCCATTTAGAGCATCGCAAGTGCAAGGACCAAAGCCCTCAGAGGTATATGGTTTTGTAGGCTCCATATCGACCGTTGTTGCCACAGTGATCTTCTTGATATGGGCCTATGTACCGGACCAAGTGTTGGAGTCTATAGGGATCCATTACTACCCAAGCAGGTACTGGGTTTTGGCTATGCCGACGTATCTGATGGTGACTTTGCTCTTAGCTTTGGGGTTTTACATTGGTCTCAACTTCATCGCCACTCCACCCCCAACCTCTCTCAATACATTGTTTGGTGAGTTGTCTGCATCGCAGTAGGAGAGGCTTGCATGCCATGGTGTGGTGATGATACACTCAGATGGTTTGTTTGTTTGTTTGTTTGTTGTGGTGGCAGATGAGTACAGTCGAGAACCTGGGGAGTTCGATCCGCAGATGGAGGAAGGGGACGAGAGGCCTATAGATCCATTCTCTGACATTGATATCACAAGAATCAATCATCTCATGTTCAATTCAGGTGATGTTTTTCGTTCCAGTTCCTTACAAGTTGAACCATCTTGATTTTTAGGTAATTAGTAATAGATTCAGGCCTTATAATGGATCCCTTACATGTTGCACTATCTTTCTTCTTCCATCTCAGCATTTTGTATGCAAGACTATTACTGGTCATATGAAGGAAATAAAATGTTGTCTCTTTGTACATTTGGATTATAACTCGGATGAGTTTCACTTGTTAGTGAATGATTCAGTCAGTCTTGAGAGAAGTGCCCAAATGTGACTTGTGATGCCAAGAGTGAATGTTCCTGTCACAGACCTGATTCTCTCGCCTTGCACATCAGCAGTCAAGTTCACCAGCTCCCTTGCTGCATCAGATTCGATGGTCCTTGTCAAGTTTCCCACTTTTTCAAGCCTACATCCACTGGTAACAAGCGAAACATGTCATGTGAATTCATTGCAATTCTGTTTTCACTTGTATGGTGAGATATTAATGCGGATACTTGTTTCAACCGTAGAGGTCGAACTTGATGGAGTAAGAACAGAAGAAGCTCATTTCAGAGGAAGGAAGTTGCAGGGAGCTACTCTCTCACTCCCTTCTGGCTATTCTGGTAAACCTTCTTTCTTCTTTCTTCTTGCTCTTGAGAAGGTGGAAACTTTTGAAATTTCTTTTGTGTGTTATTCTTTAGAGACGTTTGGGTTAATGAAAAGTTCCTGTCTTTTGGAGATCTTAATTAGAGAATCTTACTTGTATGTTGTTCGTTTTATAAGATATCCTTAGTATATGAGTACCGCTACTCTTGGAGAAATTATGTTTTGGTTAACTCACATTTCAATGGTGATTGGCCTGTTCATATGAAACAAACTCAGGTTTTGTGCTTGGACAAGCAAGTAACCGAAATGCTAATGGAAAGAGAAAAGCTTCTAGTCCCGAAGAAGAGAAGCCGTGTTGGGAAGCCAAGGCCAAGTTCGATAGAATGACGTACTGGAACCACGATAGTCTTCCTTCGAAAGACGATACTTTCTTGCGGTCTTTTCACTGGTTTAGCATCGCTGAAGCGGTGAGTGTTCAGTTCCTTCCATCTCTCGTTGACTGGTTCCAAAGTTGTGGTCCTTTTTTGTTTAGCTCCTAACTTGCTTGAGAAAAATGGTGATTTCATTGCAGCTGCATAAGCCACTGAAAGTTGAAGACTTGGTTGCAGCATCACGCGGTGAAAAGGATAAGATATGAAGTGGCATTATGGTTTTTGAACCAAAGATCTTGCGAAACAAGTAGCACTAGGTAGTTTAAGAAACAAGTAGCATCTTGACATGAAATTCTCAAGGCTTGTTTGGTTAAAACTTGTTCAAGCCTGGATCATGTATAATTTTTAAGTTTTTCATTCTGTAGGAGACGAAAACGACAATTTATTGGAGAAATCACTTTTTTTTTGTGCAAATGAGAAATCACTTTAACAGTAGATTTTTAATAGTGGATTGTCTAAAACTTGGATCATGTATGTATCATGTTCAAGCCTGGATCATGTATAACTTTCTCTGCTTGTTCAGTTAAGTGACTGTTATATGCAAATTGACTAAAATTGACATGGTCGCAGAAACAAAACTAAAATTTTAAAAGTTGATTCTATGGTTTCATTGAGAGTTGAACTCAAGACCTCCCGCTTACTAAACGGGTGCTCTAACCAACTGAGCTATGAAAGCCTTCGAGTAAGTTTACACTACTTAAAAATAAATCATCTTTCAGTGATGATCTTTTATGGGAACAAAAACTGGTTCAATTTTTAAAACGAGAGGACGAGGATGTGAATCAAATGTTTTGATCCGAGAGAACCTAAATGGACAACAGATTGGCTTCAGTTGTATATTACTCCTCCTTGCTTTCTTTTCTTTTCTATATATGGCCAGAAACTCTGTTTCATGTTTGGATTATAAAGTCCTTGTCAAAAAGCTTTTCTTGATTTATTATATCCAGCCAAGACAAAAAAAACTTTACGTTTTCACATTTTCAGGTTACAGAAACACAAGAAAGAAGCAGTTCATGAAGAAGAATAACATTAGAGTGGTTTTATTCAAGGAAGAGACCTTTTAAGATATTGGTTACAATAAGGCTTACATTTGAGATATTGGTCACAATAAGGCTTACATTTCTTGGTTATAAATTTCTAAGATGTTCTGGGCACGATTTGCTGATGAGCCATATCGAAAGTTGCGTGAAGACCAAGCAAGAAATAGTAAAGCAACATGACTAAAGTGCAAACACCAAACCTAACAAAAGCCTGAGCTCCCAAAGATCCCATGAGAAAGATATTCGTTGCAATCGACAAGCAAGGGATCCACGGAACCAAAGGCACTCCCCACACTTTCGGAGATCTTTGCTGAGGAACAAAAAACACAATCCCCAATGTCCCCAAGAACCAAAACGGCACAGTTATCACATATCCGATCCAAGATCCCTTAAGCCTCATCCCCCAATGAGCAGAAGTACCCATCGAAGACGCAACAACGGTCAACAAACAAATGACAAGCCTAACAAGATCACCTCTCGGAGTAACTTCTCTCACGTAGTACCTCCTCACTAGCAACGCTATAGGCATCATTGTGAAGATGAAGAGAGTGCTTATCGACAAGAGGCTCGCCAAAACATCCAAACCCGAGAAGAAAGCGATGAGAGCACTCGGGATCGTTACAAGAAGGTTAGCGTTTATCGGCGTTCCGGTTTTGGGATGGACGAGAGCAAATATAGGTGGGATCATGTGTGTTCTTGCGATGTGAGTAACGTACCTCGCTTGTCCCAACGCTCAAACAAGAAGCACTGTGGTCATGCCTTTGAGAGCACCAAGAGCCACCAAATACTTTCCCCATTTCATCCCAACGCTCTGGAACGCTACAGAGTAAGCTGCGTTTGGATCGATCTCCGTGTACTTCTGCATCATGCTCAAGGACAACGCCATCAAGCAGTATATCACCGTGATTATCGACATGGAACCGAGTAAACCGATCGGTATGTCTCTTGATGGGTTCTTGGTTTCTTCAGCCATTGTTGCTATGTTGTCGAACCCTCCGTACGCAAAGTACACGACCGCAGCTGCTCTGAAGACTCCCTCTGGTCCGTAAGGCAAGAACGGAGTCAGGTTCGAGGTGTTCGCGTGGATAAAGCCAGAGATGATCACGAAGAGTATCACTAACGTGTTGACAGCAGAAGCTATCCAGTTGAGCAGTGAGGTCTTTCGCGTGCTTATGGACGCGATCGTAGCCGCAACGGCTAAAACCACTACGGCTATCGGGTCGAGGAGGTTGAAACCGGTGGCGAGATCTGTTCTGATCCGTAGAGCGTTCGGTTCGCGGTTGAGAAGCGTTGCGAAATATGAAGTCCATGCTCTAGAGACAGCCGCGGTTCCAACTATGCTCTCGAGGAGTATGTTTCCGGCGGTTATGAAGGCCGCGAAATCCCCGAGCTCGATTCGTAGGTAGGCGAAGGAGCCACCGGCGAACTCGGTGTAGCAGAAGACAGAGAGCATGGCGGAGAAGCCTGAGACGACATAGGACAAGACGATAGCTGGTCCTGCTTGTTCGTGAGCTTCTTGACCTGTCAAGACAAAGATTCCAGCTCCGATCACTGACCCGAACCCGAACCAGAGTAGATCCCACCACATGAGGCACCGTTTCATGTCGTGCTCGCTCTGTTTCCTGAGCTCGACACGCTCGTTCTCGTCGTCAGACCTGCTAATTAATCTGTTCTTGAACCTTGAACATGTCTGAGACAGAGCTGTTCTGTAACTATGGAAGCTCTGGAAAGATTCCTCGGGAAAGAAGTCTTTCTTGCTCCATCTCCAGTAACCTCTCTCTTCACCACCATCATCCATTCTCTAAAACTTTGTCAATGGAGGTGAGTTAGAGATTACCTTTAAATGAATGGGACCAGTCTCTTCCTTTGTTTGATTAGTTGAAATGTCAAACAGTTTTTGTACTTTTTTGTTGTTGTTAACATTTTTGTTTGAATTTATACTATCCTCGACGTGTGGAGTGTGGACTGTCTTTCAATTATTTTTTTTTGTTTTTTTGTATCTCCCCAACTTGTTAGATTTGCTTTCTTTCTTTTTTTCTTTACTTGTTTGTAAATAAAATGATGAATTTGTATTAGGAAATATACTAGATTCTGTTTTGTAGTTACCTTTTCCTTTTTCAGGGGTTTTGTGCCAAAAAAAACTTTAAACTAAATTCTTTTTGCAAATAAAAAACCCTGAAGTGAAAATAATCCCACAATAACCTTTGTATATTTATAACTAAATTGAAAATGAATTTGTGCATAAAAAACCAACAAACTAATTTCTTTTTGCAAATTAGACCCTAAACTTAAAAAGTATTTAAGCCAAACCTACAAAAGCGAAACTCAAAGTTAAAACCATATACATTTCAGCTTTTGGGATAGATATTGACACCAATGCGACATTCAAGAATCAAATCATACTACCCAAAGTATTCATTTATGATAATGGGACGAGAAATTACGGGAACGAGAAGTTTGAGACTGAAATTATACATTCAAAGTCTTACTAAATCGGAAAATTTGAAAAAAAAATCGGGAAAATGCGGAAAATACGGAAGAACCCATACCGGAAAAACTAAGAAAAAAAAATACTCTATCTATGTCATGATCGAGCGAGAAGTTTACTTCCAAACAAATCTACTATAACAGGGTAAGAAAGCCAGACAGATATTTGAGAAGAAAGTTCAAACTTAAGTGACATTGATGATTTATTTTTGAGGTCTTTATTTTCAGAAAATAGAAAGACGGAAAGATGGAGATATGACAAAAATGCAGAAGATCAAGATGACCTCTTTTTCGCTGTTTTCTTCATATATTTTATTAAAAATAAAATTAAAATATTGAAAAATTACATAATTATTAAAAGTTTTGTGCAAATTGAAAACAACACGATTAAAACAACACAATTTTGAGGGTTTTTCTTGCAAAATAATTTAGTTTAAGATTTTTTTGTCGAAAAATATTTCTTTTTTAAAAACATCTAATTAATGTCACATCATCGATGTAGGTACGGGTTATATTGCATGTGACTTTTGAGTTAAGTGGATTGACTTGCACTGTTTTGAGGTGACATATTTTCTTGCAAAAATAATATAGTTTGAAGTTTTTTTTCACAAAACCATATAATAAAGCATAGATAAACTAGAAATTAGACAAGATAGATCTTCATAAGACAGCGAATTAAGAGCAAAACTCCAATGCGTCAGAAGGTATTTCACGCCAAGCCGGAATGTTGTAACCTAGTCACGTTGCAATGTGACGTTAAAGACCAACTCTTACCTCCAAATTTCGTTGAAATGAACCCGATTGCATCTTCTATACAGATCGTTACACAAGATGACAAAATGGTGAAGAGGTTGTAACGATTCATCGTTTTGAATCCAAGAACAAACCGCTTCTCAAAGAGAAGGGAAGGTCTGGAAAAATTATCTTCTCAACAGAGAAGTGAGATGGAATAGATCTCTCCGGGCCAGTGGAGGAATTTGAGATATTAAACATCTCCGTTAAGATAGAAGATGAAAATATCCCGGCAAAGGGCTTTGGGCGCGAACTGCTTACAGTAACAAATCAAAATCAGTTATTGGGCTGAACAGAAACCAGCATTGAGCAGATTAGGCCCATAGTGGTCAAGATGGGCCAGGCCAGAACAAGTTGAATACAAAGAGAAGCCAACTCGATAGATTTGGCTAGGATGAAGCTGTCAATCGGACCAGCCCACGTCTGCCTGGACATGCCCATTGGGCTTTATGTTTATAAGACGTCTGTGCGGGTTGGCCCACCGCGGGTTGTGGACAAATCCCGCCGGCATGTTTTGGCGGGCTTTGCAGGCCGGGTTGGCCCGCCGGCATCATGATGGTGTGCGATCTGCTATTGTGAACATGTATGTTTGTCTTGCCAAAGTGTCTATTACATATATTCTTCTTTTAGCTTGCATAAACGGGCTGAGAACCAACTAACCTGCAAACAACAACAACAAGAAGTTCTAAAACTTGTTGCTAATAGTTAGACTTCTCTTATTCTAACTCATAATTGGTCCTTAGAATCCCAAATCAAAAAAGAAATAGCTAATAATTTAACTCAACAATTGAAACTGCGACGCTATTCAATTCCTCAATTTCTGTGTATGAACACGTATAAAAGTTTGATTTTAAATACGTACACGGTGAGCAACAACAGCACAAGCAAGATCAAGCTTGCTCATAAAAATCGACCGCAGCTGAATCCAATGGTTTGTGCCTGATTTCCTTGACCATCCGCAGAAAGACGGTGATTATGCAGCTTGACGGCATTTGTATTCGACAACATCGGTGATTGCTCAGATTGAACCGGTGGAGGTGATGACCTCTCGATTGTGTTGCTTGTAGGGCTCTTCAACGGTCTATTCTTCTCTGATGCTGAATCATGCATAGTTGGCATCGATTCGGTGAAGAAAGAAGCTGTGAAGTGAACGAGCGGTTGGCAACAACATTATCAGTCGGCCGCAAAACCGCAGCCGGTTAACCCGCCCGAAACCAATTCCCAAAGGGCTTAGCCCGCTAAGCTCGTAAATTTCTCAAACATTTTATTTGGGCCTGAGCCGGTCCCGCAAATGTTCATATGGGCTTGGACCACGGGCTTCGGGCTGAGCTGACAGCTTTAAAGATGATATTGGGCCAGGCCCATATTTGTCTATTTCCTTTTCTTTATGGTAAAACCGTAACATCGATACCAATTACCAACTTCAATATTCAGATCATTCTCAAAGTTTACGATTTGCAAACAAGACCTTGACTAATCCTGATTTGATCAATCCGCCGCAAATTAACTTTCAGTTTTTACTCGAAGGGTTTTAGGTTTTTTTTCGTGAATTCTCGGCTAAATCGATCAGTGAGAGACGACGAATCGACGGGAGAGAGAGAGTGAGAGAGAGGAGAAATGGGTGCTCAGAAGAAAGGCGGCGCTAGGGTTTCAGAGGATCCCGTGGAGCAGGGTCATCAACGTTTGCAAGCAATTCTTCTCGCCGACAGCTTCACCACGAAATTCCGTCCGGTAACCCTAGAACGCCCGAAGGTACTATTGCCGTTAGTGAATGTCCCGATGATCGATTACACCTTGGCGTGGCTCGAATTCGCCGGGATTGAGGAGGTTTTCGTCTTCTGCTGCGCTCACTCGGCGCAGATAATCGATTATCTGGAGAACTCCGAATGGTCCTCGCACCCAAACTTGTCCGTGAGAACGATCGAGTCGCAGAAATCAATCAGCGCCGGAGACGCTCTCCGTTACATCTACGAGCAGCAGGCGGAGACTTCCCAGATTCAAGGCGATTTCGTTCTCGTCAGTGGAGACACGGTGAGCAACATGCCACTCGCCGATTTGATTAAGGAGCACAGAGAGAGGAAGAAGAAAGACGAGAAAGCCATCATGACGATGGTGATCAAGCAGTCAAAGCCTTCGCCGATCACGCATCAGTCGAGACTAGGAACGGATCAGCTCTTCCTCGCCGTGGATCCCAAAACAAAACAGCTTCTTCACTACGAGGAGGACAAAATCGATCACGCGAGAGGCAGTGTTTGCTTAGAGAAGTCGTTGCTGCAGAGTGAGCCATCTCTTTTACTATACAGCGATATGCAGGATTGCTATATTGACATATGTTCTCCTGAGGTGCTTAGTCTCTTTGAGGATAACTTCGATTACCAGCATCTGCGTCGTCACTTCGTGAAAGGTGTTCTTGTTGACGATATCATGGGTTACAAGATCTTCACTCATGAGATTGACTCGAGTTACGCTGCTAGGATCGACAATTTCAGAAGCTACGACACTGTTAGCAAGGATATCATCCAGAGGTGGACATTCCCGTATGTGCCGGATATCAATTTCAGCGGGAATCGACCTTTAAAGCTCGGGAGGCAAGGGATATACAAAGCTTCTGATGTGGTTCAGTCACGTTCTGCTGATGTGGGATCGTCCACTGTCGTTGGAGACGGCACAAAGATTGGGGACGGGAGTAGAATCTTGAACTCGGTTATTGGGAGTGGGTGTTGTATTGGATCGAATGTGGTGATAGAAGGGTCATACATATGGAACAATGTGGTGATAGAAGATGGGTGTGAGATAAGGAATGCCATTGTGTGTGATGGTGTGAAGATCAGAGAAGGGGCTGTTCTTGAGCCTGGTGTTGTTTTGTCTTTCAACGTTGTGGTTGGGAGGGGCTTTGTTGTGCCTGCGTATTCAAAGGCCTCGTTGCTTCAACAGCCGACTAAGGAAGACAGTGATGAAGAGCTCGAGTGCGTTGAGAGTAGCAGTGTGGCTGCGGATCTTTTGGCAGGGTTGAATTTGGAAATGGAGGCGAGAGAATCCGACCTTGGTCCTGATGGAGCAGGTTACATTTGGGAGGTGTGTGAAGGAGCTAATGATGAGGAGTGGAAGCATTCCGTTGCGCCGATCCCAATGGACAAAGTTGCTGAGATTATTCAGGCCATGGAGGATGATGATGACAGAGAGGATGAGAGCTGTGTTCCGACTTCTGGAGAGTTGAGATCTGACGCTGATAGTATCAACACTGATATGAATGATCCCGGTGATGACGACTACGGTTACTTTGAGAAAGAAGTTGAAGGTACTTTCTTGAGAGCCGTCGAGGAAGGGATCGTAGTGGAGAATGTGATCTTGGAGATAAACGGACTCCGGTTGTCGTACAACATGGAGTCTGCGGATTGTGCCGGAGCAACGTTCTACTCCATGATGAAACTTGCGGTTGATACTCCGCACAACTCTGCTGACGAGCTGTGTAAGAATGCGGTGAGTATCATCACGAAGTGGAAGCGGCTTCTTGGGTTTCATGTGAAGAAGACTGACGAGCAGATTGAGGTGATTATGAAGTTTGAGGAAATGTGTCAAGAGACTGCCAAGGAGCTGGGGACTTTGTTCGCGAAGATTCTTCATGTGATGTATGAGATCGATCTGTTGCAAGAAGACGCTATCCTAAGATGGGCGGAGGAGAAAGCTGGCGCTGATGAAGCTGATAGAGTTTATCTGCAGCAGTGTGAGGCGTTTATTCAGTGGCTTAAGGAAGCATCTGAGGAGGAAGATGATGATGAAGATGACGAAGAAGAAGAAGATGCCTGAATTTGTCCATTGTTTGTCTCATATTTTGTTTGATCTTTTTGAGAGACGCTCTGTTTGTTTTTTATCAACAATCTTTTTTTTTACCATGTTTTTTATTGAGATATACTTTCTCGTCCATGAGAAAATTACACCCAAGTGGACTTTTTAAGTTTGTCTTTACACTTTGAGGGAGACTTTCACAAAGTGAGTTTACAGTGTTGCCCTTTTTTTCACTTACCCTCTTTCTGTAATTCCCTAATTTTCACATTTCACCCGATAAAGATTACCTTCACCTTCTTTCCCGTCGAACACAGAAACGCCGGTCAGATATTCTTTCGCCGGTGACCTATTTTCCGCCCCTGAAGCGTCGTTGCGTTTTCTCACTTTCACTTCCGTTTACCTTTTCTCCCGCCGGTGACAAACAAGCTGATTTCGTTGCTCATTCTCGCTTCCTGTCTCAGAAGAAGCTACTCTCGTTGCTGTTCCGAGTCTCACCTTCCTACTCCATCGTCGTCTCCTCTTTTCTGTCAAGTCTCAGTTCTCGTATCATGTCCAAATCCCAATTTCAGGTTTTCAGATCTCATCGATTTAGAATTCGCCTCCTTTTTCCTAACAAACTCTAATCCTATAACCATGGCGAGGTTTCCTAATCCGAATTTTTTTCTGACAGCGGCAACTCTCTGTGAAACCCAGCTCGGTTTCTTACGCCAACGATATGAAAGGTTCAAATTTCTACTTTGTTTCTTTAATTCTCCAAATTATTTGTGATTTCCTCTTCACATAGATACAATATCCTAAACTTTCTCTATTTTCGTCTTTGATTTGGAAGGTAACAACTAGAAATTGATTTTGAACCATACCTCCGTAGCCATTGTTAAGTATATGTCTGTTGGATTCTAGTGTGTGGATGGTTTATTTTAATGTCGGATTTGTAGTTTGCCAATTGATTGTTGATGCTCTTATTGGACGGATTTTGCTGTTAATTTGGATCATACGCCTTGCATAATGTATTCATGGATTTCTTCTACAACACAATTGGATGCTTTTAGTATATCTACGTGGATTGTTTTTTCATAGTTACTTTGATGCTTTTAAAACACACTTGGATGCTTACCTTGTCTCATATCTCTTTTCTTCGAGAGCGCTTTAAATCTCTGCTTCCCTATTTTGTTCTTTTGATATCTTTGACTGTGGATGATCTTATTTGATTTCAATTTGAAACATATGTATACGTTTCACATTTCTTTTTGGATGTTTTCTTCGTGGATACTTATGTATCGCTCTTGGATGCTTATTATACTTTTAATACTTACATGAACGCTTTACTTGGATGCTTATGACTAATTTTGATTTCTCGACATATTCTTCTCATCTTAAACGCTTTACTCGGTCCACATCTTGACGACCTATTTAGCTGTAGTTAGTGTGCTGTGTTTCAGGTCCAGACAGTTCTTCTGGGGCGGTGCATTCGCCATTGGAGCTCTCTTGCAGTTCTTGTGTGTTGTTTCAGTTATAGACAGGTGCGTGAGAGGTTTTGAGTATGATTGATTGATTCGTTATTGTTTGATTTGGTAACACTTTTGAATTCTGATGATTTTGAGTGTAGACTTCCCTTCACGATGTTGGTTCTGCGGAAAGCGCTGAAGCTAGTTTGGGGGCTTCCTAAGGTCATAATGGTGGCGCATGCTTTCACAGTAGTCATGCTTTTGTGGATGTCTCTGTGGTCTTTTGGAGCAGCTGGTGTTGTGGCATCGACCATGGGTGATGAGGGACGATGGTGGCTCCTTGTCGTGAGCTGGCAAGTTTTTGCATTTTCTTATCTTACGGCTTCTGTATTTGGTGCTTGTTAAGAGTCTGAGAGTGTAGCATGTTTTGATTCCGTTCGATCATTGGAACAGGTTCTTTCGGTTAGATTATTCTGGACAGGCGCTGTGCTGTGTAACACTGTACATGTGATAGTTTCTGGGATGGTGTTTCATGTTCTGTTTCAATGTGGTCAACAAGAGGCATCGTCGTTGCCTCCTAGCACTTTGTTTGGATCACTCAGGTACGCCGTGACAACGTCTTTTGGGAGCAGATGTTACGGGTCACTCTTCACTGCTGCCATTAGGACTCTTTGTTGGGAGGTTAGTCTCCAGATTCTTTTGATGCCATCTAAAGACATTTATTGTTCTTGCAGTTCTTGATTTTGCAACTTGTGTTTTGCAGATAACTTGTGTTTATTTTTGGATGATTGAGTCCATGGACAGGTTTATGCGGATGCTTTGAGTCCATGGACAGGTTTATGTGGATGCTTACGTGACGAATTAAGGAGTGACTTTTCTCACTTATCGTACATAAAAAGTGACTTTTTGATTGTGGTGCACTTTTTTTTGTTTTGTTGTGAGTTGCAATACCAAGTATAACCTTAATGAAAAATGGAAGTGAGAATTTTTTACCTTTCATGAGATTGATTTTACTGTTGTTTTCTGCCGCCGTTGTTCTTAAGACCATTTTTCCGTGAGAGTAGTCGGCAAATCGCCGTTGTTATATATTGTTGGAATCCTAGAGTGGTTTATATTTAGATTTACTTCCTATTTGGTGGGAAAGATTAGTGAATCCAGCTAATTGGATGGATGGGAGAGATGGAAGAGAAGGAAATCCAGAGATTGAAGATTCAAAAAAGACAGTTACTCATCGGAGAATTGGATGCTCATCGGAAAGTCCTTTTTTCAGCAAAGTCTTCGACAATGATGCTGAGTTAATCAAATCCGTCGGAGAACAAAGGGGGCATTTTGTAACAGAAATCAGACATTTTAAGACTCCAAACCTGCCTCTGGTATTTGCCCATATGATTCTGTTTTGAATAATTGATTCTAAGACATCAAACATTTCCTCCCATATCAATCTATCACGAGTTATTGTGTCTGCGTGATTTGTTTTTGGAAGAATTGATTTTTTTTGACCCAAAAACTTTCCCCCCTGATTGCCACATGATTCTGTTTTGAAGAATTGTGTCTGAGTTCGTTGTTTTTGGACGAATTAATATGTTGGACGGTTTGTTGCGGTTTTATTGTACACTTCAAATGTTTCGATACGTTTCACGATTGGACAGTTTTGTGTGGTACAGATTGCCGTATTTCCTCCTCCATAAACAAGATTGAAACTTTCTGCAATTTGCTCAAAAAAAACAGAGAAAACAACTATCCACAGTTTCATGTGGTAATGGATATACAAAGAACTCGTGTGCAGGAATGAATGGACAAACTGAATCATGAGTCAGAATTTAGAAATTGTTAAAAACAGATTCCAAGATCATCCACATCACACCATTCATGTTCTTGATTCTTAATTCAGTCAAACTTTCCCAGATTTTTATTTAAAATAATTTCATGTTTTTCTATAATTGTTTATGGATTGACAGAACTTGCTAGTACTCGTAAACTCTTGTGTGGACTATGAAATCATGTGTGAATGGAGTAATTTGAACTCTTAAACTGAATGAACTATCATCCATATGAAACTATCTAATTTATCTTTTGGCTGTTTTATAGGTGAGACAATTCATATCACTTACAGAATTACTTTTGGCTGGCTATCATAGCTTGGAATTTCAATACCACTTTTGGTTTATTGTGGATACGGATGGTGTTTGGACAGTTCATTGTGGATACGGATGGTGTTTGGACAGTTCATTGTGGATACGGATGGTGTTTGGACAGTTCATTGTCGATACGGATGGTGTTTGGACAGTTCATTGTGGACAATGAACTGTTGGATGATTAATTTGGATTTTGTTTTTCATGGACTGTTTATCGTGGACAATAATTTACATGATGAAGTGCTTCTCTTTTTAGCATCTCTAATCGTATCTGAAGTTGTGTTGTAGTCATGAGCTACTGAATGGTCTGCATACATCACTGAAGGCTAAAAGAGAGATCAATTTTTTATTTGGCTCCGTAATCAGGAACAAGGCTAATACTTTTCAAAGTTGAAAACTTGTAATAGATAACAAAAATCGAACCAACATACAATACGTTTTTTTAGTTAAAGAAACTTTGCTATACATGAGTTCATAGCCAAATTAATGGGAATGAAGTTTGTAGAGATGAACATTAGAAGAAAGAAGTTGGATTGCCGCTGGACTTTTCAAGAATTGGATGCATTGCAGAGTTTGTATGTTGATGGGAATCGGTTTGGAAATGTTGGTGTAGAGGACATGCTTTGTCCATTGAGTAGATTTTCTGCTCTGCAATTGCAAGCCAACATCACACTCAAGACAATTGTGTTTGGAGGTTCCAATACAAAGATGGGAAGAGATGGACTTACCACCGTTTTTGAAGATGGTGACAACAAACGAGACGGTTGTACATCTCCGGATTCACGACGATGCGAGTCTAGGACCTGATGATTTCGTGCATATCTAGCTTGCAGAAGAATGGTCTTTAAGATGGTTTTCGTTACAAGGCTGCAAAGGGGGAAGAGGTGATACATCAATTATTCAGATAAAGGTCTCATTTACAGTAATCTCTCTTGCAGGTATGCAGCAACACAAACTGAAGTAAAAATCTGAAACTGAAAGAGAGAGACAGAACAATACCAGCAATCACATCTGTTGCAGCACATATTGCTTCAGCTATGTGTTCCTCATCAGTAGGACTTGATCAAAGAGGAAGAAGAATAATGAAGAAAGCTGAATTTAGAGCCGAATTCAGAGCCGAAAACGCTCGATCTTTTACATGGGTCACAATTGCTTCACGGCGGAGAAAAAGGGGAAAGAGAGAAGGAAGCTCTGATTGAGGTGTACTTGACGGTGGAGGTTAGAGGGAACTGGCGGAAGGATAAGGAGGAGATGGGACGGTGGAATTAAGATTGCGGGAGGTGGAGAGAGTGAGGAGTGCGTGAAGGAGTGGACAATTGTATAGACTGAGACATAGTTTTCCCAGCCGGAGCGAGTGGAGCTCCGGGAGATCGGAGAAGTGGGTACAGTTGGCTCTGAGAGATTTGATTGTTGGAGAAGAAGAAGAAAGGCGGATATATCGGGAGGGGATGTGAGAATGAGTTTCTGAGTATCGCCGTCGGAAGAAAAGAGATTTAAAATCGGAGTTTTCATTTCGTCGGAGATAAAAAAAAAAAAAAGTGAGCAAAAATTTGTCGTAAGGTGAAAACAAAAGAAAGAAGGGCATATGTGTAAATTCCCCAAAGTACACCACTTTCAGGAAGTCACTCATAGTGTAATTGTAAACTCAAAAAGTGCACCTGGTTGTAATTTTCTCGTCCAGAGATCTAAGTTTATGTCCAATAATTGACGGGGAAAACATAAACACGACTTCTCGATAGAATACATACACAAAAGTACGCCGGCAATTTTCAGTAGAAGAAAACGTACACTTTGGTTTCCGTGTAAGGAAACTCGTAGACCAAAAGCATACATCATTTTAACTGTCCGAGACTCTGAGCCTTAAGCATCCAAACTACTTTACATCGTTAAACTTTCAAACCGAATCTGGGCTTTTGTCGAATATCAATTTACAAAGACGTAGAATACAAAAACTGAAAAATTCGTATGTGGGCAAAAAAACCCGTAATCGTTCACATATGTCTGTTTCAGTCTCGTCAATGTATAGCTTACCGGCACTGCAATCCGTTTTACAGTTTTACTCCATTTGTTATATGCTTTTCATTAAGGGTATTTTGGTCAACTACAATGGGCAAAAGTTAAGAGAAATCCACCTTTGACAAAAAAGTCCCTCTTTTTATAAACCAAACTCAAAAAGTCACTCATACTGTAAATCACTCCTCATCCATGGACATATATTTTGACGAAAATCTCATGTTTTGCATTTTTTTTTGGACTTAAAGCAATTATATTGTCATGTATTTCCAATTAGACCCCTGTACTTTTATTGTTTTGGTGAGAACCCTTATACTTTATTTTATTGCAAAAACAAACATCACAAAATCTTCGTTTTTTTTTTTTCTTTTTTAAATCTTCTTCGTCTTCTTCGTCTTCCTTTCGATTCATTGCTTCTTCGATCTTCCTCTCACGCGAATCGTTGCTTTAGCATCCTTCGCACTAACTTGATTTGATCTAAATCTGATCGAAGTGTCGTAGAAATCAGAATCTTCCAATCCTTTGTGCAGTCACACAGAAATCGGAATCTCCGAATGGAGAAGAATGCCCTCGCCGGAGACACAATTCCGAGACCGAAATGGAGGAAAGTAGCCTACGGAGGAAGGCAAATCGGATACGACGACAACTACACGGACGAATCCTTCCTCGAAGAAATGGTGATGAACGCTAACGTGGTGAGGCGCGATCTGCTAAAGGTGATGAGAGACTCCGTCTCGATCTCTCAATACCTCTGCATCGTCGCGCTCGTCGTCTTGGTCTGGGTCCACACTCTCGAATCATCTCTAGACGAGAACTCGCTCTTGCTTCTCGATCTCTCCCTCTTAGCCTCGGGATTCTTAGTCCTCCTCTTGACCGAAGAAAAAATGCTCTCTTTGAGCCTCCTCTTGCGTTACGTCGTCAACATCTCCTTCTTCACCACGGGTCTCTACATCTTAGCTCCGATTTACCAGACGCTCACGAGATCGATCAGCTCCGATTCGATCTGGGCAGTCACGGTCTCTCTCCTCTTGCTGCATCTCTTCTTGCACGATTACTCTGGGTCCACGATCAGAGCACCGGGGGCGTTGAAAAACCCGAATTTGACGAGCTGTATCTCTCTCAATGCTTCCATTGTAGCGTCTGTGTTTGTTGCCTCCCGGCTCCCGTCTAGGCTCCATGTCTTTGCTGTGATGCTCTTCTCGCTACAAGTCTTCCTCTTTGCTCCTCTCGTTACTTACTGCATCAAGAAGTTCTCGTTTGGGTTGCATCTTGTGTTCTCGTTTGCGCTCATGGGTTTGACGCTATACTCTGTTTATGCGCTGCATAGGCTTTTTTTTGTTCTGTTTCTTGTTATTGTGGTGCTTGTGAATGTTGTGTGTCCTTATTGGCTCATTAGGATGCAAGAGTATAAGTTTGAGATCAATGGTCCTTGGGATGAAGCCAAGCTTTGTTTCGACATTACAGATTGATTATTCTTTGTAGCAGCTAAAGCTTTGTTTAGACACAGAGATTGATTTTCTTTGTTTCGACATTAACAGTAAAAGTAATGTCGGAGAATTAAACATACTCATCAAGGGAACATCCAGATCACATCAGAGGCCTAGAATCAGAATATGAATTGATCTAGTTCAAACCCAGATTACGCTTAAATCAATCAGAAATAACAAAACGATTCAATCAGACCTTACTTTTAAATTACGATCCAGAGGAACACTTCTCTGTTTGGCGCTGAATTCGAATTTTGAGCTTTTTTCATACATATTTCGAGCTTGAGCTTTTCATTTTGAATTGGTCGAAAATGTTACGTAGCTGAGGGAGGGAGAGAGACAAAGGGGAAGTTAGTCTTTTGGTGACATTTATTGGACCTTGCTCTAGCTTAAAAGCCTGGTTATGAAATTTTCAGAAAAATCAAGTCTGGTTTATATTATAAATAGCGTAAAATAATATCAATAGAGTCAGGATGGCCGAGTGGTCTAAGGCGCCAGACTCAAGTTCTGGTCTTCGAAAGAGGGCGTGGGTTCAAATCCCACTTCTGACAAATTTTCTTTTATCTGCTTCTCTTTTTATTTTCAGATTTAGCTCTGCAGGTTTAATTCAGAACGATTTTTACAGTCAATATATTTGGAGACGGAGAGCTAACTATGAATGTGATGTGTGTGATAATATTCGTTAATGATCAAATTCAGTTAACGACCTTCTCTTTTCTTTTAAAAAAAATCATCCTGCTCCTTGAAAATTGTTTGTCATGCATGTTCGGAAGACAAATGATAGCAAAAACATATGTTGCAACAAAAACACACGCAGCAAAAATTTGCATTGTTGTAACTCCGTCTGACCCAGTTGCTCTTGGTCCGGGTAAGAAAAATTGATATTTACACTAGATCATCTGGTTGAAGACTCTTCGCCGCACATCCGCCATCAGAGGTGGAAGCTACACGGTCATAGAAGGAGAAACTCGCTGACTGCAGCTTCCGTTTGTTATCTGACATGACGCTCCTCCTCTCGCTTCCGGCACTTTTGCTTCTGTAACCGCGCGGCAAGCTTTTTTCCTGAGTTAACGCCACTTGGTCCACCGTCTTCTTCGCCAGTTCCCTCTGGATATCTTCTGGTAACCGGAGCTTAAACCGGTCGACAGTCTCCACCAGTTGAATCGCACAATGCCCGGTCGAATTCGACCTCGAGAATAAAAATTCGGAGACTCGACACTGTGACAGTCTCATCGACCACGACCGAGGTGGTCTATTCCTATTGGTCCACGTCATACCTTCGAACAAATTCGCGTCTGTAGAATCCGGATCCGTAACCAGTTCGCTCCCCTCACCCGTTTGGAGGACGAGATCCACCCGACAGAGTGGACACGTGGAGTGATTACGTAGCCAGACACTAACGCAATCAGCGTGAAACACGTGACAACAATTAGGCATCAAACGCAGCGTTTCATCGTCTTCGAACTCACAGAGACACACCACACATTCGGCCCCACCTGTCCCAATCCTCCGCTCCTTCACTTCCGAGTAGAGAAACGTCGGGAACGATTTCACGATAGCTTCGTCGACCCCACGCGCCTCCGTCGTATCGCTCCTGGCCCTACTCACCGGACGGAGGGTATCTCTTAATTGGTTTAAAGTATCGTAGGTGGACCAGCGAAAGCAAACCGAAGTCAAGCCCACGGCGAAGATCAAGAAGATTATCACCGTGACTATTAAGATAGCTAGGTCGCTTTCGTTTGTCTGGCTTTCTTGCTGCACCATCGTTTGACCTGACTCGTACGCTGTGGACTGGACCAGCAATCGGATTTTTCTCTCTAGATTTACCATGAGATTTTGTTGAACAATAATATTCCATTCATCTTTTTTCTCTCTTTATAGATAATCTGGGATAAGAATGTGACTAATCCACTCCCAAATCCTGTGGCTAATACCATTTTTCTATATTACAAGAGATAAGTTCACATGTAAAAACATGCATTAATTATCTTTCCATAAACTATATCTTCATATATTGATATATAGTGAAATACAACCTGTATCCAGCATTTGTTTGACCAATTTCTTGGTTTCCATAAATCTTCAAGTAATTACCCCCAAAACTGTACCGGTGACACTTTAAACTATTCAGTGAAATGCCAAATTTCAGTATCGATTCAAGGAAATAATTATCTACGTTTGAATATATGAAAACTATGGTATTGGCGTTGCTTGAAATCATGACCATTAGTAAATTACATAATAGTTCGCCGTGAAAATGCGTTAAAAAGGCATAGGCTACAAATTTAAAGATTTACCTACCATCTCACGCATACATTTTTTCGTTTCTTTTCTGTAACCTGATAATCTTCAAACGAAATTTTTAAACAAAAAATAATTGTCATGTTTGTTGGTCATGCTCAAAAGTCAAACAGCAAACAAGATGCATAAACAATTAATCCCATAAACAAATTGTAAAAGAAAAAAAAAATATTTACACTCGATCATCTTGTCGGAGCCTCTCGAAAGAACGTTCACCAGATTCAATCGTTGCCGGAAAATTCTTCGGCGGGGCCACCGTATCACCGCTAAAAGTAGACCGCACGGAGCCACTCCGGAAAGAAAAGGAGAAAGACAGCGAATGCAGCCGTCGACTGAAATTATAATTCCTCCGTCCTCTCTCGCTCCCGACGCTACCGCTTCTGTAACCTCTCCGTGAACTCCTCGCCTGAGGCAACGCCACGAGCACCGTCGTCCTCGCCTTCATCAGCTGCCTCCGTACATCTTCCGGCAATCTCAGCGTAAACCGGTCGAGATCCCCTGCCGGTTGAACCAGCGAATGTCCGGTCGTGTGAGATCTAGGAAACAAAATTCCACTGATATGCCAGCTGGAAATTCCCGTTGACTTTGACCGAGGTGTTATGTTACTATTGGTCCACGTCACGCCGTCCAACAAATGCAGGTCCGAAGATTCCAAAACCCCTCTTTCAGGATCCGAACCCGACGACACCGTACCCGGATCCGGAATCGAATAGCTCTCACCACCTTCTTTGACGACAAGATCCGCTCTACAGAGAGGACACGTGGAATGATCGGAAAGCCATACGTCGACGCAATCGGCGTGAAACACGTGGCTGCAAGGAGGCATCAAACGCAGCGTTTCATCGTCCTCGAATTCGCAGAGACAAACCGCACACTCGACACCTCCTTTCCCGATCCTCACCGCCTTCACCTCCGAGTAGACAAACGTCGGGAACGATCCTAGAGCTTCCGCGTCGAGCCCACGCGCCGCTGTTCTCCTGATCCTGACCACGCCGGCTTCGGCATCCGCGTCTGTGGATCGGAAAACGGAAGGCCCGGCGTAAAATGGCGCGGAGCTCCGGCGGCAGAAGATCGAACCGAAGACCATGATGAAGATGACGACGAACAAGACCGTGATCACTATTACAACTGGGTCGTTGGGTTTCGTTTGGGTTCCGGGCGGTGTGGTCTGACCGGAACCGTACGGTACGGAGTGGAGCAAGAGGAGTAGCAACAGAAGGCTTCTTGGGATCCAACGGTCGGAGTTTGTGTCGTGGATCGCCATATGATTATCATCGTATGCAAGTGGAGGAGAAAAGTTTTTGGTGTGAAAATATATGGTGGAAGAGAGAGTCAGTCAACGTCTTCTTGTGAAATCCACGGGGGTTTAAGCGTGGCTGCGTTACTGTGGATCGTAGCACTTTGGGTTATTGTAAATTATTAAAAGGGGATTGTTTGGATTTGATCTGTTCATGAGTTTGACTTTGAAGCAGTCTGTTGTGTCTTTTAGTACTTTTACAGCCAGGAGAGAACACCATTTCTTAATTTTTTCCTAGTCAGATAATCCTACAAATTATTGGTAACCATCTCAGTCCAAATGAATAGAAATCTCAGAAATTTTAATTAGGCATCTTGAAAATGAAAAAAAATATATTTATTTTTGAACAGATTGATATCTAGCTACCTGTATGAAACATTATATTTTTAAAAATTATATTTATTTTGATTAGACAACATATTGATCCACAACATACGAAACTAATTGTATTACCCTCACATTTACATATTTCCATGTAATACACAACCAGAGCATATAATGTAATCCGCAAACCTTTGATTAAACATTAGACCAAGAAGTTACCAATGTTTGGTTAGCTACTTTCTGGTCAAATGATTACATATAATCAACAGAGAGTATAAATCGTTTGAAGATAAATAAAATTCTTGTTGTTTTTGTTTTTTTTGAATTGGCCATGTACAGAATAGGAATGGGAACTACCAACATACTGCTAACAACTTGGTTACAATTCAGTGAAAAAAAATTCATTTGTTTGTAATATTTGGTACAATTTTCATTCATATGATGGTAGCCGCAAGGATTTAACAAAATTTTGGCAACTCAACAAAAAAAAGAAGATATTCAAAAGAGTGTGAGGTTGGTCGTGACGACAACTATAAAATACCTTATGTTGACGGTGATATAAAATAAAATAAAGCACAAAGATACCATGGAAAATTCGATAAACGCATGTAGATCTCCATTATCACCATTATCGTTATCGTTGACTTACACATAAGTTTATATTATTTATGAAACCTCTCAGATTTTGAATCCTAACTCGGTTTTTAATGCGGACTAAAATAGAGAACATTGACGAAAACATGGACGCAATAGGAGCAAGCAAATAACCCTGGTTGCTGGGTGGTTTAAATGGTAATTCGGGACCGGCAGCAGCAGGGGGAGTGATAGAGATGGGGCTGGACGATGGATTGGGGGTTTTGCATTAAACATCGACGGGTGTGCAGCGTCTTTAGCAGAACTGTGGGGAGTGTAGTACGGCTTGGTAATAGCATGGGAGAAGAAGCCGACACAACTGGAGTTTGAGGTGGATTCTGAGTTGGTAATCGGTTTTCTCAAGAAAGAGATCAATTATGCACAAATCCCTTGTCTTTCTTGGTGCGCTTGTGCCATGGCTATTTATCGAAAGACTGGTCGGTCCGTAACTCTCATGTGTTTTGGGAGGCGAATTGCTTAGGCTGGCAACACACGCTTTCTCTCTTCCGTTAGGTTTTCATTTGTTTGATCTTCTCCCTCCATCGCTAGAAATAGTCCGTTAGGAAGATGAGATAGGATTTACACGTCCTAGAGACATCTTTTTTTTTTTTTTTTTTTCTTTGGTATGAATTTCTAGAGACGTTTGCTTGTAGTAACTTTTCATATTCAATAAAATCGCGGGGACATTAGTCTCCCGTTGCTTGACAAAAAAAAAAGTAGGAGCAAGCAAATCACAAAATCCAAGTCATTTGCTTGAAACCAATAATAAGTAAATAAACCATTGATGAGCAGAGCAAAACAAATTTGGTTGGAGGCTTGGAGCCATAACGCAAAGAACAATCGACATAATCCAAAAGCGCTTGGTCATCATCTATGATCTATGTCTATGCGTTTAAGTGAAGACGACGTCGGTTTGATAGAATAATTCGGGCCTGATTTTAGAAGCCATGACTTTTACGTGGGTCATTCTGCAAATTCTCTTATGTTCTCCGTCGTTGCAATTGGAAGCGGAAGAAACACCAAAAACCTTTACAATCGGATATCGAAAAGCCCTAAGAAATCAGGCAAAAGCTCGAGTGTATCATCAATAAACCGGGGACTATGAAAGGAAATTGGTCGATTGTCCGTCAGGTTTTCCAGCGCCGCTTCTCCACACTCCGGTCGTCGCCGTCGTCACGATCTTCCGCGTTGTCCAGCTTATCCCAATCTCTCATTATAGCCCCAAACTCGATGACCTCTCAGATCTCTAGAAACTCGTGGTTCGCTGCCTCCACCTCTTGCGCTTCCATTAAATCTAGCTTCTCCAACGCTTCTCTTCCCCACCGGAGAAGCCTCTGTTCGGAAGCTGGAGGTAATTGATCAATTGGTCCTGCTAATTCCTTTTGTGTTTATTAGGCATTTGCATCGATAATAGGTTATAGGCGTCTTTTTTGATTGAATTAAACGAGATTGAATCAGAGAAATTAGCTTGGGTATGTGCTCGAGTTATCTATGGGAGTTGAAATTACGATACTCAAACTCAACCAAAGGCCATTTCTGAGAAAAAAAACTAGAAATTGGGAATTTATCTGTGCATGTGTAAAAGGGTCTTGAGAAATCACAATAACCCTGCAATTTCGATTATAGGTGAAAATGGAGTTATTATAGTGAAATCAGAGGAAGAGTTCACCAAAGCAATGAACAAAGCTAAAGGTAAAAACATCACCTTTAGTGAAATATTGCTTAGCCTTAGTATGATTCTCTGCTTATGTCTGTCTCTGTATTCAGATGGATCTTTACCTTCGATCTTCTATTTCACTGCCGTCTGGTGTGGACCATGTATGTCATTTCTTCAGAAAGCGAGCTTGGTTCTTGGTTAACATTTTTATCATTGCCTGTGGGCTTTATTAGTTGGTGTTTTCTTTTGACTTTCAGGCAGGTTTATCGCTCCTGTAATCGAGGAGCTTAGTAAACAGTATCCTGATGTAACAACGTATAAAGTCGACATTGATGAGGTATGTTGACAATGTTTTGCTTCTGAAATCTGCAGTGTTCTTAGCTTCAACCAAACCCATAATGAAGAATTGAAGATACTGTTTCTTGCATATCTGTAGAGTGGGCTTTCGAACACTATCAGCAAGATGAATATTGCGGCTGTGGTGAGCTTCATTAACCTTTATTTCGAAATCATAACCTACATTCTACTACCAGCAAGAATAACTATCATGTTGAGACAAGCATTTTTTAATATATATTAGTCTGATGAACGTTTATGATGCAGCCAACACTGCAGCTTTACAAAGAAGGCTCGAAGAAAGGAGAGATAGTGGGTGCAGATGTCACGAAGCTGAAGAATCTCATGGAACAGCTCTACAAGTGAAGAGTGAAGACCAATCCCACTGTCAAACGACTTGTTGAATACTTGCAAGATTGTAGTTTTGAGACTATCCCAGACTCTAATAAAAGGAAGGTCATGTCTTCCTTTTTCTCACAACCAGCCCAGTGAAAATTAAGCCGGTTTGGGATGCTATGGTTTTGTAGTAAGGACCATGTGGTCTTCTCCAAATATGATTATCTTAACCAAAGAGTTGATTTGTGAGGAATGCATCCAAACTAGCATTCTCTGCATCTTAACTCAATCGGAGGTCACTTCACTCTCAAGGTTCACCCCATTGACTTGTATATTTATCTTCACTTGAATCAAATTTTTGTAATCTAATCTCACCAATCACGACACAATATAGTGCCACATGGCAATAACTCACCTTACCCTTCCCATTCTTCTTCTTTAAGGCCACATCATCTCTCTCTCTGTCTCTGCTCACTTCCACCATGTCTGCAGCACTAAGCTCGTGTCTCTACATTTCCCCAAAGAAACCTTCATTTCCACAACAATCCCAATTGACAACCTTATCCACGAAACCCACAAAAACCACTGGCCATAGCCACCCTCTCTTCTCTGTAACCGATCAGACCGTAACCCTCCAGATGAAAGAGAAGATCCTCTGTCTCGAGCTCATGGGGATCGACTCAGGCAAAGCCCTCTCTCTCAACCCATTTCTCCGCTCAGCCTCTCTTGACTCAATCGAATCCGTCCTCCATTTCCTCCAATCAAGAGGAATCTACCCAAACGACCTCCCAAGGATCTTGGGCATGTGTCCTACGATCCTCACTTCCGACATCAGAACACAACTCAACCCTGTCTTCATGTTCCTGTCGAGTGATCTCCATGTCCCCGGTAATGCATTCAGAAGAGTCATTAAAAAATGCCCAAGGCTCCTCATCAGCAGCGTGGAAGACCAGCTCAAGCCTGCTCTTTTCTACTTGCACAGACTTGGTTTCAGGGATCTTGATGCTCTTGCTTACCAAGATCCTGTCTTGTTGGTCTCTAGTGTTGAACACACTCTCATCCCAAAGCTTAGGTAAAAAAACAAAGCTCAGTCCTTTTCTTCAATGTCACCTGATCAAAGAGATTAGATTAGAGAGAATCTACAATCAGGAATACTTACATGATCTATAATTGGATTTAAATTTGTTTTTTCTTGTCAGATTCTTGGAAAGTATAGGGTTCTCGAGATCGGAAGCGATTGGAATGATACTTAGATGTCCGGCTCTATTCACATTCAGCATAGAGAACAACTTCAAACCAAAACTAGATTACTTCATGAGCGGGATCAAAGGTAAACTGGAGAATTTGAAGGAGTTTCCACAGTATTTTGCCTTCAGTCTAGAGAAAAGGATAAAGCCAAGACACTTAGAATCCATGGAGAGAGGTTTGGAGTTGCCATTGCCGCTGATGCTTAAGAGCACTGATGAAGAGTTCGAGCAATTGCTTCTGCTCACAAAGCCCTCTTCAGTGGCAAACGTATAACATCTTATTTGTATATAGTGGAGTGGAGGAATGTTTATTACTGTGTTTATTGATTGTGAATTATATTTTAACAGTGTTCCATGTGTCTTTGAAAATAACTGTCAAGTATATGGTTGACTCGTAACGTCTTACCGCTTAGTGGTTAGCAATCACAAAAATTTGCAGAAGAAACAAAAATCAATGAAAAGTTTCTACAATTTTTTGCTGTTTCTAATCATTATCATAAATTACTCTACAGCAACAAACCACTAACTAATTGGTTAAGATGGAACATTTGAGAAAGTATAAAGAGTCACATTTCAGAAATTATGCCCCCTCAGAAAGTCTGCCGCTATCTTGTAAAATGTGCTCTTACGTTGGAGTTGCAGTACTGATTCGACCCACATGGCAATTGTATTGGCATTAACCCTGGAGGAGACCCTATAGCTCCATAAGTGTCTCCTAGAAGCACCACTGGTGTAGGCCATTGCCAATAGGCAAATGTGTTGAAGAAACTCACAACAAGGAACTGAATGTTAGACCAGGAATTAACACATTCTCATAAGTATGTCGCAATTAATAATATTATGCAAGTTCGGTCCATTTCCCACTTTCACCTCCTCAAAGAAAAGGAAATACTTAGAGAAAAAGACTATTTTTAAGAAAAATGGAAATAAATCAACACTAAAGAAGAATATTTCAAAAAGAAATATAGAACAATATTTTGAAGAAGCCGACCTCCTCTCCATATAAATAGAAGACCCCTTATTCCTTGAAGATAACCCAGAAATATTCAGAATCATTCATAATCACTGAGAACAGAGAGGCAAAACCCTAGATATATTTCGTTCTTTGTTCTTAGTTTTTTTACTCTTTTCGTATTCGTCTCGTCAAACTTTCTCGTCAAGACGAATCACCCATTGTACTTTTTTGAATCTTGGTTGATCTAATAAACAGTCTCTCCTAAACCCACATTTCTTATCTTACTATTACTGTGTGATTTTGAGATCTCACAATTGGCGCCCACCGTGGGGCTGGAGAAAAAACTCTGTAAAAAGTCAATCAAGGTTCAAAGATGGGACCTTCAAACGACGATCTCGGCGCCGGAACATGCGGACAGAAAAGTCGACTCGGCGCAGATGAAAACCCCATCATTCATCCCGTCAACCCGACCAGCGGTCACAATAACCCTCCGCCGCCACCGGTTCCTGACGCAGAAGCACCCGTCACGACCGCCGCGTTTACCGCGGCCATGCAAGCTTTTGCTGCTCAATTTGCCGAGATGCAAGCTCAGCAGCAAAAGTACAACGGCAAAATCGATTTCCTCCACATCACCAGCGACGGACGAGTCATCCCGACGGGACAAACCCTCTTCCAAACGCCGACAAGAAGCACCTCCGCAACAAGTTCTAATGCCGCGACAAACGACACCAAGCTCTAATGCCGCGACGAACAACAACAAGCTCTAATGCCACAACGAACAGCAACAAGCTTAAATGCCCCAACAAACGACGACAAGGAAATCGGCCCGGAAGTGACCAAGCTGTGTCACGACCTCGACGCAATCAACTCCAAAGTGCACGGCGCTACCAACTCGACACCCGAGACTCCCAAAATTCTTGCCGAGATGCAAAAGATCGGCGACAGCAAAACCGTCACCTCCATCTCGTCGATGGCAGAAACACACCTCCATCTCGCTGTCCCCTTCAAAATCGTCACCACTTAAGGTCAGCATAATAGCTTTACTTTTCAAATATATAATAATCTCGTCGAAGAACGATCTCGTCAAAAAATGAGCCCGTAAAAAAAAAAAGCTCGTCGAAATCACTCCGTCATCCGGATGATCTACGTGCACCGCCAAATCGGCAAGTCTATAAATAGACTCGGCATAAAATCGAGCTCGTCGCAGAGCGAGCTCAAGGCAAAAAAGGAAAACAGATCTCGTCAAAGAGCAAGGTCGAGACAAAAAGAAAAAAGGCTCTCGTCAAAGAGCGAGATCGAGACGAAAGAAAAACCGATCCCTTCAAAGAGCGAGATCTAGACAAAAGAAAAACCAATATCGTCAAAGAGACTTGAGAGGCAAAAAAACTGAGCTCGTCAAAGAGTGAGCTCGTCGAAGGGTGGAGTAGTACTCCCTACTCGTCGCATCAAACTACGAATGGCTTGATCCCGACATGGGTACGTAGGCAGTCTTTCCAAAGGTTCAGCTATAACTCCAATAAAATTTTATAATCCGTCTGACGAGATAAGCATTGTAAAATTTTATTCACCTTCAAAGGTACACGTCGACGTTCTGGCCAAACGTCTCAGTAAAACAAAACCGGGTCTCGTCAAAGCACGATCCCGAAAAAACTGGTCTCGTCAAAGTACGATCCCGAGAAAACAAAACCGGGTCTCGTCAAAGCACCGTCCTGAGAAGCAGAGGTGACCAGAGATAAGAAGCGCTTCTCAAGATCCAACACACACACAAAAATCTTATAAACACTTTATTTTTTTTTTAAGTTTTGTTACATCCGAGTAACTTGAAGGGAGGAATTCGATTTGTATTCCATATAGAAAAGATTTCTAAACCCTTTATTATATTACTGAATCTATTCATTATGCTTCTCTATTCATTATCTTCTTGCTTGTCATTCATAGTTTACTTGCTAGCAATGTTTTTAAAACCGGACCGGACATCGAACCGGATGTACCTTCGGGTTATGGTTTAATGTGGTTCAACCGGTTGGACCGGGTTTTTATATTTTTCAAATAATAAATATATTTAAATCTACATATATAATTATGTTCAAAATTTATACTAAATATATGTAAAGAAATTTATATTGATTTTTTCACTTTGTCAAATCATCCTCCTAAATTATGCCCATAGCCGTAATGTTTTATGAAAACACTATGAACCAAATGATAAACAAATATATTGAGAATATTAGTCAAAGAAAATCACATGATCATTATGTCCAAATTCAGAACTAAAAAAAAAAAAATTGTTCAATAAAGCTTGGTCATTGGTCAATTAGTTCAGAAAGTCAAAGGAAGCCCTTAACTTGGACAAAAGAATCGTGAGGACCAAAAAAAGGAAGAAGATATGACGTGTTCTAGGGTTTTAAGGTGCATTAAACCAAAATCGGGTTTAGTTAATTACCCGAACTGGCCGGTTTTTGGATTTTTGCTGGGTTTATGCTGGTTTTTTGGGTCAACTGGAATTCTAGGTTTTCATTAAATTCGAACCGGGCCACCGGTTCCCAGTTTAACCGGTCCGATCCGATTTTTAAATCACTGCTTGCTAGGCTGTTGGTAATCAATGAGTTTATAAATTGTTAACTTTGATCTTTTGAATTGGGATAATTTATTGGATTCTTCATCATTACTTGAGCATAATGCCGCTTAATTTTCTGATCAATTAGCATCAGACTTTGGGTTAATATATTCTCCAAAAGCTTTTGCTATATTGCCGGAAACTAGCATTTGATGAACAGTATGTCGCAACCATCGAAAGTTGAGTTGTGGACTAACTATTGTGAACAATTGAATCTTTAACATTTTAATGCATGGTTCAACTTGTAATAACCAACAAAAGTTGAGTTTATTAGATTGATTAAACATAGGTTGGAGTCACGAAAGTGAGAAAACTATATCTTAGTGATTTGAGTTCAATAACTGTTTGTAATAAATCTCTATCTCTTGATTATTGTTAATGATTTGTAACTCTTTGTGATTTGCCTAATGCCTAGTACTTACTCTTATTGATTTCACTTTGTTATTTACTGCCTTAGTTCTTTTAAAACCAAAACCACAATACAAGTTATGGACGCACTGGATCAGTTCATATACATTTGAACCATACTCTATACACTATAATTTAATATAAAAAAATTGTCCCCATTACAACTCTTAAGGAGGCATATGCGTAGTTGTGTATGAAATGAGAGGATGTTTGAAAGTTTAATTTCAGAGTTAGGCCAACAAACTGACTAATGAAGGAGACTTATAGGAAGGGCAATGAAGGAGACTTATAGGAAGGGCATTATGGTCATTTACGCATCACTATTACACGTTGATTAATTTGATTCTTTGTCTTCTTCATCTTCTTCATTTCATTCATTGGGTGCTATATAAAACTTAAGCAGCGAAACAGATTTCTCTTGACTGAGATTTACGTCTGACTCTGACAGATGAAGGAACCAACGACGGAGATAGAAATCAGAACCGAGGCTGTCACGACGATGCTGCCTCCGACGGCGTCACCTCACCAGGCGCTGGTGGAGAGGCTCAAGGATTACGGCCAGGAAGATGTTTTCGCTCTCTGGGAAGAACTCTCACCGGAAGAGAGAGATCTCCTCGTCAATGAGATCGAGGTTAATCGGATTACACTCTTCCATATTTCGCCAGAATTTTTGTTCCTTTTCTTCTTAACTATGCTTTTGCATTCTCAATTCAGCGAATTTACTGATATTAGTAGAAATTTACGTTTCTCTGCAAAACAATGTGGATCATTGGCTAGACTTCGCATTTGATTAGATTTTTTTTTTTGCATTGTCTTCCAGAATTTGGATCTTCCGAGAATAGATCGGATCATCAGATGCTCGCTTCAATCTCAAGGTTCACCCATTGACTTGTATTTATCTTCCTCGAATCAATTTTTTCTGCAGCCTCTTGAAATGCATATATTGTCCGCCAGATTTAAGATTTCGTTCACTCGAACTCTGTTTTTCAACTCATTAGGATTGCCAGCGGCTGCGATAGAGGCGGTGCCGGAGAATTGTGTGTCAACGGTGGAGGAGAGGACCAAGGAAGACAGAGAAAAATGGTGGAGAATGGGATTGAAGGCTATCTATGAAGGGAAATTAGGTGTGGTGCTTTTATCTGGTGGTCAGGTACTTTCTTTAACTGCTGCACTTGGATAATGGATACGTGTTTTGCTTTGGATGCAAAACATTGATCTGGCTCTGGGTCACACTCTACCTTTTCTTGGATTAGTTTGCACCAAATGTTGGTGACATGATTTTAATGTTTCTTTGGATTATGGTTAGATTATGGCTGAAATGATTTTGGAATAATGCTTGCTACCTACTCAAATAATGCATTTATCTTAAACAATTGCTAAAGCTGGAGTCTGAAAAGTATGAATTTGTAAAGGCTTTATATGAGTAATCATGACTACTTTAAAAAAAAAAATTAACTCGTCGGTGCCTTCTTCTGGATAACTGAGCACCTAATAATGAGAAAGAATGGTTTTATCACGTGACCTGAAAGATGCTTTATAGGATCTTGAAATCTTCTTTTTCCCTTTTACCATTGTTTTGCATTTACGTCCGCATTTAATACTTAGACAATATCCTGCTGTATGGGAGTGCTATGACCTGCAATTGTCTGATAGAGTTGGCAAATTGGACTTGAATAGATTTTGATTGCCTCTTCAATCCACATTGTGGTGTTTGTTATTACATCCATCGAAAAAAGATGCTCATGAAATTATGTGTTTGCACAAATAATTGCAGGGAACAAGACTTGGAAGTTCAGATCCTAAAGGGTGTTATAGTGAGTACTTCTCATTTCAGTCCTGTTTTTGCTGTGGTTGCAAATTGCCTTTAGATAAGCGAATGAACAACATGATATGTTGAACTGTTACCGTAACATAATAGTTTTTTTATCATCTCAGATATCGGACTGCCATCTGGGAAGTCGCTTTTTCAGATTCAAGCTGAGAGGATCTTGTGTGTCCAAAGGCTTGCTGCTCAGGCGATGAGTGAGGGTAAAGTTCACAACTCTACGACTATACTAAATTTGATACCTTTGTTTCACATTATCTTTTGCCTGTCTCAGGTCCAACTCGCCAGGCTACAATACACTGGTATATAATGACCAGTCCATTTACTCATGAACCAACGCAAAAATTCTTCGAGAGTCACAAGTACTTTGGCCTTGAGCAAGATCAAGTAAAATAAAATGTTCTTAGCTGCATGTCTATTGTTCTCTTCCTTTTGTGTGGGGATCAAATATCGTTCGTGCTCTTTGTAGGTCATTTTTTTCCAACAAGGAACCCTACCTTGCATTTCAAAGGATGGAAAGTTTATCATGGAGACACCTTTCAGTGTATGTGTCTTCAAACAAAGCTCAAGTAAACTTAGACACCGGTTCTTGAAAAATTGTAGTCAGTTACTATATATTCATCGTTAAGCACTGGACTTATGAGTTTCATTTCATGTCACTAGCTAGCCAAGGCTCCGGATGGGAACGGGGGAGTTTATGCTGGTATATATTCCTCTAATTGCATCCGCTCTAGTTATCGTAAAGAGTATTTTCAGCATTTTTCTGATTCATATTTACATGTTTATTTAGCATTAGAGTCTTCAAGGTTACTAGAAGATATGGCTTCGAAGGGGATTAAGTATGTGGATTGCTACGGTGTAGACAATGTTCTGGTCAGTTCTTTCAACTCTTTATTCGCCTACTTTCTCAATTCTCTTCTCCAGTTTAGAAACGATAAACAAGAATCTTGGTAAGCAGGTTAGAGTAGCTGACCCTACTTTTCTGGGATACTTCATTGACAAAGGTGCAGCTTCTGCTGCAAAAGTAGTGCGCAAGGTAATTCAGATACCTTTCTTTCTAATTGGTTCAGTAAGCAGAAAAGAGTTTAAAGCTGTAAGATTGGTTGCTATGGAAACAGGCATATCCGCAGGAAAAGGTTGGAGTATTTGTAAGGAGGGGCAAAGGTGGGCCTCTGACTGTAGTTGAGTACACAGAGCTTGACCAGTCTATGGCTTCTGCAACCAATCAACAAACAGGACGTCTTCAGTTTTGTTGGAGTAACGTAAACACCTTCCTTTTGACATGCTTTTGGAATACTAAGATCATTAAGATCATGTGATTAAAAGATCTGTTAGGACAGTGAAGTGTTATGGATTTGGCGTTTGCTTTAAGTTCCTAACTTGTTTTTATGTTGCAGGTGTGCTTACACATGTTCACTCTGGATTTCCTTAATCAAGTTGCGAATGGGCTCGAAAAAGACAGCGTGTGAGAGATGCGTTTTAATCCTTGATCATGTTCATCATTTGGCATATTATTCATATTAACTGATGTCAAAACTGTTGCAGTTACCATGTGGCAGAGAAGAAGATACCCTCTATAAATGGCTTCACAGAGGGAGTGAAATTAGAACAGTTCATATTTGATTGTTTTCCTTATGCTCCTTCGACTGCACTCTTCGAGGTATTTGTTCTGTTATATTACATGAAAAACATCAAAACCGATATTTACATTCATCAACTAAATTGTAAAAAAAAAACACACATTTCTTTCATGTTTTTTTCTCAGGTGTTGAGGGAGGAAGAGTTTGCGCCGGTGAAGAATGCAAACGGGTCGAATTTCGACACACCGGAAAGCGCGAAACTATTGGTTCTACGGCTGCACACACGTTGGGTCATAGCAGCTGGTGGATTCCTAACACATTCAGTTCCTTTATATGCAACTGGTACAGAGACCATCCAACTCTTTATGTTTTCATTGCATCTTTTTTTAAAGACAACCAAAATCTAGAATGAACTTGACGATCATAGCTCTGATTAAATAGGTGTGGAAGTGTCACCATTGTGCTCGTACGCCGGAGAAAATCTAGAAGCGATTTGTCGGGGAAGAACGTTTCACGCACCATGTGAAATATCCCTCTAATCTTCTTTTTTTGTTTGCCTTTTTGTCTCTATATATGAAACTGGCCACGAGAGAGAGGATGTGGTCGATACTAGTCTCTTTGCGTTGTGTTACTACTCATTATAATTGCAATTTTCAAAATCTCAGTATGATTCAATACATTCAAATAGCCAACAACTCATAATCTTCTTCCGCTTCTGAAGTCATGTTTCTTTCCTTCCTCATTTTATTGCTAAGATCGGATATTACTGAATCAAGAACATCAAAGCAAGGATGAGACAAATCTCCAACCACAAACGCATGCGACTGGTTCCCGATCGCAATCCAACTGACCCCAGGCTGTTTCTTCAACCCTCTCTCCTTCATCTTCATTCTCATCTCGGCAGCTTCCTTCCTCTTCCCACTCGCCGCATATATATTAGACATCATCACATAAGTCCCAGCATCATCCGACCCTGTCTCCAGAACCTTCTTCACCACCTCCTTCGCAATACCCACTTCACCGTGAACATTACAAGCCGATAAGAGCGCTCCATAAACCGATCTCGACGGCCTAGCCTCGTCGCGGTTGATGAACTTTAACCCGTCTTCCAAACGACCAGCCCGACCACAAAGATCAACATAACACGTATAGTGATCTTCTCCAACAGTAAGTGACTCGTCTCTCTCAAGCTCCTCAAAAAGCTCAATTCCTTTCTCTACCAACCCCGCATGGCTGCAAGCAGATAGCAAGTTAACATACGTGGCCTCACTTGGTTTAAACCCGTGTCTCCGCATCTGCTCGTACATTTCAATTGCTTCTTTCCCACGACCGTGGTGTGCATAAACCGCGATCATACTGTTCCATGATATCACATCCCTCTGGCTCACCTCCCCATAATCGAAAACCTTCTTGGCAGCAACCAGTTCACCGGATTTTGAGTACATGTTGACAAGAGCTGAAGTCACAGACTCGTTCTTCTGGTGGACCGACTTAGATATCAACCCGTGAATCTGCTTCCCTTCCACAAGCCCAGCCAAGTCACTACATGCGCTTAAAATGCTCAAGTAAGTCCCTACATTAGGCTTAACACACCCATCCCTTAACATATTTGAGAAAACTTTCAACGCATCTTCGTTTTCTTTATTCTCAACGTACCCTGTAATCATCGTGGTCCATGATATAACATTCTTCTCAGGCATCCGATCAAACAAACCACACGCCCTGTTTGTCTCCCCATTCCGCATAAACCCAGTGATCATAGTATTCCATGAAGCAAAGTCTCTCTCCGGCATCACTTGAAACAACTCGTCAGCTTCGTCAATCCTATTGTTATGTGCGTAGCCTGTGATCATCGCATTCCACGAAACAGTGTTTCTTTCAACCATACAGTCGAAAACTCGTCTCGCCTCATCGACCTTACCGTTCTTCGCCAATCCATGGACCATACAGGTCTCTGAAATGACATCTCTTTTAGGCATTCTCTCGAACAGCTCCGTCGCCTCTTCCATCCTCCCACGCTGCACCAGCGCCGTGATCACCGTGTTCCAAGAAACCACGTTTCTCTCAGGCATTTCGTCGAACAGTTTCAGGGCCTTATCGATCCTCCCGCTCTGAGCATACCCGTTAATCATGGTGTTCCAAGAAACTAGATTTCTCTCTGGCATTTCAAGGAAAAGCGTCTCTGCTGCAAGAAACTGCTTAGCTTCCAAGTACCCACGAACCATGGCGGTCCAAGTCACCACATTTTTCTTAGAATCGGCCCTGTCGAAAAGCTCTCTAGCTTCTCTCATGTTCCGTAACTTGGTATACCCAGTGATCAAATCCGTCCATGTGATCACGTCTCTCTCAGGCAATCCGTCGAACAGTTTGCGTGCTTCTCCGATTCTACCATCTCTGCACAGCTTCCCGATCAGCCATTCCGGTCGTTCTTGTACCACTTTCGGGTTCCGGATACATCCTTCCCTTCTGGGTCTTGCGCTTCCGGGATAATTGGAAGAGCAAATCGAACGAACGAGTTTACAAAGTTGCACGGATCGGTCATTATCCGATATGGGCAATACCAATGCTCTTCTGGAGTAGCTTGTAAGCCGCGGCAATGCGCGAGACTGCATCAGCTAGAAGATAAAAATGAAAAGGTGATCTCTTTTACTCTCTATTGGTCGATAGAAGAGAAAAGACTTGAAGCGACCAGTGAGCTCTTTCACAGAGATGATCAAATCGAAGGGGACGATTCTTCGGAGAAAGAATGATATACAGTAGTTCAGCTTCTAAAATTCTTTCAAATCTGCCGTGTTCGCGTTTGTATAAGTTTACTGATTTTATAAGTATACCCCTTATTTTTTGAAAATTTGCGAATTAGGAATCGAACTCTTGCAAGGAACTAATTGGAACCAAAAAAAAAAAAAGCTCAGTAGATTCTGTATTAGAAGAGTCAAGCATAAGGAGATTGACCAAGAAGTGGTTCCAGCTCAGCCAATTGTTGCCTCAAGAAATTGTAGACAGACTCTGTGGAATCTGAAGCTATACGAATCACAACTCCTTTTCCCTGCAAATATTTACACCAAAGTTGATCACCCATTATATAGATATGGTTTCTTGATGGATAGAAGAAGAAAGCATGAGATTAACCTCTGGGCCGAAAGTGCTGCAGGAAGCTATGAACTCTGGTTTCATGAAGCTATTACGAGAGCTTGAACCAGAACCGTGTCTCCGTGAACCATATGAGATCTGTAATTGTTCCGACATGATATTCTTCACGTTTTCTTGGACATGCTTCTGGATTTCCCTCAGCTTTGGCCTTTGATCCATTTGCCAAACATATTTAGTAGCAAATATCCAAATTCTCGTAAGAACTAATAAATACTACATGAAGATAGAAAAAAAATCTACCCGAAGAGAATGACCATTGCTATGGCCTGATAGTCTTGCATCCGTTCAGCTATGCTTTGGATGCTCCTCTTCTCTAGCAGCACCTGCAATGAACTAAACCATTAACAAAGATTGTTGCAATGCCATAAGGACATACAAGATTTGAAAGTGGGTATTGAGATTATTTAAATTACTGAGTCAAGGAATAAAGGGTGATCATCTTCCAGGTAGAGATTGTTGATGCTCTTGTAAAGATCGAAATCCCATTTTTCACCATTTGCGTGACGCCCGCTAGTGATCCAATCCACAAGGACTAGATTAGAGTCTGAAACCAGTCTAAACATCTGTTTCTGATAGTAGCGTGCAGTGGAGAAGCAAGTCACTGGATCTGGTATCACAACCAGAAGAGCTTCACTTCCTATTCTCGCCTACTGCACACAAGAACAATAAAATGATCCACTGGATATAGTAAACCGAAAGATCAGTCGAGAACAAGAATCAATAGATTGCATTTCTTCTAACACAACTCAAAAATCAAAATCTTCAGACAAATGGTTTTAACAGAAATGTGAAAGAAAACATTACTTCCAATGTTTGTTCAGAACACTTTGATCCTATTGCCTTGTATACCTGTATGAAAATTACAAGATCCGAGCTCCGAAAATCAATTAAGTAGGATGAAATTGTCCAATTCAAAAAGAAATAGAAAGTTCCATAAAATTGAATCAAGAACAGAATAATTGACTCAACCTTAGTAGAAGACTGTGTTGTAATAACAGCAGTGCATCCATCACCGATGGTGAATTCACATGAAATCGAATCTCCCTACAGATTTTTAACAAGAACTTAGTTCGATTCAAGCATCCATTGTCAAATTCAGTGAGAGAGAGAGAGAGAGAAAGAGGAGGAAGAGAGGTATACAGAGACAATGCCGCCACCATAGGTGATGCTGTAAATCCAGACAACATCAGTTCCAGCAGGAGCTACCTGAAAAGTTCATTATCGCCGTTCACTTTCTTGAATTTAACAATTGAATCTGTGAATTGAGAAAAAACCATCGGAAAGAGAACCTTGCGAGGAAGCATGAACTTGAGAGGATACTTAGAGAAGCAACTCGTAGCCGTCGATCTTCCTCCGATTTTCTCCACCACCACTTTCCCAGTCGCCATCTCTCTTTCTCTCTTCTACTGGCGTTGACTTTCTCGCTCTTGTCTGAGACTTTTGAGTTGAATAAAATATAACACACACATTCGGACATTCCATCGGTTTCTGTCCGAGTGTAAAAAATATGTTTTTGGGGTAAAAAAAAGGCCAAATTTATTATTAGAAGGAACTGCTCTCAGGTTCTTCTAGTCGTACAAAACGTAGAACGAATTCAAATTATTGTTACAACATTTCCCACTCTTGTTTTTTTTTCTTGTGTTTGGTGGGGTTTTCTTCTCAAGAAGAGCAAAACTGGAGGATCCAATCATCAATGGCGGAAATGTCTAACGTTGGTGAAGAGCAGAGAGACTCCATACTTGTTGCAGCAATCAATGGCGTCTTGGTCTCTAATACTTCCTCCAGGTTCTGCTATAGCTCCTATTCCCTTCTCGCACGCCTCTTCCACCGCATCTTTCCAAGCTGCAATTCATACAAGAAGAAGACCAAAATTTCAAAACTTTTTCTTCTTGAAACCATTTTGCAGTAGCCTTTTGTTGATTGATGAGTCATTTCAAATAGAAGAATGGTTTATAAGAGTTATATAAATACCGAATGGGAAGAATGCATCACTGGCCAAGGCAGCTCCTTTGGCTTCTTCACCAGCTTTCCTAAAAGCTATTCTCAGACTCTCTACTCGGTTTGGCTGTCCGCTTCCCATCCCCAACATACAGTTGTTCTTCACACATAAAACATAAATAATCAGAATAATTTGCGAGCCAAGAAACAAGTATAGAAAAGAGGATCAAAGAGAGAAAAAGGCCCAACCTTTGCTATCACAATAGCATTACTCTTGACATGCTTAACGCAGAGCCACGCAAATTTGGCATCTGCAAGTTCGCTTTCAGTCGGAGTTTTGTCTGAGACCGAATTGAAGCTGATGTTATCTGGAGTTAAGTCGTCAGAGTCTTGAGCTAACCAGCCGCCACCAACCTGTCTGAGAGATAGCTTCCCTTGGTCATTCTTTTTAGCCTCAAGGATCCTCAAAGTCTTGGACTTCCCTTTGAGGATTTCAAGACCTTTCTCAGTGTATTTTGGAGCAACCACGATTTCATAAAACATTCTAGTTTCACCGTCTGTTGGGCTCCTGAACTCTCGGATTTCCCTTGCAAGAACCTAGAGAGAGACAGATACAGATCACTACTACACAATCGAATACAATACACTAAAGGGAAAACACTAGTTTTAATTTACCTCGTCGACTTCGACATTGAAGGCCACAATACCACCAAAGGCGCTAACTGGATCAGCTTTCACAGCTAGCCGGTAAGCCTCAAGGATATCACCGCGAGAGGCCACACCACAAGGATTCGTGTGCTTCACCACTACACACGTCGGGTTTTCAAATTCAGATACACAGTTCCACGCGGCGTCAGCATCAAGATAGTTATTGTATGACATCTCCTGCACAGAGAAACAAGTAGAGATGGAAAATATGAATGGCAGTTGAAAAGTAATATACTTTTACAGCTATTACAAGAAAAAGTTTGGTACCTTTCCATGGTGCTGAATCGCTGTTGCGATACCACCGGCATTGACTTCAGCAAGGCTCTTATCAACATAAAATGCAGCCTTTTGATGAGGGTTTTCACCGTAACGAAGAGAACTCTTAAGTGAAAGCGGAACTGTAAAGCTGGGAGGGAACTTCTCTTCTGAGTAAGACAGGAATAGCAATCAATGTAAGTCCCCAATTGACAAAAACACGCTGAGAAATAACTAGAGTATGGAGGATCACAGAAAAAGAAGCACATACTTGCTTCAGTCTGCTTCCAAAGCCATTCTGAAACCGCAGAATCATAGGCAGCAACATGCTGGAAAGCCTTCCACGCAAGTTTTCTGCGGAGTTGTTGGTCGCTCTGTCCTCCTTTGAGATACTCCAAAACAGCTTGATAATCCTCTGAATCAACAACGATGAGAACGTCTTTGTGGTTCTGTCGAACAACATAAAAAGTACCTTTACAATCTTGAAAAAAATGAATTTAAAGAATTAAGTCTCATATGAATAGATATGTATTACTTTAGCAGCTGCTCTAATCATTGCAGGACCACCAATGTCAATGTTCTCAATCCCATCTTCAAAACTGATCCCACCTGGAGCAGTAACCTTGTCATAGAACGGATACAAATTGACAACCACCACATCAAATGTCCCTGTAATTTAATACAAGACAAAGGTGCAATTTAGCATAAAGGAGACATTACAGAGTTACTTAATTTCAACCTTAGAACATAGAGGGCAAATAAATTGTCAAAACTCACCTATCCCATGCTCTTTTAGAGCTTCCATATGATGCTCCACATCTCTTCTAGCGAGGATACCACCGTGTACGTTTGGGTGCAAAGTCTTCACACGGCCATCAAGCTTTTTGAGAAGAACAAACATAACAAAATGAGAGCTAAGTTCAATATACCAAACTCAACTGTATAATCGAGAAAGTCACAACTCAATTTGAAATCAGCATCTTTGACGAATATCAACACTAGCACAAAACCAAAACTTAAGCAAGAGCTGCAAGCTTAAGAGAAAGAAACAAAACTTGCCATTTCTGGAAAATGAGTAAGCGTCTCCACTTTGGTCACAGAGACTCCAGCACTCTCCAAAGTAGAGGCAGTTCCTCCAGTAGAAACAATAGTGTATCTACACAAAATTCAGATGAAAATTGATTCCTTTAAATCCATAAGCCTTTCAAATAGAAACAGAACTCAAATCTATATACATCTAAGTGCGAGATTTCTGAAGAACACATACCCCAACTCTTGCAGACCATTGCCAAGAGAAGCCAAATCCTTCTTGTCAGATAAAGATATCAAAGCTTGCTTTTTTCCTGATACATACACATTTTCAAAACCCTATTATACACAAACTGTAATTGAAATTGATCCCAGAATATGAAATTGCAGCAAAAACAAAAATAATCAACCAGAGAAGCTCGATGACTGGGGCTGATTCTTCGAAGCTGTCTGAGACTCTGCCATGGCTCGAACGGCAACGAAACTCGGACGCAGCGACTTACTGAAAACCTGCTCATCGAAAAATCTCACTCAATTTAAAAAGTTTATATCAGAACGCGAAACGAAAAACACGACCACACATAGAGAGGAGAATGAACTCACGGGCTGAGCAAAACGAAAAGGCGCGACGGTGTTCCTGCGAAAATAACCGCAGAGAATTTCGCTGGAGCGAGAGCTCACGGCAGATGAAATGGCGGTTGCAGTGGCAGTGGCGGTGGCGGCAGAGCTGAGCATAGCTGTTTGATTTTGTGCAACAGTGAGCGGCTTTGTTAGGTTTTCTGATTTTGCAGCTATTTGAAAAAAAAAAAATGAAAATATCTAATATATTTTCTATTGGCGTCAGGTGGAAATATGTATTTATTATTATGGCTTTGACAGTTAGATTATACCTGTAATTTTGTCTGAAATATTTTCTGTAAAGCTTTTTGTTTCCCCAAAAATAGCGTTATTAACTTTAAATTTTTTAAAGTAAAAACCAGAATCCTCCTCTTCTTTGTAAAGTGTCAATTGATTAGATTAGCAATAAAAATTTAATCAGATTAACAAAAATACTCTGGAAAACTATATAAATTGAGCAGTAGATAATATTTATCTGATTGGCACGCACAATATTTTTCCGCAGGAGAGAGTATATTTTGGAATGTCAAAATTAGAAGAGAGATTTAGGACTTGTCTTCTCCTCCAACTCATCGATCGTCAAACCAAGGACGCCTCAGTCTCTGGTGCCGCCTTTCCTGGTAACAAACGCCGTTTCTCTACTTCTCTTCTTCATTTCTCACTCGCCTTCTGCTGTTTTTCGTTTTTGAATCCTTAAAAATCTCTGGATCCGACGTGTTTCCGCCTGAATTTTGGGTTTATACTCTGTTGATACTCAGATCTTGCTTCATTCAGAGCTTCAGTGGGTTTTGATGCTTGATCGGCTTTTGATTTTGCTTGGGTTCGAGTTTCTTAGCTCAGTTTTGGCGTATATGTTTCGTTTAAGGTTTATAATTGTCTAGGCTAATGATTTCTCCAAACTTGATTGGATTTTGTTTTTAGTTGATCTGCTGATCGGAGATTCAGTGAGGTTGCTAGTAGTTAGGTGAAGTTGATCAATTTCAATTTTTAGTGGTTTTGTAGACCACTTGAAACTGTGCTTACTTTGATTTTTTCTTCCCCTGAATTTGTTTGATGCTTTGGTAAAGTTACTCTTCTCCCATTTCAGGCACCTCAATGAGAGCTTGAGTTTGTTCTGCATCCAAATAATTAGAGAATTACGAAAGTATGCACAAAGATTTGACTTGGGGTATGATCATGATATGTCGCCTCCAAGCGTCTGCGAGGGAGATGATGAGGTAGATGGATAGAGAGAGACCTTGACTGACAAACAAGAAATGGATCAAACAAAGGGTTACGAACACGTTCGGTACACTGCACCTGACCTTAGAGATGAAGGGCTTGGCTCCATTAACCAAAGGTTTCCACACGATTCTTCAACTAGTATTAACTCAAACGTACGACCTCCGGATTATGGTATCCCGACCCCTGCTCGGCCTGTGAACTACTCAATACAGACTGGTGAAGAGTTTGCTTTTGAGTTTATGAGAGACAGAGTTATCATGAGACCACAATACATCCCCAATGCGTATGGTGAGCCCAGTGGTATTCCTCTTCCTGTTCCTGTTAACTTAAGTGTTAAGGGAATGGTCCATCCCATGTCTGAGAGTGGCTCGAACACCACAGCAGAAAAACGCCATGCCTTTGAGCAAGAGAGGAAACCGCCTTCTAGGATTGAAGATAAGAGCTATCGTGAGCTGGTCCAGTCAGCCCCAGTTATCCCTTCGAGAAATGATTCTGGTCAGAGGATTCATAGTTTGGTTTCTTCTAGAGCTTCTGATGGCTCTTTGAACCACGCAAAGTTCTTGTGTAGTTTCGGTGGTAAAATCATACCCCGCCCTAGGGATCAGAAACTCAGATATGTAGGCGGTGAAACGCGTATCATACGGATCAGCAAGGCTATTTCTTTCCAAGAACTCATGAACAAGCTGTCAGAAATGTTCCCTGAAGCACGGACGATTAAATATCAGCTGCCAGGCGAGGATCTCGATGCCCTTGTTTCTGTATCTTCTGATGAGGATTTGCAAAACATGATGGAGGAATGTTATGGGTTTGGTAATGGAGGATCTGAGAAGCCCAGGATGTTCTTGTTTTCAACCAGTGATCTAGAGGAGGCTCATTTCGGTATGGGAGCTGGAGATGGTGATTCTGAGGTTCAGTATGTTGTTGCTGTTAATGGGATGGGTATGAGTTCGCAAAAGAGTTCCCTTGACATAAGTGCTTCCGGCAACAATTTGAATGAACTACTTCACAGTAATATTGATAAGGAGATCAGTCGAGCTGCCACAGAACCAGCAGTGGCTTTTGTTGCTCCCTTGGCAGGTGATGGATCTTTATCAGCGAGCCAAACTTCTCAACCTGTAACAGGTTTTCCCACTGGAAATGAGCCATTTCCACAGCCTTATCTAGGACAGCAATTGCACTTCACTGGAGTTGGTAACCACCAAGTTTACACATCAGGTCACATGGCAAGTGTTGGCTATATAGATGAGAAGGGGTCTGCTCCTTTGCATGTTCAACCACAATCTCATTATATCCCTTATTCTGTGAATCCTCAACCACCTCTTGAAAGTCTGGTGCCTCACTATCCACATAAATCTGAGCAAGGAATTTTGCGCGAGGAGCAGATCTTTCATGTACAAGATCCTGAAGCTTCATCAAAAGAGGCCAAAATGAGAAGAGATGACTCAATTCAAAAGGTAACTGATCCTGCTAATGTATCTACTGTTGAAAGCAATCTTTCGGCAAAGGAGCCAAAGACTAGAAGAGAATCCTCAACCCCAAGGGTCAGTGAGTATTCTGTTTCCTCTGTGTCTGGTGAGTTAACGGTCCCAGATCACCTCCTGAAGGAAGAAGCTCCAGTTGCCACAGAATTATCCAATTCAACACCAGATCCAAGTTCTTCAGCTTGTCCAGAGAAAAGTCAGAAAAAATCCCAGGACCATGTTGAGAACAATCTTTCAGCAAAGGAGCCAAAGGTGAGGAAAGAACAGTCCACTACAAGAGTCAGCGAGTATTCTGTTTCCTCGGTATCTAGCGATGTGGTCCCAGATCACACCCTCAAGGAAGAAACTCCTATTTCCAAGCAAATATCCAATTTAACACCAGATCAGAGTTCCTTTGTTCATCCAGAAAAAAGTCTTAGAACATCCCAGGACTATGTTCGGAAGACAAGTGCCTTAGATACAACTAGTGAAGGCATGAAAATCAATCAGGACAAGCAATCTTCTCTACCTGGAGGATTCTCAGCATCTGGACTTGTTACTTCAGATGGTGATTCATCTATGGTGAGCAATGTCGACCAGCCTGTGCTTCATCAAAGGATTTTTCATTCTGAGCGCACTCTACGAGATCCAGCAGAAACTAACCGCTTGTCTAAATCTGATGATTCCCTTGGTTTTCAATTCCTGCCTATCAGCGAATCAGCTGAAACTTTTCATGAAGCAACTTTGGAATCCCAGAATGTTCATTCTACTGCACCAGTAAGACCAGCTCCTGAAAGCCTCTGGACAGCCAAGAATAGTATCTCACAGTCTGAAAAAAGAAACTTGGAACCTAACCCCCCGGAGCATGTAAGTCAGTCAGAGACTTTAGTCAAGGCTGTTCCCGGAGGACACATTGAGAACGGGGATATAGTTGTTGATATAAATGATAGGTTTCCTCGTGATTTTCTTGCTGAGATATTGAAAGCGAAAGAGTCTCCAAACTCCCCTGGACTAGGGCCATTGCATGCTGATGGAGCTGGAGTGAGTTTAAACGTTCAGAATCTTGACCCTAAAACGTGGTCGTATTTTCGAAATTTGGCACCGGATGAGTTTGAGAGGAAGGATCTATCCCTTATGGATCAGGACCACCCTGGATTTCCCACTTCCCTGACTAACACTGACGGAGTTCCTATTGATTATAGCTACCCACCATTGCAGTCTGAGAAAGTTGCTCCAACTCAGATAAATCCACAAATCCACTTTGATGGAAATATCCAGTCAGATGTGTCTACCACTGCCGTAGCTGATTCAAACACAATAAACACACAAGCAGATTACGTTCAGTCACAGCTCAATGGTGCTGAAAGCACAGATGCAACTGTGGTACGTTTATTGTTTTCGACTTAATATGACAAATCTAATAAAGTTTAACTACTGGGAAAATCATGTTTTAATTGATATTTTGCTTATTTCTATGAACCTTGGATATGTAGAATACTGGAGTTCCTCTTATTGACTTCGTGGCTGTGGACAGTAATATCAGGTCTCTGCAGGTATGCATTCATCAGCCCTGAATACTTGTTCTGGTGATTTTAAATGATGACTTTCGTACAACGAAGTAGTACTCTTTGGTAGCCAACCCCTAAATACCAGAAGGGTTTTTATATTCTGTCAACCAAGTTACGACTTTCCAAGACATCCTTGTAGCTGTCTTTTCTGTGTTTGGTGTTTGTCTGTTCTTGTTTTAAGGAATTTTGTAGAGAAAGCATAATGGTAGACTAGACTAGAGTAGTCCATGTCCCGTTTGTAGTTAAATCATTGGAGCTTTAGAAATCTAACGTCAATCTTACTACCTGGTTTTCTCTTTAAAGGAGAACAAATGAAAAAATTGTATCCATTTTGTTTATGTTTCAGGTCATTAAAAATGACGACTTGGAAGAACTAAAGGAATTAGGTTCTGGTACCTTTGGAACTGTTTATCATGGAAAATGGAGAGGTACAGATGTAGCTATCAAGCGAATCAAAAGGAGCTGTTTTATTGGCCGTTCATCTGAACAAGAGAGATTGGTGAGCTTTCTTTCTTAAAAAAAAAAGGGTGTCTGAGGATTACACAAGTAACTTAGCTAGCAAGTGGTTTAGGTTAAATAGAAGACACTACTACTATCTGCCACAAAACCAAGCTTTTTACTTGTCCATTTTTCTTTTGCCTGAAGCGGTTATTAGATGCTTGTTGCTATGAGGGAGAATTTGGCATTCCCTGTAGAATTTTACTTGATATTCCCTAGTGCAGAAATATGAGCCTGTCTAGCTTGTTTTTTCAAGGTTGTGGGGATTCTTACTTTCAAGAAAGTTGCAATAGTTTTCTTTGATTTTCAGTTTCACCAACCAATGATTGAAAATTTCAGACCTCAGAGTTCTGGCACGAAGCTGAAATTCTTTCCAAGCTCCATCATCCAAATGTTATGGCATTCTACGGCGTAGTGCAAGATGGCCCAGGAGGAACTTTAGCTACAGTGACAGAGTACATGGTCAATGGCTCGCTTAGACATGTTCTGCTCAGCAACAGGTACTTATCTATACAGCTCTTCAGAAACCTTGCTTCCTGAAAACAACTTTAGTTGTATACCAATTGACATTTGGTGGAATAACAGGCAGATTGATCGACGAAAGCGACTTATGATTGCAATGGATGCAGCTTTTGGGATGGAATATCTGCACTCAAAGAACATAGTGCATTTCGATTTAAAGTGTGACAACTTGCTTGTCAACTTAAAGGATCCCGCTCGTCCCATATGCAAGGTGAATTTTTTGGCAACAGTAAAATGATGCAACAATGTCATATTGTTTTGGTTTACGTAACAAAGTCTACAAAGAGATGCTCTGCTTTATGCAGGTTGGTGATTTCGGTCTGTCAAAGATAAAAAGAAACACTTTAGTCACTGGCGGCGTAAGAGGGACCCTCCCTTGGATGGCTCCCGAGCTACTTAGTGGCAGCAGCAGCAAAGTTTCTGAAAAGGTATGCAACCCAAAGTGTTGTTGGAAGATGAAAAAACAAATTCATTTAGCTTCAGTGCCTTATAAATGATTGTGTCTACTTCAGGTCGATGTGTTCTCTTTTGGAATCGTCTTGTGGGAAATTCTTACCGGTGAGGAACCCTACGCCAATATGCATTACGGCGCAATAATAGGTAAATTAATTACTCTCTCTCTCTCTCTTCTCACATTCTCTCAGAGTTTTTTCTTACCATGTAGAGTTAATCTTTGACCGATATGTTGCTTTGTGTGAATAAAAAATGGTAGGAGGGATAGTGAACAATACACTGAGACCAACGGTGCCAAGCTACTGTGATCCGGAGTGGAGGATGTTGATGGAGCAGTGTTGGGCTCCTGACCCATTTGTTCGACCTTCCTTCCCTGAGATAGCCAGACGACTCCGCACCATGTCCTCCTCTGCAAAAGCTCACGCCGCCAACCACCAAATCCACAAGTAATCAAATCTATCACTTTGTTATTGCCGGTACGTATAAAAAGAAATGGTTTTTGTGTATAAGAAAATATATTCTTGCTTCTTCTTTCGGTATCTGAGAGTGTTAAAATACTTTTGTGTTGGTACGTTGTACAAGAAACTCTAAAAGCACACATATCCGTATTTGTATAGTCGTCATTATTTGAGTGTAAGTAAATTGGTTTTGGTACACTTTTTCTCTATACTCGGAAGTCTATCTCTTTTAATAATAAAGCTCAGAGTCTAATACATAAAATAAATGATGTTTGGTATAATACATTTACAGTATGTGCTAATAATGGCCCTTGAAGATTCATGTGTTCCGAGATGTGAAAACTATACAAAATTCTGATAAGCTACACAACATGTTTGATAGACATTGCATACAAACACGATATAACAACGCATTCATATTTCATCCATGCATATACATATATTACTTCACTATACATAGAAAATCTGACCAACATTCAAAAGGCTCTCCTGAGGAACATTGAAGATGACACTATGCTCTCTACAAATCTTCCTAAGAAACGCATACACATAGTCAATGGCTATCTTCTTGTAGAACCTCGCTTCCCTCCTCGCTCGAACCACCGTGTTCCCCATTATATGCACCACTCCCGCGTCTCTGCACCTGTTTATGAACTCCAACTCGTCCACTCCACCGCTCATCTGGCTTGACGCCGTCACTGTGTTGCTTAGCTGCTTCACCGGTCCTACCGACTCTATCGAGTCAAATGTATCAAAGGTCGCCAAATTCTCATTCTCGTTCCCGTTCCCGAGCTTGTCTTTAGGCTGATTCACGCTACCGCAGATGCTGTAGTCATCGGAATCCGAACAACCTCCTTCCATCATCGATTCAAGGCGAACGTACAAGAAGAGGCTCTCGAAGAGGCGTTTCTCAAAGTCATCGTCTCTCTTGTGCAAGTCTCCATATCCGTACCTGTCAAAAAAACGGCGTGAGAAAACAAAGACAAAACAGCAAAACACCATGGACGTGTCTCAAATGGTTATTACCTAGCGACGCAACGAAACATGTGGAAGTTCTTGGGACCAATCCTTTTAACGAGGAACCGTTCTTCCTCGGGTACAGTGTAAACAGGGAGGTTCTTGACGCAAACGAACACCACAACAGAGTGAATGGCCGGCAAATTTGTGATGAAATGAGAGAAAATGTGAGGCACTCCACTAGCAAGCTCTGTGTAAACGAGTCCAACTCCAGGAACCCGAACAAGGCCAAGGCTAGGACCGAGCCCGAGGATCCAAGCCATCGAGACTCTACTGTGCATCTCAAACTCATACCTCTTCAAAGTCCCATAATGCCACACCGACATGATGAGAAGAAAAGCCGCAGCGATCACTAGCGGAACCCAACCGCCCTGATCGATCTTGAAAAGCATGGCCGAGAAGTAAGTGCACTCGACTACAAGCGAGAGGACGGTGAAAACAAGAACAAGAACCCAATGGCAACGCCAGACGAGGATCATGATCAGCGTCATGAGAAGCGTCGTCACAAGCATGACGATCACAACCGCTGTCCCGTAAGCGTTTCCTATCTGGCTCTGGTTCTTGAATCCAGCAGTGACTGCGATGCAAAGAACCATCAGGATCCAGTTGATGTCCGGAACGTAGATCTGACCGAGGAACTTCCGGGACGTGTGCACCACTTTAACCCTCGGAAAACAACCGTGTGCAAGAGCTTGCTTGATCAAAGAGAACGTCGCCGATATCGTCGCTTGGCTCGCCACAATCGCTGCAGCGGTTGCGATGATGAACATTGGCCAATACACACTTCCTGCAAGAACCAAAGATAAACTCAACTTATGTCTCCACAAGAATCAAGAAACCTAATCGAAAAAAAAAATCAAGAAACCTGGAATGGAGCGGTAAAACGCATCAGCAACATGATCCGGGTGAGTCCTGATATAAGCAGCTTGTCCGCTATAAGCCAAGAGAAGGCATGGAAAAACGATCACAGTGAAAGCGATTTGCACGGCTGAGACCGGAAAATGCGATAGATCAGCGAAAAGCGCTTCGATTCCTGCAAGAAACAGAACAAAAACACGATCAAGAAGATAGTTTGAAGAAGAAGAAGCAGATTTTTTTGTTTCTTGATTTTGTTACCTGTAATACTAAGCATGATGCCTCCAAGAGAAGTCCAACGATCACGACCTCCTCTTTTGAAATACCGGTATATGTAAACCGGAGAGAAAGCTTTCAAGACGCTACTGTCGTGTTTCCAGATATTGTACATACCGATGCTTGCGATCGAGAGGAACCAAATGAAAACTATCGGCGCGAAAAGCCAACCAACTCGGTCTGTTCCGTAATGTTGTACACTAAACAAGCTGATTAATATCACCACAGCAACAAAAACAACAACACCTGTAACCACAAAAAACTTATGATTATTACTAGTGTCGTGACATAATATTATACATTTGTAATGAAAGTTGAATGTATTAAAAAGGTAAATTACCATTGCTTATATGAGGAAGGTTTACTCTTAGCCCACCAGCAGCTGAGAGAACTGCAAGAACATTGTAAAATTTGTTATCTCCATGAAAATTGTCAATCACCGTTCCTCGAGAACAAAAGCTATAGCTCATAAGGCCTTTACTGTTTCAAAACGTAAATTTTAAACAAGACAAAACAAACTTCACTTTCAAGAAACAGAGCATTTGTCATTTCTTTTCAAGAAACAAAGGTTTTAAGGATATCTTTGTAAAGCGCAAACGCAAACGAGGCCTAAAATGGCGTTTTTGAAAGGGGAAAAAAAAAGTGTATCTTTACCAGAAATGGCAGGAGTAAGGATTCCATCCCCGATGACCATACAAGTACCAACAAGAACTAACATAAGAAGAGCAGTTTTTCTCGAAGTTTTCTTCTCTAGCCATCTTTTGGTTTTGGCAGCAAAAGAAAGCTCATGAAACGTGGAACGGCTGTAAGTAGTAAGCTCTTCATCAGTACGGTGCTGGTTCCTAATCGTTTTCACTTTCGCATGTCTACACAGTAATGAATACAATGCAAATGTTCCACCTACATACATACATTTAAAACTCAGTAACACACACCGATCCATAACAAACAAGGTTGTGATTTTGGTTTCATTACCTTGACCATTATCATTTGCTTTACAAACAACGAAAACGTATTTGAGGAGAGGGATGAGTGTGAGTGAATAAATGATGAGAGACAGAGCTCCAATGACGTCTTCTGGATCATCGAACCCATGAGGAAATGTATTGTAGAAAACATAGAGTGGAGATGTTCCTAAATCTCCATAGACTACACCAAGACTCTGAAACGATAGCTGCAGAAGCAGAACCGCCGAGAATTTCTGCAAGAATGTAACTAATGCTTTTCATTATCCGATTCTGGAGATTTAGAATTGTTGTAATAATAACAAGAAGAATACCTTTTCTCTGTACATGTTCCTAAGTCGACAAGCTTCTTCATCCATGGATTGATCAAGCTTCTGGTCCAAATCCCACATGCTACCTCTCTCATCACTCTCTTCATCGATCTCAACACCGACTGTTGCTGCTTCTACTCTTGCCGCCATTTTTAACTCATAAAATCTCTGGATCCTTTCAAAGCCTAGATCTTTCTGCAAAACGAAGCTGAATTTGCTTGGAGAATCCTCTTCAAAGAACAAAGTAAAATGAAGAAATGTCACAAACACAAATAGTTTTTTAAAGAAATAAACCAAGTGCTCAAAGAGGAATGTCGTAAGAGCTGCTTAATTATACCAAAATGGACACAATTTCAACTGTTACATTTACTGCCAAATTAAGAAAGATATCGAATCAACAGTAAGATCTTTTGTATATTATCAATAAACAAACAGCCAACGAAATTCAGGGAAATGTAACAATCAGAGTATCAAACCAAGAATATCCTATATCAATTTTCCAAAAACCCAGAATAGTTTTAATCTTTAAAAGAAATTAGAAAACCTCGAAGGAGACTACAAGCCCCTGGAACAAAAATGTGTTCATAAGAAATAGATTCTCACGCTATGGAGAGTTTTCCAAGAGTGGGTCCTGTTCGATTCAGGACCATCGAATAATTAAAATAACACAATAGCCATGAAAAATCTCTGAACCAGCTCAGACGAGGATTATCGAAGTTACCAGGAAAAAAAAAAGCTTTGAGCTTTTGACTGAGAATTGAGAGAAAAGAAAGAAAACCCAGAGACCTGCGTTCTCTTTTCTCTTTCTCTCTGCAACGGAGAGTAAAGAAGAAGGAAAATTCTGTTTCGAGAGAGAGAGAGAGAGAGAGAGAGAGAGAGTTACAAAGTATGATTCTGATATCTGACAGAGAAGAACGTGGAGAGAATTAAATATAAGCGTAAAAAATCAGAGTCCGTTCATGTTTAAATTTGTATTGGAATTATCGAACAACTATTTAATTAGTACTGACTACTGACTTAGATTTAAAAGTACAGTCCTCTTTACAACAGATACGGAAAAAGTATTCTACATTTATTGGGAAAACCAACTTAAAAAAAGATAATAGGAAATTAAGCCAAACATAAATTTGACTTTTTATATATAGGTAAAAAATTTCGAGTTTTTAATCTGTAATTTTCTTAAATCTTAATTTTTGTATATAATAAAAGGTTAACTCTCTCCAGCTGATCGACATGTCAACACCTAGGAAAGTTGGTCAAATGGCAGCTTGTTTGGTTCTTTTTCACCGATGTCACATAGCCTTCCTCACCAAATCGTCATCCCCTCCAATTCAATCCATCTCCTATGAGCTTCTCCGACCTCGAGGGACCACACTCACTTCCACTCAACCATGGCAGCTCATAAACTCTGCTGATGCAACTCCCTGATACTCCTCCTCCGCCTCGCTTCCGCCTTCTTCATGCTCACCAATTCCCGTGGCTCCGGTTCTCCTCCCTTGTACGGCTTCCACACTTTAAGGTTTGATTCTCCTTCAATTATTACAGATCCTTCTCTATTTTGAACGAAATGCATTCAATTTTCAATTTCAAAATCGAGAGCGAATTTGGAATTGAGGTCAGAATCGGGCAGTATTTGCAGATTCGTGTTCGTTAAATTAACTTTAATAACATCATATTCGGTATGTGTTAATAAAGCGATTAGCAATTAGCAAATTTTCAAAAATCACTAATAAATTGGAAAATACTTATAGAGAAATTTTGCTACAATTATTAAATATTTTATATATAAAATGACACATCAATATAAAAATCGTATATTTCCAATTTAGATTACATCTAAACATATTTTTCTCAATTTACATCTAGAAGACAAAAATAATTAGGGTTTGTGTTTATAAAGTAAATCCCCAAATTGATTTGTTTACGATAACTCTAAACATAATGAATTTCCGTTTTTGGGCTGAATTTACAAACAATTATCAACTAAATCAAACAGATTTCAGAAAAAAATATAGATCTGGCCCACTAATTTCTCGAACTAATCAACAATTTTTGTAATTAATAGAGCAAAATCGGTCAAATAACGTTTGACCAAATAGTATCACTGATTAGCGAACATAGAACTTTAATAGGTTTGACCACAAACATTTTTTCATTAATTATTTTTAACATCGATATTTTTATCTTTAATTTTGGGAAAATAGAATTTTAATATATTTATAATCATTTTATTTTAAATTTTTGATATCAAACTGGATCCAAATATCTAGCACATATCCGATAATTTCACGAATACTAAAAATCCGATTATCCGAAATTTTTGGATTCAGATAGCAATTTACAGATTCATCTGAATCCGGATCTCTTAAAAAAACTGAAGATCTAATATATCCCCAACCCTATGTGACATCATAATTAATAGTGTAACATGATAATAAAGTGTTATTGAATAAATAACATGTGTATTTGAATAAATAACATGTGTATTTGTTTTTATCACACGCGAAAATAGTTTTGATGGACATAAAATTGTAAATTTACCTCCTAACACTGAAATTATATATTTAATTAATGTATCTATAGTTTTTTTCCTAAACAATTATTCTCACTTTGTAAGTATTTTTATTCTTATTCTGAACTATTACAAGGTGGTCTAGTGGTAGAATGGATCTCCGGGATAAGAGGATAATTCCAATACGCCTGGGTTCGATTCACCCTTGTTATATATTAGTGGCCATCCGGGCTAGTATTAAATCGCAAAAATATGTGGATTGCCATAGGTCTCGTGGGATTAGTCGGTTGACCTTGATCGCTGGATCCCCACAGTTATCATATTATGTAACATAAAATCGATGGTGACAGAAAAACAACATATAAAACAAGTAAGTTAAAAGATAGTGGTTTAGCGATTGAGTTATTTTACTGCGATTTTAACTATTTTGTCACCAATAAACATGTATGCATGAGTATGGACCTATTAGAAAATACAACATTGTTGGATCAAATGCTATTGTAAAATAGTATAAAGTGATAAATTTGGCATGTGGTTGGAAATACTTGGCAAGAAAATTTGGATTTTTACTAGTTTCAAAATACTGATCTAGCTGGACTTTCATCAAGAGTTCTTCTAGTTTTTTTTTTTTTTTTTTTTTTAATGTTTAAGTAAAATCAGTTTTACATAAAATATTAAAATGTAACGGCCACAAATAATTATTTACAAAAAGAACAAAAGTATATTATCAAACGTGATTCTTGATTGTTTGTCAGAACTTTTTTTATAGTGTAACAGATTAAGCAAGTATTAAATTTGGGATCCTTTCTCTTTGGGTGAATGAGCAAAACGGGATCATAGTTTTATATGCACATCTCGATCTAATTACCTAACATGTTTACAAAGAAACAGTAGTTTGTCCATTTTGGTTGTCGCTATATTTGGTCTCGTACTTACGCTTTTCGGCAACAATAATTGTTTTAGTAAGTCCTTCTAAATTATTTATCAGACCCGGCCCTAATTTGAAATGTTGACACTTCCAACAGAAAAATGATATTCAGAAATATCGCAAGGAGGTCATTAGGAATTTAGGATCCGAGCGAATGACTTATATATCAACAATGAATAAAGTAAACTTACTAAACTAAAATCAAATGAATTAAAACTGTATATATTACTCTGGGAAATGCATTATATTCAGTTAAAGATAGAAAAGGATGGAAATTAAGCTGTAGATACATACTAAGCTCATAAGTTCTCATAGCATTTCAACCCAAAAAAGGTTATCGTAGGCATATCAATCGATTAATTCAACAATTCACCAAGAAAACTTTCAGTCAGCAGCATTTTATTAAACATTAAACCAAGAAATAAAATTGTATGCTCAATTATATCTTGGTCAGTAGAGATTTTTCTTTTTTAAAACACCCATGGCTGCTAATATACTAATTCCAGCCCCACTTTCAGATCTATATCTTTATAATTTTTTATATATATACTACATCACACGTATATATTCCACTACGTTGCATGCATACATGTACGTATCTGGTTTACACACTTAGATTCCGAAATAACGTACGTAGTGGCGTGGCGTGTGCATTATCATAATTCATATATAATCCACTAATCCACCATCAAGTGACCCGAGAAAAAAAAATACTATCCACAAAATTTTGAATCCCGTCTAGTAATTTTTGTTTGTTTTGCTAGATAATAGAAAATTTTGTTTTATTATTATCGAATGCCGAAGACTTAAGTACCCATATATAATTTAATAATTAATTAATTATATACACACACGCTTAGGATAATCGAACATGTAATTATCATGCGATAGGTGCACCCACGTGGTTGTATGCCAAATATAAACAATACGACAGCTGGTACGGTTAACCTATGATGTATATGTGGTCCTTATCCTTGTCCAATACTTATACACCGGTCCAAGTTTTTTTTGTTGAAGTACATGTACTTGTTTGCTTCATGAGAACAACAAATAAACAGCTTTTATCTACGCAGATCTCATAGATACTTGTGTTTACAAGATATAAATAAAATCTTAAAAGATATCCCTCATTGGCCATTTCCAATCATATGGAAAAAGTGGAAAAAAAATTCATACAGTTATCGAATTCTATCACCAAATTGGCCCTGTATACACATTTTGGTAGAAGTGGAATCTACAATATTTCTCTATCATCATCTACATAGTTTCGCGAGTGGTCTTTGCTAGCCGAACACCAATATCCTTTTGTCTGAAAATGCGACCAAAACATACTTTGAACTTCGAAGTAGTTTTTACTTTTTAGGAATCAAATAATCTAATATATTATTTGCGAAGTGAAAATTTCGTTTAGAGCCACCACATTCAATCTCAGCTGGTTGATTACCCACATACCCTTAATGAAAATTCTATTATTAAATCTTCATAATTTCATTTTTTTTTAATTTCACGATTTATATTTTTAAATAAAATATTTTACGATAATAATCCTAACTACCATATTACGTGTCATAATTTTGGAAGAAATTAAAAATTTGGAAAGAAAAAAAAGGAAAACCTAAGTTTCCTAACCGATTTTGTCTTATATAAATAGATATCAACAAGCAAAATCAACACAATTTACGATTTTCTTTCTAGACGTGAGATAATTTC